AAGTTCTCTAAATATTTGACTCTATTGATATCTACTATATATAAGTCTAATTTATTACTAACTAGACTATATTAATAATAAACTATCTATACTAGAGAAATAGATACTACTAGATATATTTTCTTTATCTTCTAGATATCTATACTATTTAAATCAGACTCTATATACTAACTATCTTTCTACTATTTAAGTTACTAAATTAAAAGTAGTATTACTGATTATATTTATATCTTCTATAAAAATTATAGTTAACTTAGTAAATCTATAGTTAACTATACTTTCTTCTCTTCTATATATTATATTATCCATTAGACCACAGATCTTTAATCTATTAATAGATAATAGACTATATTAACTAGATATATTTAGTTTCTTATATATTTCTCTATTAAAATATATTTTTATTACCTCTAATTTTTCTTTAGTTACTTCTACTTTATTAGAGAATTATACTTATTCATCTTAGTTTCTTCTTTATTAGATTATATTTTTATTTCTAGTACCTCTACACTACTATACTAATACAAATTATCTTATAAAGTTAATTTTAATGAATAATCTAGAATAACTACTTAGAAATAGTTTTATGTTTAGTAGTTGCTTACTACTATTCATAATCTGACTAAATAGATAACTAGTATTATAGACTATATAAGAGATATTAAGTAATATATCAATACTCTATATATATCATAATAGTATAGTAATACATCTATATCTATACTAGATAGAAACCACAATACTAACTATATTATCTAGATATAGTTAAGTACTAACACTAGAAAAAATTGGATTCTTCTATTTAGATATAAAGAATAACTTTAATTAAAAGTAAGTTAAAAGTATAATATAGTTTAGAAATATTAATATATTTATTAATAGAATAGATAATACTATATATTATTATAGAGGCACTATGATTAAAGCTAATATTTAGCAATATCTATATAGAACTATTCTTAACTGGTATGTATCCCTATCTAATTATTAGAAAAATATATATATTCAACTTTCTATTATTACTAAAATTCTAAAGAAAATGAAACTCTACTTTAACTAGATTCTATTTATATATTAAACTATGTATAGAATAGTAGTTATCATAATTAGACTAATATTTAAAATAGTAAATCTATTTAGACTTTTACTTACAATATTATTTATAACTATTAAGTGTCTTTAAATACTAAGTTATATAATTAGATATCTATTATATAGACTTATCTATATTTTGATCTAGTATCTGATATCAACTAGTCTACTCCAGTAATCAATATGATTAACTTTTTTAAAAAGTTAAATATAAAGATAATATTATAGTAATATAAAATAGATCTTAAGTAAGAAATCTATAAGAGATATTAGAGAAATAATAATAACTTTAATAAGAATAACTAATACTTAGATGGATTTACTATCAATTCTAAACCGCGCCAGCTACACCAAACAGCACGCCACCATTGAATTATCGATCAGGAAGAGTGGAAGATTATATATGATTCTATTCTCTATCAATCTATTGCTTTTTAATAGTGTTTCCAACTCTTGTAGTTATATAGTAGCTTAATATTATCTAAAATATTCTCTAGAAAGCTAATATAACTTTAAATCAGGACTAACTACTATTATAAAAATTTATATATATATATAATAGCTATTAATATCCTTAAGTAATTTAAAGAAGAGTAGAGAAAGATAAATAATATTTTATTAAAGTTAGTCTTTCTTCTATAAATTAAAAATCTTATTGATTCTACTAGTTAGATTATAGGGATACTCTTAGTAGATATTATCTATAAAGATCTTACGAAGATTAAAAATACTCTTTAGATATAGATAAATTAGTAGCTATAGATTATAAAAACATAAATACTCTTAGTACTAGATCTACAGCTACTACTCCTATAGGAATACTAAAGATATACTTATATATTAATACTATCTACTATATAGTTGCTACTACTATTTCTAGATTATATATAAGTAACTGGTTTACTAAGGTCTAAAAATTAATATAAATAATACTATAGACAAGTTAACTGGCTTAAGTAGTCTATTAATATAGTTAGTACTTACTAAGAATCCTATTATTTATATATATAAGACTATAGACTCTGTTGTTGATCTACTATAGTATAATAATAGAGTTCTAATAGACTATATTAATAAAAGTATTACTAATACAAAGAATAAGATAATTATCTACTATAGAATTCTTACTAGACCTATATTATCTAGTTATAATATAATTCTTATAACTAATAATCTTGAGAATCTTGAATCTTGAATATCTTATTTATATATAGATACTCTAAATTAAGATACTTGGTCTAAATATAATAATTAAGAAATATAGATATCTAATTATAGTATATAGTATAGATATTAACTATATTAGTAATAGAGACTTTATAAAACTATAGAGATTCTTAATTAAGAGGATTAAGACTACTAATATTAGTTATTTAATTATAATATCTACTAAGATTATATATTAGTTAATATAGCTATAGAAGACTATTACTAAGAAGAGTATATTCTCTATACTAGTAGTTAAATTTAATAATCTACATACTATAAATAGTAAATCTAAAGAATATACTATGGTTGATTTATATAGTATTGATTATGAAACTAAATCCAACTATTACTCTATTTCTAACTAGAATAACATTCTTAAGATACTTCTAGACTATAAGTATATTACTATTCTAGATACTATATATTACTTCTACTAATAGCTACTGAAGTAGGAATATTATAAATATCTTACTATAGTTATATATTATAGTTAAGAGATCTTTTATATATATATTATAGAATTCATCAACTCTATTTGTATATTTAGAAATATATAGATATTAATCTTACTAAATTTAAGGAGTTTTATTATAAATATATATATATATATATTAATAATATAGTTATTGCGTCCTCTATCCTTAATAAGTATATCAAGTATCTTAATCTTATCCTAGGATATCTAGTGTATTTAAATCTTAAGCTTAAACTATCTAAGATATTTATCAGCTTTCTATCTATTATACTTTCAGAATAGAGAGTAGATACCCTTGGTCTGAGTATATCTAAAGATAAACTATAGACTATTTAAGATCTTCTATTTTCTACTAATCTTACTAAACTCAACTATTTAGAATTAATAAGTTAACTTTAGTATTATATTTCTTATTATTCTTAAAGGATATTGTATCTCTAAAATTAGAAGATATTTTTATTAAAAGACTATTCTAGTAGTTATTAAGACTATACTACTTATAGAATATTTATTTCTACTAATAAGAAGTATCTAGTATTTAAGATATTAAAGTATAGATTTATAGATCTAAAGATACTTATATATTATAATCTAAAATTATTAGATATATATTAATCTTAATATATATTGAAATGGGTATAGAGTTATAATATCTTATATTAGTAATAGTTCTAAATATATTAACTTAAGTAAATTGTCTACTTATATACATTCAATCTATTCTCTTCTTATCACACACTCTGACTCCTACTGAATATAACTATTAGTCTACTAAGTTAGAGATATCTTACTTTACTTAGATATTATAAAAACTATATTATTTTATATAGACTACACCCCCAACACTTTCTATCATTATCTATACTAACTATTTAAGTACTATTACTATATCCAAGCAGACTATATTTAATATAATTATAGTTAAATACTTAAACTTATATCTTACTTATATATTATAATATATAGAGTAATACAAGCTACTTATATTATACTATATAGAGTAATACAAGCTACTTATATTATACTATTTATAAATCTTAAATACTATTACTAATACTTTATTAAGACTTTCTCACCCCAAAAGTATTCCGTATCTTACAGAAGATAATCTTGAGGATACCCTAATTAATATATTCATATCTTTAAAAGAATATTAAGAATAATAATATTATCTCTAAAGAGCTCTAGCTATATCCTCTATATTTAATTATATCTAAAGTTTTTTATACTATCTATAATAAACATAATTATCAAGGCCTTATAAGTATATAATAGAGTTGAATAGTCTTATTATTTACTAAGTCTATAAGCTTTTAGATAACTATATCCTGAGATATCCAACATATTTGAATAATCATATCTGTAAGTATTATTCCTATAGATAGTTATAATCAATCTCTATACCTATCTTACTATTCCAGATCATAACAATAGACTTTATTATTAGTCTATCTATATTAAATAGATATAACCAGCTTCTCAATATAATCAATAAATTCACAAAGCATCTTAGTCTATTACCTAGAAAGTTGAATCTAGATATCCTAGTAGTAGAGTATTACTCTTATTAACTATATTTAATCCTATATTTAGGATATTGTGGTGGTTTTCAGCCCTGTGGGCATTCTGCCCTTAGTTTCCGCCTTCGGGCATCCTTTCGACGGAGTCGATTCCCGTCTTCCTTCTTCCGTCGTCATTATCATCATCATCATCATCATAACGAATAATAAATACAGAATCCTTGCAATACCATAACAGATGGTAGCATGTCTTGCTCATGACGATCCAGTGTTTTACTCCACTGCGGAATAAGTCGTCTATGGCGTCTTTCTAGACGCTTATTCGTTATTCGTCGTTGCTGGGAAATCCGCCGACCACCACTTACGCTCTCCCCCCCCGACCGAACCAGAACCTCATTCGTGCGGCCTACATCCCGAATGTCGTCTGAACTTGCGCATCAAATCGTCAGATACTATGACAGCCATGTTCGCTCCTTTCAGAATCGTATAGAAAAAAAAAACATCCAGTTCGATTGGCTAAGTTACACTGCTTTCTCATAACTACCTGTACTAACAGATGAGAGGTTGTCCTCCGTCCGGTACCTGTTATTAACCCCCCGTTGTTGTCCCACAAGCATGTAAACTTTTCTTTCTCCCCCTTCTTCTTCCTCCCCCTGCCCCGGCCTCTCACCCCAGTATCAACCCCCCCCTCCCACAGTGGCATTATGGCAGGCATTATCTCCGCCGCCAACCTGGGTGGCATCGCTGATCCCAGACTCGGCAATGAGGCGGACCTGATTGGCACCGAGGCCGAACACGGGGTAGTCATCGAAGACCACACCGGCCACCCCCAGCATGGCAAACACAGATCGCTGCACACCATCTCCGCCCCCGTCATGCACGGCAAGGACACCATCTACCTCGACAAGAGCATCTCCTTCGAGAACTACCTGTTCTGGGCCAAGCGCTCGCGGGAGGTCGAGAAGCACATCCGCACCGACAACCAGGGATTACAGCAGTGGTGGAATCTGATGCTGGGTCGGGGCACGCGGAACACCACCCCTGCGCCGCAGATTGTCGATTCCACCGTCCAGGAGAAGAGCCCCGTGGCGGACGGGGCGATGGCTGCGGCGGGGGATGAGAAGGTGCGGCCGGAGAAGGAGGATAGCAACACCGCGGGCGACCAGCACGGCCACGATGGCGGTCGGGTGGATCAGTATGGCATTCTCGAGACGGAGTGGGAGCAGGCGCAGCGTGCAGCCCGGACGGCGACGTGGGGTAAGTCGGGATGGAGGGAGGAGGGGTGAATGGATTGATGGTTGATGCTGATGCGTGCGATCTTAGGGTCCATCTTCTATCTAATCACGACCGATATTTTGGGTCCCACGAATGTGCCGTGGGCGATTAGTGTGAGTCCATTTCTTGCATTGCATGCTGGCAGAACAGGACAGTGGTACTAACGAACTCTGTGTCCAGCAAATGGGTTATGGCCCTGGTTTTGTAAGTCGGAGGGTGGCTGCGCGCGAGGTGCTGACTGGCACTGACTGAAGGACAGGCGCTGTATACGGTGTTTGGTATCATGGCCTATTAGTATGTTTCCCCTCCTCCCTACCCCATTTTTTTCTCACGCTAACTCCCCTGTCAGCTCCGGAATGCAGCTCTGGAAGATCTTCAATGGTCTCGATTCGGCCCGCTATCCCATGCGCAGTACGTGGCCGACCCCAAAGCCCCCAGCATGACTGACTGACTGACGGACGAACGATGACCAGACTACGGTGATGTCGCTTTCCGGATCTTCGGCTCCTGGGCGCGCATCTTCGTCAACGTCCTTCAAAGCTTCCAGTTCTTCCTGAACGTGACCTTGCTGATTGTCAGCAACGGACAGGGGTTGGCGCAGATGGTTGCCGGAGAGGATGGGACGGGCTACCTCTGCTGTGAGCTCTTCTTGTCACTCCCCACCCTGGTTTTCTGCATGACTGACTGGTAGCTCGACTCGTATCTCGGTGGTAGTCATCGTGTGCGAACTCATCTTCATGCTCTGCGGCTTTGTCCTGGGCCAGATCCGCACCCTGCAGCGCCTGTCCTGGCTGTCGAACCTCGCCATCTGGATGAACTTCACCGTGATTCTCATCACGTAAGTCGCATGCATTCTGCCCATCCCTGGGGCTGGACGCGATACTAACCCACGGCCCCTCACTGCCCAGTATGATCGTCGTCTACTACTATCCGCCCAACTACAGCGCTGCGATCAAGGCCTCCTCGGGCCTGACCATAGGTCCCGTGGTCACGAGTGCGAACTGGCCCGCGCATGGTACCTTGTATAGTCGCATGACAGCGGTGATGAATTGTGTGTTTGCCTATGGAGGAGCGACGCTTTTCAACGAGCTGATGGCGGAGATGCGACGCCCGTGAGTCGCCCCCCCCTCCCCCCCTTCTCTCTCTTTCTTAAGTGGGTGGTTGACCATCGAACAGATTCGACTTCTGGAAGGGCTTCATTTGCGCCGAGGTGTTCATCTACGTATGCTATCTGGTGGAGGGTATGGTGGTGTATAACGCGCAAGGACAGTTTACCTACAACCCGGCGTACCAGGGTGAGTGCTTGTCAGATTGAGAGAGAGAGAGAGAGAGAGATCAACCAGCTGACCACATCCTCCCAGGCATCCCCGACTCAGCCTACCGATACCAGACGGCCGGAAACGCGCTCTCCCTCATCACCGGAGTCATCGCTGCCCTGTTGTACGGCAACATCGGCATCAAGGTCTTCTACGCCTCCGTCCTCCGTGACGTCTTCCACCTCCCCCCACTGGACCACCGGACGGGGAAATTGATCTGGATCGGACTGGGTGCGTTTCCCTTCCCTTCCCTCTCCCCTCATTCCCCCCTTTGCAAAAAAAAAAAAAAAAAAAAAAAAAAAAAAAACAAAACCTTCCCACAAACTAAACTTCAATTTCCACAGTCCCCGTCTACTGGTGCCTCGCCTGGGTCGTCGCCGCCGCCATCCCCCAAATCAGCAACCTGACCTCCTTCGTCGGCGCCCTCTGCATCCTGCAATTCTCCTACACCTTCCCGCCCATGCTGCTCGTCGGCTTCAACGTGCAGAAGGACGCGATCCTCCCCGAGGAGACCTTCGACCCGCACACGGGCGAGACGCGGCGCGTCGATGGGGGCTGGCAGCGCTGGATGCGCGGGTACCGGCAGAAATTCGCCCGCAATACCTTTGATGTGCTGTACTCGTTGGCCGCGCTGGGGACGGCGGGGCTGGGCCTGTGGGCGTCGATTAAAGCGATGGAGGCGGATTTCGCGTCGACCCCGTTGACCCCGTTTACTTGTACGAACCCGGCGAGTTAAAGTGGCGGAGGGGAATTTGGTAAGTGGTGAAGCTGGCAGTCTGTTGCTGCAAGGGTAGATGTGGGATGGGCAGATTGTCTCGGTAGTCTATGGCATTTCGCTTTCGCATGAGGGTACTTATAAAGGCTATTGGTGTGCCTGGCGGGTTTTGGATTTGCTGGTTGTTGATGGCACTGTCTATCCTCGCGTTGGATCGCATTGAGACGTCTTTTGCTGTCTGGTTTTGAAGGTGCTGTTTCTGGGGTTTTGCTCAGTAACTAATAATCACATAGAGCACACCCCCATTCCTTTTCCTGGGTCTTCTCCTGGTACGTCCATGACTGGCTTGACCGCCACCTGCAGTAGCAGTCCGTTCGCGAGGGGAAGAAAGAGGAAGAGACCAAACAGCCGTCCCGGTTGCTCTATATTATCTATCTGGATGAATCAATGCACATACACAACAACCAACCCCGTCGCCCTTCAATCATGCTCCCTCCTGCTGCTGCCCCTGCGCCGGGGACGGAGACGGAGACGTCGTCGACGACGACATCCCCGCGGAACTCGTCCCCGACGACGCCGCCGTCGCCGTCGCCCCCGAGGCCGACACAGTCTGATAGACCTGAAAACTATTAAACTCCCAGTAGGCATTCGTAAAGTTCGCCCCGTTGCCCGCCGCCCACTGCGTGCACGTCTCCGGACACTCATAGAGATCGGTATAATACCTGGTCGCACCGGCGAGATCGCCACAGACATCGATATTCACAATGATACTCAGGTTCGTGAAATGCGCACTGATGTCGCAGTGCGTGCTGGGGAAGTCGGCCAGCGCCTCCCCCCAGCCGGACGGGTCGGGGCGGCTGCTGACGTTGGAGATGTCGTCCGGGATCTCGTCGCGGGCCCACATCCACACCCGGATCCCGGCGTCACGGAGTTCCATTGCATAAACCTGTTTGCCGGGTGATTGTTAGTGTGTCTGTCTGTGTGAGATCTGGCGACAGGGAATGGGTTGGAGTTTTGGGTTGTGAGCTACACACGCACCCCGCCGCCATTTGCATTGAACTCCTCCCCGTACGTGGCTTTTCCCCCGGTCACGCCGCAGCCGGCATTGTCGTTGGCCGTGTTCAGGCAGTTCGTGTACGTCGGGGCGCCGGTCTCCTTGCGCTTGCCGTTCATCTTGCAGCCGCTGGTGGTGTGCAGCGTCATCGCGTTGCCCTGGGTGCCCTTGTTGTTGGACTCGAGCACGTCGATCTCGCCGTGTTCCGGCCAGTGGTTGGGGTCGGTCAGCCACAGCGCCGGCCACGTCGCGCATCCGTACGGGGTGTGCACGATGTCGAAGAGAAACAACCCGCTCTCGTACGTCTGCTTGGAGGTGATGCGCACCGACTTGCGGCCGCTGGTCTGGTTGGCGGGGCTGGTGTCGACGCGCAGGACGGCCCGCGAGCTTGAGGCGTAGGTCAGGTTGAGCTCTGATGCGGTTGATGAGTCTACATATCTGAAACGCCGACGTTAGCTGTGGCTGGTTGTGTTTGCGCGAGACGGGCGGGGGGATGGAAGCGTGTACTTACTGCACAAACCCGTCCGTTGGGTCGGTGGCGGTGTAGTAGTCGAACTCGTCGAAGAACGAGGACCCAGAGTATTGGCGGGACAGGGTGTAGTTCAGCGCAGAGTAATTGGGGTAGGAAGAAGATTTGAGCCCCTCGACGAGTCCGACGATGAGGGCAACGATGGCGACCACGACCCCGGCGCCCACAAGCGATTTGGTCAACAAGGACCAGCCACGCGGGTCATACCAGGGTCGCGCCGCGGTCGCCGGTGGGGCGGTCTTCTTCATGCCTGCTGGATGGATGGAATTGGCTGCGTTGGGGCCGGTGGTGGTGTAGGGGAGAGTCGAGAGGGGGAGGGCGATGGAAGTCAGTCAGTCAAGGGACTTGAGCGAGTCAAGTCCGTACTGTATACTCCGTATATGCACCGCACCATTTGCCCGGATTGTCCGAGAGGCTGTGGGAGGGGAGGGGCAGAAGCCAACGAGATGCTGTCCTCACGACAAAGGCATACGTAAGCCCCTGGCGGTGCCAGCAGAGCGATGCGGATGCTGGCCATCCAGGGGAGAACCCGGATCTTCCATCGGAGATGAGCACCACAGAGCCATTTCCAATGGGTCAATCCAAGGGAGACCAGAAGGGTCTGAGCCAGAAGCTACTCCGGAAGCATTGAAGGTGGATATTCAAGGGTCCAGCGGACACACCAGGGCAGAGGAAAAGATGATATGGATGAAGCTCATGCATGCATGAATCAGTCACTTCCACGTCAACGATCCACTTCTTAGCACCCAATGGAGTCTAGACCCGCTGGAAGATGATGCTTCGTTGGCGAGAAGAGGTTGAGGGATCAAAACAGTGGATAAAAGTTGATGCCTGAGATTGAGTGGGGATGTTCAATGATGACTAAGCCAAGTGGCATAAAGTGAGTCATGCACGACACATGGAATTTATGCACCACTGCACAACTATCTCATTGCAAGTCAAGGATTGAGTTGGAGGTCAACACACAGTTATACTCAAAACACAAACGCAGAGAGAGAGATGAACCTCACAATGGCTCATGCAACGCCCATGCGAGAAGGATCGAAAGAGACAGTGCGGCCAGATGCACCGACTGTCCCAGCACTGCACCTCTACTTGCGATGACCGAGGGTGAGCTGCTGGGAGTCGCAGAGGCAGACTGAGTCTTGGAAACGGCCACCCCCACGGTCGCATTTCGACATCGTGGTCAATATACAGGCCTCGGAAAAGAGCTGCCAGAATCGACCTCGGTAGATCATTCGGGAGGGAGGAACACCAAAGACGAGGGGGGCACGTCCTTCGTGAGAAGGGTGTCGTTGACGGGCACGTCGGCCAAGAAGGCCATGAGAGTGCCTTCCAACAGATAGGAGTCCAGCTCGCCCAACACCTACCTGGGTGCCAGTCGAGTGGCTCCCCAGCACAATCCCGAAGCGACACGAGGAGACCAGGCCCTGCAGGCAGAGGGAGTGGAAGAAAGGCGGTGCACCGTGGGGGAACTGAGCCACCTCACCACCCGCGAAGCCCACGATGCCATCCCCCGGAATGAGAGGGGTGCCATCGGCAGCCCCAAGGGTCTGGTCAATGGTCCAACGGCCGTACGTGAAGGGGTCGTTGTATAAGGTGCCTGTTACCTGCTGCGAATCAATATACGCCGCCGAAGCACTCTTTCCCGCCTGTCACATACCGAGCCCGTTCTAGCGCCATCACTCTGTGTCGTCCCTTAAGCATTCTCAAAGGGGAGATTGAGTGTCACAGATGAGGGACTCGAGTTATATTACCCCGGGTTTACAATGTGCAAGCTCGCGAACCAGAAGCCCTAACCCGCGGGGAATAGCCATGCAATCCATAGAACGTGGAATCGCCTACATCGGACTCGGAGACGGTCTCAAGACCAGATTTGGTGCGACGCGACCACCTGGCTGCTGGATCCGACCGCCGTACTAATGAGAGGTGCGCGGAGATTGGACGCGCTGAGTTCTGGGGCGTGGCCAGGCACAATGCCAGCAACCAAGAGCCGTAAGAACTACCCAGTGCTGGGGAGGAGTCATTCTGGATTACAGATAAGGTCTCTTGAGTTATATATGAGGTCCAAAGCAAAGAGGAGCCGTCGGGCGCGTGGATCTGATCTTTCCAAGGATGGAGGCCATCTCTGTGACTTTATAGTCCATCTCGCACATCTCGCAAAGAGGCTGAGCAGACACATACCGTATCCCATTCCAGCAATGAAGACGAGCGACGATCTGAGAATCTGGGGTCCAACGCGATCTCCACCGGTGTGGAGTATGATCTACACCAGGTATCTCGCTTAGCAGAGTACCCTACTCAGCCTCGTGTTTTCTCTCCCTGGAAGGTCAAGGTAGTTCCAACTCAGCCACGACTGGTCCGCTCGCGTAGACTAACCCAACGTCGATTAGCCGCCGGATTCGCATCAGGCTGAGGCTCGTTAACCTTAGTTTTAAAGTCACACCTGCGGCCACGTCGGGGGGTCTGACCGTTGGTGACTTCCCTGGCTACATCCACTCATCGGTCTGCCCTCGCGTACGCTAACCGCCATAGGCTTCTTTCTCGGCGGCACCAAGGGCTGTGATCAACGGGCAACCGGCGGACAACCAGCGGACAACCAATCGAGTTCAGCATGAACCTTTGTCCGAGACTCGGTTCGAAGGCGCCATGACCATGACGGGAAGACCCCAAGCTGCAAGGTCCCGGAACGGCTGCATCACCTGCAAGTAAGTGAGGGATCGTATTGGGATGTCTGCGTCGTGGTCGAGCAGATTCAACTAATCCTCGGTAGGATTCGTCGAGTGAAATGTGACGAGCAGAAGCCGGAGTGCAACCGATGCGTGTCCACCGGACGGACTTGCGACGGATACCAGGATGGATCCCAGTCGCCGACGCACCGGTCCTGCTCGTTGCGAATCATCCAACATATTCCCCCGGGCCGAAAGCCCCCGTCTGCCGTGCCGCTGACTGCCGCTGAGCTTCGTTGTCTGGAGTTCTTCCACCACTATACCCTCCCGAGCTTAGGACCAGAAGTAGGCTCGTATCTGCTGCAAGCGACGAGCAGTGAGCCGGTCATCCGATCAATCGCGCTGGCCGTGGGCTCCGTGCACCGGTCCTTTGCTTTCTTCAGCGACGAAGACACCACCTTTACCTTGACTCACTACAATAAAGCCATCCGACAGCTGGTGGGGACGCAGCAGGACAGAAACCTCGTGCTCCTGGCATGCATCCTGTTCTTTTGCTGCGAGTGTCTGCAAGGCCGCTACAGGACCGCCATTCAGCATGCCTTATCAGGCATTCGCATTCTCCAGCAGCAACAGGTGCTCTCCGAGGCCTCTTCCGAGAAGGCCCCACCAGCGGTGGCCACCCTCTTCCATGCCGTGCAAAACCAGGTGCTCGAGATCGAGGGCATGGACGGGATGGACCCTGAGTCGCAGCCCAGGCTCTCCCCATCCGCTGCAACGTTAGCCCTACTCAGTCAGCCACTAAACATCACGGACCACCAACGCATCTTCCGACAATTGTACCATCGATTCATGCAGATCGACGCACTAGCCGAGGCGTTCGAGATGACTCCCCACGACCACTCCCCGGCCCGCGTTGCACACGAACAACAGTTGCTGACGGAGTGGTTCCGGGTCCGCGCGGACCTGAAAGGCTGGATGCAGGACTTCGACCATCAGATCATCCATGCATGGCAGACCGACCCCACCACCGGATCGCTGCGCGCCAAGTCCACCGCCATCCTCCAGGCCTGGAAGCTGCTATTCGACATGTACTTCCGGATGGACTGGCCCCCGTCTGAGCTGGCGTGGGATCCGTTCATCCCCGTGTTCCAGTCGATTGTCTCCCTGCTATCCTCTGTGCCGGCGATTCTCCCCAGGCATACCCCCTGTGGTCAGTCCCTTCCACGGACCACACCGGCAACATGCAAGGTCTTCGGCCCAGTGCCGCACTCCCCTCCCAGCCCACATTCACTCTCTCTCTCGGCTTCCTCACCCTCCTCTACATCTGCGCCACCCGCTGCCGCGACTCCACGATCCGCCGCCGCGCGCTCCGGCTGCTGGAGACTTGTCGCCGCCGCGAAGGCGTCTGGGACTCGGATCTGGCCGGCCGGGTGGCGCGTCGGCTCATCGAAATCGAGGAACATGCTGCCGGGTTGGCGCCGGATGCTGCCTATTCGCCAGCCGACATCAGCCTGGATGCGCGGGTGCGGTCCTCATCGCCGCAGTTTGGGGAGGGGAGGGAGGCCCGACTGCGGTATATTGGCGGTAGTTGCCAGTCTGAGGTGGAACCGGTGGAAGAGACGATCCTCTGGTGACTCTGTCTTAAATTACCGGATACGTTGGGAGGTCTTTGAAGGACACGAGTTGTGCTTTCGTGTTTGTCACTCTATAGCCAATTCGTTATGATAATAAGGTCAGGTCAAGATCAGACCTTAATGGCCAAGCTTTTATTGACGGCCCATTTCACAGAGCTTGGTTGCGCTCACAGACTAAATAATGACTGCGAATCGGCTGTCTTATGTATGTTCAGGTCTTGTTGTCTGGCTTCATTATTGTTAGAACTTCTGTTAACCCGAACGCAGCGTAAAGCAGTCCTGTGTGATATATACATCCACGCAATAGTTGTCGGTGCTGGCTGGGAGACGTTCACCGCCCGTTGTTTGACATGAGAGGACGTAGAACTAGAATCATCCGTCTTTGGAGTGTCCAAGTAGACTGTTTGATGATTAAACACCCTTCAGATGCTAGTCATGTGCGTGCGTTCATATACAAAGTGATCAATTATCATCGGCAGCGTGGTGGTCCTAGGCATATATTGCTATAAAAGAACACAGTTTTCAACAATTGGGGCTGTGGTTTAGTGGTATAATATTCCCTTAGCATGGGAGAGGTCCGGGGTTCGATTCCCCGCAGCTCCATCTTTTTGTTTTTTTCCTTCTCTTCTTTCTTCTCTTGTCAACTTATTGATTTATTGACTCCTGCATCAACAGTGGCTCTCTCTACTCACAAGCGTCGAGTATTTGATGATGAAGCAATTGAAACATGAAGATACATCATCGTCCACCTCCATCCCCACCGTGCTGTGCCTCCATCCACACCGACCGCATGTTATCCACCCATCCCAACGACGTCAACCTCCGCCATACGGACTGCCCCGGAATCTTCATCCACAGCCACCATCCACCATCCACCATCCACCTCTTCACTCCGATCTCCATCCCAGACTACTGTCTTCAAAATGCTTAGTCTCAACAGGCACATCAATCATCATGACACCCCCATGACGCAACCAGCGCAGACAATCAACATATATCCGCCCTCCTCATCACCCTGCTAGCTAAACCATTCATCACAAACCAAGCCATCTCATACACTGCTACTACATCCACCTTAACAACAACCAACCTCAACCCATCCACCACAAACTACGCAACCTCCATCAAACCAATCCTCTTTACCCACAGCCAACCCCAAAATGTCCTCGCAATCCACCAACCGCGACTTCGCGTCCGCCACGAACGTCGAGCCTCTCAACGACCGCAACACCCAGTCGCAGGACGCCGCCCAGCAGCCCTCCTTCTCCGGGCCGGGGGCCAGCACCTCTGCCGCATCGACCACCAAGCCCCACGGCAACAAGCTGCTGAACAAGCTGGACCCGCGGTTTGATAGCGATATGCTGGAGGAGCAGCAGCAGGAGCGGGAGAAGCGGGAGGGGCCGCAGGAGTAGGAGGCAGCAGATCCCAGCGGGGATATGATGCATGCACGCGTCAGATAGGGGTGGGTCTATGTTGGTTATGTTGATTATGTTGAACAAGCGAGGGATGGGATTTGTACTGTATACACTATATTACTATATGCACAGGAAAGTTAAAAAATGACTGTCCCTGCAAGGGTCAGAGGCGTAAGCAGCAGCGCTCTACGCATCAATTCGAACCGTTAATAATCGCCTCGGAGATCTTCTCTGCCAACATATCTACCCCCCCAGAAATTAGCAACCCATCCTTTCCCTCGGACCACCACGCATAGAGAAATCAAGGAAGGGTACTCACAAACAGTCGATTGCGGATGCCCCGGCGGCAAGAAAGGAAACGCACTCGCATCCACCACCCGCAACCCCTGGACGCCATACACGCGCGCCTGGGGGTCGACGACCGCCATCTCATCGCTCGCCACCCCCATCTTGCACGTCCCCGCGGCGTGCCACAGGGTCATCACGTTCTCCCGGATAAAGGCGAGGATCTGCGCGTCCGTCTGCGTCTGCGGGCCCGGGAAGTACTCCGCGCCCAACACGACGGGCGCCATCGCTGCGCTCTGGAAGGCGGCGCGCATGCGCTTGAACATCGCCACTGCCACCTCCTGATCGGTCTGCGTGGCCAGCCAGTTCGGCTGGATGAGGGGCAGGTCCGCCGTGTCCGCGGACTGCAGCGTCACGTTGCCGCGCGAGGTCGGGGTGATCAGCACCCCCAGCATGGAGGCGTATTGGTAGCCGTCGCGGGGCTGGCTGGTGAGCAGGTTGGAGAGGTTGCCGATGTAGCCGGCGCCGGAGATGTACTGCCGATAGGTTAGTGGGGGGTGTATGTTTGAGAGCGTAGACGATATCTGGAGGGGAAGGGGGGCTATACCTCTGCCTCGGGCCAGTCGTCGGGGAAGGTGGCCAGATCTGCCTGGGTCTGCTGGCTGAATGCGGAGCGCAGGCTGGCGGGGATCTTCTCCCAGGCGAGGTAGTCGGCGATAGGGTTGGTCAGGGGCCCGGTGCGAGTGGCAACCATGTTGAGGAACTGGCCCACCAGATCCAGCAGGTTCAGCGCAATAGCCGTGAAAGTTGGCACGTTGACGCGATATGAGGGGGCGAAGAAGGGGTGATCCCACATATTCTGCCCGACACCGGGGCGGTTGGCGACGAGGGTGATCTGATGCTGCGCCAGGATCTCCTGGGGTCCGACCCCCGAGACCATCAGGAGCTGCGGCGACTGGAAGGCGCCGGCCGACACGATCACCTCCTTCTGGGCCTGGAGGGTGAAGACGTTGCCCAGCGCCCCCTTGACCTGCACCCCGGTGGCCCGTTTGTCGCTGTTGAAGAGGATCTTCTTGGCGAGGGTATTCGTGTACGTGGTCAGCGTGGCGGGCTTGATGGTGGCCAGAAAGGACGACTCGGAGCTGCTGCGCAGCTCGTCCTGGGGGTTGATGGTCGAGGAGCAGTACTGCGCGCCCAGCAGCGAGCCCGAGTTGAAGTCGTCGGTCGTGTTGATCCCGATGGCCTGCATCCCGAGATCCATCCACGTCGAGAAGGGCATCGCGTAGTTGGCATACGAGACCTGCAGGGGCCCGCCACTGCCGCTCGATGCGAAGGCACTGCTGTCGTCTGCGACCGTCGCGTTTTTGAATCGCAGCTCGCTGTTCGCGGGCGTGAACGTCACGCTGCGCTTGTAGTAGGGCAAGACCTGGTCGAACTCGTAGCTGCTGTCGTTCACGGCCGTGGCCCATTCATGCATCGCGTCACGGGTTGGTCTGTTGGGCGCAGCAGTCAGTCACACGACCGTCTAATTCTCTATCCTGCCTCGCAGTCGGACACTCACCGTTGGTATATCATAAAGTTCATCGCCGACCTGTCATCCCTTTGGTTAGCACCACTCGTCTCAGGCGTCCCGGGGAGCGCATCACATACGACCCGCCCAGGCACTTCCCCCGTGCATAGTGAATCGACCGTCCATTGGCACCGGGCACCTTCTCAGCGACAAACCCCCAGTCATGGAGCGCAGAGGTCGTGGGGTCCGATCCGACCGGGATCACATCCGCCGCCGGCACCTCCGCCACGGACTCCAGCTCGTATTGGCCGCCAGCCTCCACCAAGGCAACCTTGAATTTTTGCTGCGCCAGACGCGTCGCCATCACAATGCCTCCCGTGCCGCCCCCGACGACCACATAGTCGAAGCTGTCATCGAAGAGGCCGCGCGCCGGGTGGGCCGTGGGGGAAGCGGCGGTCCCCGGGACCAGCCATGGTACAGCGAGCGACGCAAGAACGAGGCGACCCTTCATCTGGGCTGTGGTTAAGAGAGTGTGAGTGCCAGAGAAGGCAGAGAACGAAAGCAGAAAGGAGAGTGGGAGGGATGAGAGGACAAGGGGTCAAAGGAGTGGACGACCAGCGGGAGGACAGCTGCAGCAGTAGCTTCTGAAATATGAAGCCTACTCGAGCGGGTGTCTCCTCTGAAGTAGGGCAGAACTAAGGAGATTGGGATCCTGGCCGTCCAGATTCCCAACCGCCATTGTGGATCAGTCGAGCTGGAAAGTGACCAGTCCATGGCCCAATCTTCAGCCACAAACTGTATCCTCATCCCCCCTGGGAGCAGCTGTACGCGAATGCTGAATCCGCAATTCCTGCCAGGGGGCCCAGGAATGAATTTCTCTCCGAGTCAGCATTCCTGGCATCACGAGACAAGATTCCACACAACACATAACGGCACTGTTTCCTCACTGCCTGGCTGGAGCAAGCCAGATATCGCGATCAGGCTCTGGACTCTGTGCTCCCCTTTGCGCGTGGGGGGAGGACACCACGAAGCTGGCAAAGCAGGAATTTTGAGCAATGAGATCGACAGGGACGGGAGACTCAGGCTGAAACAACCGAGCGGAGGCGTTCACGAGCGAAGTGGATGCGGAGGACTGGCCCGATCGCAAATCTGAGATGGGCCCAAAATTGGGTGGTTTTAGGATTTTGGCGGAGATACACTAAAGATCGGCTGGGGTTTCTTGGAAAAGTGCCTTGACTCCTGAAGATTCGTATCTGAGACACCTTCCAGACAGTCAAGCGCCATGACGAGATGATCTTGCACTCAGAGAGACCCGTAAGACCAGCCAGCGAGGCTGGAAAAAGGCCTTGGTGTGGGATTGTGTGATATCAGGGCTTGCCGAGGTGTTCCGATGCACGCGTCGGGGAAAACCAGGCAACCCCGCAATTTCTTCCTGCAGCTCCTTTCGTACTGCCCTGTACATATTGTACATATCAACGGTCTGCCATCGCACCCTGCAGGAGAGCCAGAAATTCAGGTTAGCGACATGGTGCATCGAAGTAGGGCTGTGGATTGTATGTAGATGAATTGTTGTGCAGGGGGGATTCAGAGAGGGGCTGACTAAGCCTTCTGAGGAGGAGAGGAGAGAGGAAGCTCGGTCTACGCAGTGTATCTACCCAGAGGATCAGATCCTCAGGATGATGTGTAGTCCTCATACTCCAGGAAGCGAGGTCGTACATGCAGTTGAAAGTAGGAGAGTCCCCTGGCGGAGTATACGTTTAGCCGATGATACTGACTGAACCCTCATTCACCCTGAGCCACGATCTCCCCTCCCCCACCACCGAGGTATCATCCATCCCCAACAGAAGATAACCCGCAAACTCTACTGCATGTGCAAGGGAGAGGCTCTGAGAAGTCAAGTGCTACGAGCAACTCCAAGGCCGGTTGAGCCGCCCCGTTGTCGCCGTAGCCACCGACGGCCCTACCCTGCAAAGGAAGATCTGCATAGCCGCGGTGATTGTCCCCTCACCCTCACCCAGCAGCCGAACCATTCTCTACCACCGCATGAACTCGGACGCCAAATTGTGACTTATCACATGCCAAACCACCGAGTTTATCCAGGAGTCGGAAGGGGTTCTGCCTCTTCATAACCGCTGGGGTCAACGAGGTACATCTTTCTATATAGGGTCCCCCCTCCACCACCCCCCCTGACAGCCACTAGACCCCTCCAACCACCGGCCTGAAGAACCTCCTCGCCTTTGTGACAGCACCAACACCATGAGTGGAACACATCCCAAGCCACAGGACTCGATGAAGTCCACGTGGCGCCAGATTGAGCGCAAGCAGTGGAGGTATCCTCACTGGATGATCGAGCTCCTGGGCATCCACCACATCAATCTGGATCAAGAGGTTCCTGTCCACGCCAAAGATGCGAAGATGCCCTATCTCCCCGAATACTCGCTTCACCGCTGGATTCTCTGGCACGCCCTGCTCCCCCTGCTCGTGCACCAGCTCTATGTCACCTACACTGGCCACGCGATGAGCCGGGTCGGCGCCTTCGTCTTCTACAGCGTCGCCTTCAAATTGATCGCCGTTCACCAACTGCACGTCTTGCGCCGACTCGGCCATGTGGTCGGCTTCTTCGATGGCGACCAACATCCGCGCGACGGGGTCCCCGACGTGGGGATTGGCAAAGTCGTCCAGTCCCTCCTGTCGACCTCCACCTTCCGCCCCGTCATGACCGTCTTCTTGGCCTACCAACCCAGTCAAGCCCCCTCACACATGAGCTGGACCTGGCTGATGCTCGAAATCGGGCTATATGGGATCGTCCTCGATTTCTGGTTCTACTGGTATCACCGCCTCATGCACGACGTCGAGGGTCTGTGGAAATACCACCGCACCCACCATCTCACCAAGCACCCCAACCCGCTGCTATCCCTCTACGCCGACACGGAACAGGAGATCTTCGACATCGCAGGGATTCCCCTGCTGGCATACTGGTCGCTCAAGCTGATGGGGTGCCCCATGGGGTTCTACGAGTGGTGGATCTGCCACCAATATGTCATGTTCTCCGAGCTGACCGGCCATAGTGGGCTGCGCGTCTGGTCCACGGCGCCTTCGACCCTGAGTTGGCTCCTGCGGCTCACGGGGACGGAGCTCGTGCTCGAGGACCACGATCTGCATCATCGCAAGGGGTGGAAGCAGAGCGCCAACTACGGCAAGCAGACCCGTCTCTGGGATCGGCTGTTCGGGACCTGTCGCGAGCGGATTGAATGCCGACCGGAGAATGTGGACTGGGATAGACCAGTCCCAATGCCTATCTTCTAGCCTGGGTGGGAGGCGAGTGGTTGGTGGATGGACGGCTGTGGGGGGGGAAGTGGTTGGCCCGTTTTTTTTGGATTTCTGAAGAGTGGTTTGATATTGGGATCTCTGGACCTTGTCACGAATTACTCTTGCCAATGAACGACGTTTCGGACCTCGTTGCGCTGCTTAGGCGTATGTGACACCCATTCAAGCAGACTTGGAGTAGAGACTTCTGAACCCCTTTCCCGGGGCCTAAAGTCTCTCATTGATGATCATCGGTGTCTACAGCTCTGCCGTCCGTGGCTCTCACTCGCCCACCCTCATCGCCGGTCAGGTTGATGCAGAGCTATGTTGAAGGTGGGTGCCGGATGAGGGCACTTGGAAGGATCCCATGGGTGGTAGACTTCGCATGCCTTGGCCATTGACGATTTAAAAGGGGGCCTGATGGCGAGGAGCTCGCCGAGCACGGTGTATGGTCGATCGATGAGCGAGTCTCTCGAAATCTACACAAGTCATCAAACTGGCAGGCTCGATTTGGAACCGGACTTACGAGCGTATCTAGGCATCATCCACTGGCTCTATCTTGCCTTCTCTCTTTTGCGCCTCTGTTCCACTCTCTGCTGAAGACTAAGCCAGTAGGGATATTTAGTAGTCGAAACTTGGCAGCCACAGTCTGGGTAATTCACTTCTTTTCATACGATCTGCCTAGTACCCCGTCCAATGTAGCAGAGTAACATCTCTGAATCTTCACGGTGTGCCGTGGCGATTTGCATCTGGGCGGCGAGGAGCTGCAGGCCAGAGACTGACAAGATCCGGTCAGTGCGCAAGGAGTCATCCTGAATCTGCTCTCATGCCTGTAGGGAACCTCTCTATAAAGATTCCCCGGACGGGAGGTGGACAAGCCAGCAGATCCTTTTCTAGTTCCTATTAAAGGCTGGAATTGCTTCCTCCCATCAAACATCTTTTTCTTACATATACCTCCATACTATCTACCCTTCTTCTTCTGCTGCTGCTACCCACCCTGTTACCCATGTTGCTCCCAGCTAAAAGCCTACCCAACGAGTCTGCCATCCCAGCGGTATGGATGCGCTCCGGCACGTCCAAGGGGTTGTTCCTGCGGCGCGAGCACCTCCCCGTTCACGAGGCAGAGTGGGAGCCCACCCTCCTGGCCCTCATGGGGTCCACGAAGTCCCAGCAGTCAGGGGAGGAAGCACCGCAGACCGACGGTCTCGGCGGGGGAACGTCCACAACGTCCAAAGTAGCCATCGTGGCGCGGTGCCCCCGGCCCGGCATCGACTTGGAATACAGCTTTGTCCAGGTGGACTTCCAGGCCGGCCGGGTGGATCGCTCGGGGACATGTGGGAATATGGTCGCTGGAGTGGGCCCATTTGCGTGGGATCAGGGGCTTCTCAGTGCATCGTCAGGATGGTCCTCCTCCTCCTCTTCTTCTTCTTCCTCTTCCTCCGCCCTGTCAACGACAGGGGACGGAGAGGATGAAGCAGTCGCCCCGAGTGTGAGTTATGATTTGCCGCAGAGACTGGGTCCGTTGTGGTGATTGATGCTGTTTTCTCTAGATTGATGTCCGAGTCCTCGATACGAATACCGGCCAAATCTTTCGTCTCACGATGCCGAACCCCCACTACCGCCACCAACCTCCCCCTTCATCCTTCCTGTCTACATGGGAGAACATAAAGGTGACGCTCATGCGCCCTGCAGGCCGCCTGACGGGGTCACTATTCCCCAAGCGGGGGAGCAGCAACAGCAGCAGCGAAGGGGAACGCACTACCGTGCTCGAGATTCCCTGTGGCTGGACTAGCCAGCTCCTCCGCGTCCGCGCTACGCTGATCGACTGCGGCAACCCCTTCGTGCTGGTGGTGGCGGCTGACATGCCCGCACAGTACAATGAGCAGCCGCAGGATGCGCTCTCCAGCGAGGCAGCTCGCCGGACGGTGGAAACCCTCCGTCGAGCTGCCTCGCTCTGCTTCGGGCTGGCTACCAGCTGGGACGCGGCGGCTCGCCAGAGAACGATCCCCAAGATCGCAGTGGTGACAGCCGCGGCCCCAGAGACAGCTACAAGCACGGTGCATGCGAGCGTTACTGCCTATAGTCTGGGCGAGGTGCATCCGACGATCCAGCTCACCGGCGCAGTCGCGGTGGCGGCGGCCCTTACTGTGCCGGGCACGGTCCTTGCTGCGGCGTCAATGGCCAAGGGGGAGAATAATAATGGCTGCTCCTCAACATCCACTCGGGCCTGGCGTATTGCGCACCCCCGAGGTACGGTGGAGGTCGAGGTTGTCTTGTCGCACGGGGCGGAGGGGTACTGCATTGAGAGTGCGTCGGTGATGAGGTCAGCGCGGAAATTGTTTGAGGGGCAGGCCTTTTATTCCTTGAGATAGATAAATAGTAGTTGGAATCGAGGAGATTGCGAGATCAGCATGAATGGGGGACGAATACCTGATACGCTGTACTTTGAAGGACTTTTGCTAAACTTGCCGGATTAGCTCCAGCCCTAATGCTTCTGCTTCTGTTTTCAATCTGGGACGGAAGTGTCACTGTAAGAAGACCGCTCAGCCCAAGCCGGGGAGGAAATGGTCTCTCGCGTGACATGCAGATACAGACTAGGAGATCAGCAGTCACACGTCAGTCGCGGCCTGATTTGGCTAGAAGGGCATGAAGACATGTCTTCTCGCGAACAACATCACGCGGACTCTAGCGCCTACTGGCGTCGACTCAAGGTCTAGACCAGGATGCATGAACGAGCGATCGAAGACGCAGTGTGACAAGGGAAACTTGTATGAGTCAGTGATCTGGCCCTTGCTACCAAGTCATTACTGTCCTCCCCTCACGAGAGAGCCTATCCGAAAATCATGTCCAGCGACGCCTTTCAGAGGCTCGGATTGTACGGGCCTAGTGTCATGCGCAGGGAACATCCTGGCTTAGGAATGATTCAGGATGCAGATCCAGACAAGCAGTCACTTACAAACAAGACTTACACTTGAGAAGCCTCAGCATAGGGCTTATCTCCATCACAAGTTGGACGCTAATAACGGTAGCCTGAGAATACTATTTATAAGATGCTTCCCCCTATCTCACTACAGGGCGCCAGAACTTCTACTGAGTTGATCGCCTCACTCACAGCAACCCATCCACATCGTTTTCACAACAGACTATCCTTTACCCTAGCTCATCACCAAAATGAAGCTATTCACTGCCGTATTCTTGTTTCTGTCTACGCTGCTTGCAGCTGATGCTGCCCCGGCGAAACGGTAAGCTCTATCATTATGGCTGGTCGTTGGCATTCATTTTGTGAGCTTTTTGGCCGATCTGGTGAATAGAGCCCCCAATTCCGTGGATGTGACGTCCAACTATGACTGGAACGACCGCGAGGCGCGAGCTGTGGATATATCATCGAAGTACGATTGAGGCATCCGAGGGGCATTGGGGTGGCTGCAATCTAGGAGACACAGAGCAGTCATGCTTCCCCCGGAATGGTCAGACTCAAGTCTTAGTGAAAGGATACCATGTTGAACAGATTGAATCTCATCCTCGCTTCCTCATGTTCCTCTGCCACCGTACGAGATACTCTGTCCTCAATCAGGAAACGTCTGAGAAGCATTATCAATGAATCCAACTCCATGTCCCAGAATGCGCAATCCCTGTGTGACAGGGAACACTTGAGTACATGCCATGCTAGACAGTCATTCCAATTGGAAGCATAAGAGGCTAGGTAGAAACTGTACTTGAAAGACGATAATGGTCATTCCCCGATCACCAATGGAACACACCTGTCCAGTCCATCATCCCAGAGCACTTTACTATGATTGATCCCTGGTATACAGCCCCTGTGACCATCACCGACATTCTGTCCATCCCATTGATCCGATCTGCCGCGCCACGACTGGCTGCTGCTGGCAAATCTGACTCCGCAGGAGATTGTCCAAAGAGTACAATATCGGCCACTGACGGCTGAGATCCATACCAGGTTTCAGTATAACCACCTCATGTATGTTGCAGCAGCCCCGATCATTGAGTCTGTTTGCGGTCAACCCTTGCAATCCTTCAAGGCAGAGAGAATCTGCGCCCCCTTGAACATGTGCGCAGCCTATCTTTCATTGGCCGACGCCCAGCAAGCAGGCAGTCATGTCTCACAGGGCTATTACATCGAGACCCAAGCCAGGCTCACACCCATCCACGCGCGTGAGATGAAGAGTGCCGGAGGTGCGGGGAACATCCTGTCCTCTGTCTCGGATTCCGCCAGATGGAAACGTATCTACCCTCCTTCGTCGAGGGCCGCCGATCTCAGAGGCCGCTTACCACGCTTTCTTCGGTGCAGTCGCACCTTTCTCGTCACCCCCACTATACGCACTGGGCTAGGTGCTACAGACACACCGCGGTGAAACCGTAATCCAGCACACTGGATTCCAGTATGGGTACGGCTCCCTGGTGTTACTGTACTACGGTCTAAGCGAAAACTGGGATTCGTGATCATGGGCGATAACCTGCGTGGAACCAATGCGGCTGCGGATATCATTTCTGATGATCTCATCGATGATGTTCTCAGCGTTCCGATGAATGATTGCTTTGACTGGATACGAAGGGTTGTGACAGCCCAGCGATGGGATTGTGTAACTGTGGTCTGTGATTGACTGGATGCACCGTGTTGTAATCCATAGAGCCGATCAAAGGCTAGAAGCTGATGACTGACGGCGACACTTTTCGTCAATTCCACCCCTCTACCCTACCCGCTCCACCTGCCGGCATCTGAGGGCACATTTGTGCCTCCTGCAATCCTCATTTGACGATATCCAGTGATTGTGGCAATGTTGAAGGCCGAATACCGACGCGGAAGGGAAAGATCCCGGGCTTTGCGCATTTTCTGTTGCGCCTGGTGAGCATGTTGTCGGTGGAACTGTATCTGATCACTGAGGCCTCTTGGGGTCTGGTCACCACGATGTATGGTAAGTCATATGAATGCTGAGGTGGAATTGTTTGTGGCTGGCTCGAAAGGGGGAGAAGATCTGGTGGACGCAGGTTGAAACATCGTACCCGGGGTATATCGGATAGTCAGTTGAGTGATTTTCAGTTCTGTGTTTGGCGAGCACATCCTGAAGCCAGCTGGCTATAGTGCTCGGATCCATACAAAGATCAGGTTGTTCTCTGCACCCTCAAACGCTTCTCTTAACCATAAACTGCGGAATTGAGCCTGATCCAACATCTCTCCCTAGAAGACGCTCTTCAGAGCTCCATAACCCCTGGGACAAACTGTTCAGAATGGAAAGGCCAGAGCTGCAGACCCTATACTCCCTTCTTGACCATGTCAAAGCCTGTATCGCGTTATACGAAGCGACGTACTCCGATCGCGCACGACTGCAGGCGTATGAAACGTCTGTGAAGCTGACCAGGGCTCTCGAAGACCCCAAAAATGCAGTGTTCAAGCTTTTTCTCTCGGTAAGTGAAACACCCTACCACTCCTCCACGTCGAAGCTCACTCGCCAGCCGACCCAAGCGATGGCAGTCAAGATTGCGCATGACCTCGGTCTCTTTGCGATTCTGGCAGCTTCAGACGTGGCGGTTTCGTGCAAAGAATTGGCTGATCGGAGCGGTGCCCATCCACTGCTTGTCGGTTCGTCATCCCTGTTGTTGTTGTTGTTGTTGTTGTTGTTGTTGTTGTTGTTCTGTCCCCAACCCCTGCTGCTCCAGAGGCCCCTTATCACACGTACGAATCAATCATTTACTAATCGTGTTCCAGAACGGATCATGCGGGTCCTCGTCGCAATGGCCTTCGCCCAGGAGCATAGTGGTCGGAAGTATTGTGCGACCTTGCTCTCGAAGGAGATGGTAGGCAAGAAATCTGCCATTGTCGACACGTTGTATGTCGCACATGGTCCCCTGCAATCCCTGCGTATATTTTCGACCCAATAACTGAGATGGCGTGCATCAGATTCGTCGACATTGCCCCAGCGATTCTGAAAACGCCCAAGATCCTCCGCGAAACGAACTACCAGAACCCCGAAACCCCCTGCGCCGGACCGATCCAGCATACGTACGGCACCCCGCTGGCGACCTTTGACTGGCTGGCTGAGAATAAACCTATCCAGCAACGCTTCCACGCCTATGTGGAGGCCGTCAGAGCGGGTCAGCCCTATTGGGTGGATTGGTTCCCCGTGCAGGAGAGGATTCTGCACGACTGCTGCTGTGGCCCCGATGATCCACTCATCGTGGATCTGGCGGCCGGCCGTGGAGGTGATATGTGGGCCTTCAAGCGGAAGTTCCCTGATGCCACCGGGAGAGTCATTATCCAGGACCTTCCGGCGGTGTTCCAGGACGTCTACGGTCAGGACCTGGGGCTCGAGAGGATCGAGCATGATATTTTCGATCCCCAGCCGATAATTGGCAAGTCGACGAATTTTATCTCCTGTGTGGCGAACATGGGCCAAGAGCTAATATCGCACCATGCAGGGGCGCGCGTCTACTACCTCCGATGGATTTTACATGAGTTCTCGGACGACGGCTGCAGAAGGATCCTCCAGGGCCTCACCCAGGTGATGCGAAAGGGGCACTCGAAGATCCTGATCGAGGAGTTTATTCTTCCGGATGAGAATGCAGGGTTGTTCCCGTCGATGGTGGACATGCTCCTGATGGTCTTCGGTCCGGGAATCGCGCGTACGGAGGGCCGGTGGCGCACGATGCTGACCTCTGTGGGGCTCAGGGTCAACCTTGTGGCGCACGCGAACGGTGAAGGGCCGTCTATCATTGAGGCGGAATTGTAGGTTGAGGTGCTGCTTGCGTTTGGCCCACCTGGGCTGAAGTCGGGTGCTACACATGTGGACGCACTACTGCCGCTAAGCCCATGCATGGCTGGGAAACATGCATTGGAAGGACGATGTTTCTAGGCATCTAGCAGGTTGGACACAGTCTGATGTCAATACAATCACCTTATCATTGGTTTCCAAACTGGCGAAAAAAGCAACTCCAGTCCTCACGGACAAGCCTCATCCGGCGCAGCATTCGTACATGGTGGCTCCAACAGCTCCAGGGAATCGGAGCGTCTCACCGGCTCCGTGTCGATATCGTTGGCCTCTGAGTACCGCAAGATTGGATCGAGCTTGCGGCACTTATGCCACACATTGAAGTCCGGATAGCTAATCCGACGACCCTTGACCCAGCTGCGAGTCACCACGCCGACATCGCCCCCGCACTGGATCACTTGTCTCAGCAGATCGATGCAGTGGTCTAGGAAATCAGCAGTCTGCACGCACAGGGAGACCGCAGATGCCTTACCCACATGTAAACGCAGGGTTTCCTTGGAGTCGTGGAACTCTGCCGGCTTATTGTCCAGGTTCGCGTAGTAATCGTAGTAGGTATATTGTCGGACCAGATTGACGCAGTGGAGCTGATCACTGGATTAGTCTTGGGGGATCTGTGTACGGAACAGCTGTGATGCCATGCAGGGATAGTGAGCAACCTGATGAAACACCTCGATCCCCGCCGCGTATCCGTCGCCTTCCGTTTCGGCCACCTTCACTTGCGTCAAGGGTTTGTTCAATCGCAGCATGTCCTCGGCGGAGACTTTCAGTTGCGCCACTAGAGACGTCAATAGCAAGACCTGTGAGCCGGGAGGCCAGGATGAATACTATGAGTTATGCGTTTCCATGCCGCATCCAGGTCTGGGGTTGGAGGTCCCTTGTATGGGTTTGTGTCGAAGAGACTGCCCTGGAATCGAACCTGTTCGTACTCCACGAGACCTATGTAGGGGGCTGAATGGTTGTCATTTAGCTGTGAAGCTGGTCTGAACCAATCGAACCACTCACAATATGCCGATAGCTGTTCTGCACATTTCTGATCAGTAGGAAAGGCTTGACGTCGCTGTAGTGCAGAGAACATCATCGAGAAAGATAGAAGGAAAGACAAGGTGTGCAAAAGCCAGAGCCATCGCGCGGTGCGATTGTGAAAGCGAGATGGACTGGGTCTGTTCACGTCACATAAGCGAGCGTCACTGTTAGCTTCTCCAAGATCCTCTGCGGAGGTCTTGTGGTGGAGGGGGATTGAATCCATTGAATCCATTAGTCTCAGCTCATGTTGTTCAGTTCAGTTGAATTGTCAATGCATCTGTGTATGATGATAGGTCTCATGTCTTATCATTTGAAGTTATGTCTTTGAGGGTGTCATACCCCGCGCTATCCAGCATGTCGCACAATGACAAAGACCTCATCTCTACGTGACAATCCTTGTGCCGCCAGCTGTAGTTGTGTCCTGGGTTACCCCAGTTGATATGACTCTTACTCTTATTATGCATAGTAGTACCTTACTAGTTATAATAGTCTAAAAACATAAGGAAGATATACTCCTTGCAACCCCGCCCTTAGCCGAGTCGCGCTCCGGGCCGATGGCGGACGGGAGATCATTCGCCCGAGGCTAGCCGATCCACCCAAAGTTGGCGGGCGGGTCTTTCCTCTCCTTCGCTTTCATCATCCCCCATCCAAATATACACACATATATATACTATACATCCACTCCGAGAGTCTCCCTCATGGCTCCCCCTCCAATCCATATTCTAGGATTGGGAAGCATTGGGACATTCATCGCTCATTCGTTACGATCCCTGCCGACACGTCCACCCGTGACCTTACTTCTCCATCGACCTGGCTTGTACGACCAGTTGGTCGCCCGCCAGGGAAACCTACGCCTCCAGATCGGGGAATCTGGACCCTCGGCCGAACAAGGCGGGTTTGATGTTGAGCTGCTGGGGCAACAAGAATCCACCCCCATCCAGTGTTTGATTGTCACCGTCAAGGCGTCCGCGACTCTCGCGGCGCTGCAATCCATTCACCACCGCCTCAACCGCCAGTCCACGGTCTGTCTTCTGCAGAATGGGCTGGGTCAGATCGAGCAGCTGAACGCACAGCTCTTCCCCCACCCAGATACGCGACCCACCTATATCTCCGGCATCATGCGTCTCGGGGTCTACCTACGAGCGCCCTTCGACGCGGTGCTGGCGGGCATGACCGGCTCGGTTACCGTGGGGATTGTCGGCGGCCACGGCGCTGCTCGCTCGGCCGAATCCTCTGAATCCGCCTCCACTCGCTACCTACTGGATCGGCTGACCGAGTCGCCCATCCTGAGCTGCACGGAAGCACCCTGGACGGAGCTTTTTCAGGCGCAGCTCCTCAAACTCTCCGCCAACTGCATCATCAACCCGTTGACAGCCTTACTGGATGTGCGCAACGGGGCTCTGCTCCACAATCTCGAGGTCCTCCCCCTCCAGCGCCAACTGCTCCACGAGGTCTCGCAGGTCTTCCAACGGTTACCCGCGCTGCAGTCGCACCCCGACGCGCAGCAACAGTTCTCGTCTGCCTCGCTGGAGGCCTCGCTGGTGAGTGTAATTCAGCAGACGGCCAGCAACTCGAGTAGCATGCGCGAGGATCTGCACAAGGGCCGTGCGACGGAGATTGAGTTTATCAACGGGTGGGTGGTGCAACAAGGCGAGAAATTGGGGGTGGATTGTTCGGCCAACCGCCTGCTGAGACAGCTCATCCGAGCCAAGCGCAGTTCGGCTGGACCGGAGGGCTGAATTTCTGCTGATCGAGAGGGTTGGTGGTTGGTGCAAGTATCGGTGTATGATCGTTCATGCTGTGTGGGCGGTGGACTGAGTCTATTCTTGGAGTAAAATGAAACGGGCGGTGAGTTCTTCCGCCGACTGTCCACTGCAGATGTTGTGCCTGGTGTAATTGCAGCGGAGGGAATAGCCGAAGTCGATCAACCACCGTATGATGGATGTCTGTGAGAGATGAGGGAGCGTATGTATGTACTGAGTAAGTACTACTACTTACCGACTAACGTAATCGGTAAGCGAGTGGGCACGGCAAGCGAGTGGGCACCCTGTGTATTGCATATAAAAGAGTATATTTTAAAGACTTATAGCTTCACCAACTTTAATAACAACTTTATCAAAATTATAAAGTAGTCTTGTATATAGCAATTCTATATATATACCAAGAATCAGTATCTTTAAAGCCTTATTCATAAAGATAATATAAAATACACTGTATTTTTGAAGTATTTTTAAAATACTGGTATATAATAGTTTACAGTTTTATAAATCTAATAAAACTCTTATTTATAGATCTATACTACTATACTCTTTATATATATATAATATCTAGCTATTCAAATAAGTAGATGTGGAGATATAGAAGTTTAAAAATGAGCTTTTTTATATGTAATGCACAGGTGCCCACTCGCTTGCGGTGCCCACTCGCTTACCGATTACGTTACTACTAGGGATGTACTTGGCAGTGGATCCTGCCACCCAACCCAATTATTGAGAGGATAATTGGGCAGCCATGATCTCCAGGCAGCCGCGCGGGCTCTCCTTCCGCCTTCCCGATGGGGCAAGAGTCAGCCCCACTGCGGTGAAGCTTCCGAATCGATCGATATTAGTCAAGTGTTAGTAATTGAGTTTTCAGATATTAGGCGCCACCGAAAAAGGAATTTTCCAGTCGCCTGCAAGCAGAAAAAAGTTCATGATCTCCATTCACGTGGCAAATTATCGGAACTTTGAGACCGTGGGCGCGACTCAACTTACACCTTCCGATGAGAATCGAGGATGGGTATACCATGTGCGAAAGCCACTCACTCAATGCGCACAACATGTGTGTGTGTGGGAAGTAGAACAGTCGATTCTAATCTTGGATTTCTCCTTCCATCACAAGGAAGCATCAAGAAGGTTCATGATGAATAATAGTAATGAAAAAAAAAAAAAAAAAATAGTTACGACATGCACGACTAATCAAACACTTGACGTCATGCCGGGATTTTCTCCGCTATCTTCCTTGATGCCTAGACACCTCAGGCCGTCAAGGCTCCTGGTGTTCGTCGCAACCGCTGCCTCATACCACCTCGCTCACCCACTCAATGGGTAGGTACAGTACGAGATAGTACGGTTTTGATTGATCACTTGCATCTCGCATCTATCATCATGTATTGGGGTGTCTGGGAGCTCTCTGTGGTCGTCTGGGGATGGCTGGGTTCGGCAATGCCTTCGATGCCCGGAAGCCGTTAAATGTGGGGCTGGAGCAGCTGAACGGATAAGTCGGAATCTTCCATTGGGGCTGGATTATGGTGGCTCTGGCCGATGGCAAATTTGGTCAAATAACGCTGGTGTCCCTTATTATTTGTTCTGCGATTCGGCGTGTATCTGGTCCAGTCCCTGAAGCTTCTGGAGGTCAATTCTCGATTCAACCTCCTCCTCCTCCTCCTCCGACTCCTCCCCCCCCCCCCATCCTCTCCTCTCCTCCATCTCCCGTTCCCTGGAGTCGATCCAGCAATCATGTCTGAATTCGACAAAGAGCTCGAGATGGCGGAGGCTGATGCTCGGCCGCATGTGCCCCATTCGACTAAAGAAGACACCCACCGGAATTCGTCTGACGACCTCGTCCGGCCGACCTCGTCCGGCTCAGCCTCGTCGGGTTCGAGCAGCTCCGTCGACTATAACCCTCAGATGCACCGTCTCCAATCGCGAAATACCGAAGTTGATCTCGAGCGCCTGCGCACGGGCACCTCGCATGCCCTCAGTCGCATTGAAACCCAGCGCCTGCAGCACGCCTTGACTGTAGGGGAAAGTGTCAAGTCGCGACCATCCAAAGGCCCGTTGCCAGCCTTTGGCGCGGGCAAACCCTATCCGCCGCCTCTCCCCGCCCGCGAAGACTATGTCGTCGAGTTCGACGGGCCTGCCGACCCCTTATACCCCCAGAATTGGCCTTGGAAGCGCAAGTAAGTCCCCCCCCCCCGACCCCGACGGCTCTGCGGGAGGTCGCCGCATGGGCTGACTCGTCTGCCAGAATCTACATTAGTGCCATCCTCGCGTTCACCAGTATTTGTTCCACTTTTGACTCGGCCGTCTTCAGCGGCTCCTCCTCGAATGTCGCCAAACACTTCCATGTGGGTCTGGAAGTAGCAACGCTGTCCAGCTCGCTCTATATTGTCGGGTATGCATCGGGTCCGCTGATCTGGGCGCCCTTGTCCGAATTGAAGGGGCGGAAACTGCCGATTGTCCTTGCGATGTTAGGGTTTGGGATTTTCAATACCGCCGTCGCCGTCGCCAAGGATCTCCAAACGCTGATGATCTGTCGCTTCTTCTGCGGCATCTTCGGCAGTTCCCCATTGGCGGTCGTCGCCGCCATCTTCTCCGATATGTATGATAACCGCACGCGCGGGGTGGCCATCGCCATGTTCTCCGGCACCGTCTTCCTGGGTCCCCTGCTGGCCCCCTTTATCTCTGGGTTTATCAACGCCTCGTATCTGGGCTGGCGCTGGACCGCCTATATTCCGGCCTTCATGGGTTATGCGGCCTTTGTGATGAACCTCTTCTTCTTGCGAGAATCCTATCCCCCCGTCATCCTCATCGCCAAGGCCTCCGAGCTGCGCCGGCGCACCAAGAACTGGGGGATCCACGCCAAGCAAGAGGAAATCGAGGTCGACCTGCGCGAGCTGGTGGTCAACAACTTCTCCCGCCCGCTGCGGCTGCTCATAAACGAGCCCTTGATCCTGGCCGTGACCATCTATCTCAGCTTCATCTACGGCCTACTGTACTGCTTCCTCACGGCGTATACTCTGGTCTTCCAGGGGGTCTACATGATGCCAGCCGGGGTCAGCGGGCTGCCGCTCTTCGGCATGGTGGTGGGTCTCTTCATCGCGGCTGCGTATATCATCTATAGCTCGCGGGGCTACAACCGGAAGCTGGAAGCCAACGGCGGCGTCCCGGTGCCCGAATGGCGGCTGCCCCCCGTCATGGTGGGCGGCGCGCTCTTCGCGGCGGGGCTGTTTTGGTTTGGCTGGGCCGGGTATACGGGGAAAGTCCACTGGATTGTGCCCACGCTGAGCGGACTGTTCACGGGCTTCGGGCTGCTGATCATCTTCATTCAATTGTTCAACTATCTGATCGACACCTACCTCATGTTGTACGTACCACTCCCCCTCTCCTCTGGCGTTGCGCGCGCGGGAGCCGCCATCGCATTGACCCAGTCCGTTACTAACCCCGGGGGTATTCGCACAGCGCCGCCTCGGCCATCGCCGCCAACACCTTCTGTCGGTCCATGGTGGCCGCCAGTTTCCCCCTCTTCTCGCGCCAGATGTTCGACAACATGGGCATCGAGTGGGCCTCAACCCTGCTGGGCTGTCTGGCGGCCATTCTTGTGCCCATCCCCGTGGGCTTCTACTTCTTCGGCCGCCGGCTACGGATGAAGAGCAAGTTCGCCCCCTTCTACGAGAAGGCGCAGGAGTCGCATGCGCCGGACGAGGATGACTACGTTCCCGAGGCGCCGGAGAATGGTTCTGCGGGACATTAGACTCTGCATTCTCGCCTTCATTGGGAGGAGTGCTGTCTGTTGATGTCACGGCCGGCAAGGAAAAAAAATACTTAGATGATATACCACATGTTACATTTTAATGATAATCTTGGACGTGAAGCGTTCTGTGGGGTGTTTACGGCCCTTGCATATCTAGCATAGAAAAGTTTAATTGAATGAGATATATCTTTCACTGTCATTGTCTTATGTCTGGAAGAAGTTATGGGAGGAGATTATACTCTCGGTCAGATGTTCGTGCTGGCTTCTTGTAGTAGGCGGCGTGTTAATTGAGATATATAACCAAGAAGAAGAGCAAATTATATAATCAAGGTGCTGTGGTCTAGTGGTATGACGTCACGTTGTGGCCGTGCCAGCCCCGGTTCGATTCCGGGCAGCGCCACTTTCTTTTTTAATTCTTTACGATTTCTTATGGTACTTGTTCTTCTTGTTAGTTATTGGATTTCTGGGAGGATGAAATAAATTTCTCTTCCTGCTTTAAGTTTAACTTAGTCCTACATTTTGTGTACTTAGCAGCCTAAAGTATAGGAGAAGTATAGAAATCTCTAAGTAGTAGGAAAAGGCACTCCCCTTGCAGACCAAGTCCCACCCAGCACAGGCAACATCACGTGACTGGTCGGTGCCTGGCCGGTCCACTCCCGCTGTGGCCAATCACAGCGGCCAATCTTTCAGGGTCTTCAGGCAACAGCCGGGCGCTGAAGGCCTCAGGCTCGCGATCGGCCTGGCTGCGGGGATAACATTGCATCTATACTACACCTCTTCATCGGTTTATAAACATGCACGTCTCCTTCAGTTGATCCTCTCCTTCAGCTTCATTCTTCGCGATCTTAATTGGCTCTGCCTTTGATTGTTGAGCGACCTTCAACCTCCTCCGCTCGCAACCCCTCATTAAACACAATCCGAACCGCAAGGCCTCGTTGGATTCGCAATCAAACTAACCAACCATTGTGAATTTGCCCTCTGCATCTCACCACATCTTGTCCTGTACTCCAATTCTATGACGAAGCTACCTTTCGACGGGTTGGTCATCGCCGTGGGCGGGACTTTCCCCGGCTACAGACAATGTGAGCATTAGTTATCTGAGGATCTACTCGTCTCATCGGCTAGCTGGCAGGTCCCCCAAGCTAACCATCGACAGCCGACCTCAATTCCATCATCAAACGCCTTGGCGGTGAAGTCAGTGCCGCCATCACAGAACAATTGACCCACTTGATCTCAACTCCCAAGGACGTTGCCAACAAGAGTCGCAAATGTGAGCTTATCCCCCGCGAACAGGCCCAGCGGACACTGCGGACGACCGAGCCTCGCATTGTCTGATCAATGAGCCACCACTCTGGACGTCTATTGACCCTCCTCCTCAGACACGCAGGCATGCAAGGTTCCCTACTGCAACATTGTCTCGCTGGACTGGCTGCTCGATTCCGAAACAGCCGGGAAGAGACTCGCGGAGAAGGACTTCCTGCTGGGAACCGCAGACAGCAAGGGGCAGAGTGACGGTGAAGCCGACGAGGGGACTAAGAAAAAACGCACACTGGAACAGGCGCTGGGTGTCAACGAGGATGGCACGAGCAAGAAGCTCAAGAACGCGCAGAAGGCCGGGACGAAGCCCTTGAACATTCCGGTCGATGATGAGTGTCCGCTCCGAGGTACGTGGTCGGGTCTTGATGGCGAACGGAGTAGATCGCGCTGACATGAGGTCGATCAGGCTCTCATCAAGTGTACATTGATCCCGATGCTACCATTTGGGATGCCACCCTGAACCAGACCAGCTCGACCAACAACAATAACAAGTTCTATCGCATCCAGCTGCTGACCAACCGCTCCAAGACGGCGTTCAAGACTTGGACGCACTGGGGCCGGGTGGGCGAGAGCGGCCAGCATGCGCTGTTGGGGGACGGCTCCTATGCGCGCGCAGAGGCCGAGTTCAAGAAGAAGTTCAAGGATAAATCGGGTCTTACATGGGAGAACCGGCTCGAAGCCCCCAAGAACAACAAGTACACGTTCATCGAGCGCAACTACGAAGAGGGTTCGGACTCGGACTCGGAAGATGAGGCAGCCACGGCCCAAAAGAGGGCCCAGAAGCAGTCCACGGGGGAGGTGAAGAGCGCTCTGCCCGTCCAAGTCCAGGACTTGATGGCTTTCATCTTCAACCAGGAGTTCTTCTTGTCGACCATGGCGGCCATGTCGTATGATGCTCAGAAGTTGCCGCTGGGTAAGCTGAGCAAGCGTACGCTGCGGGCGGGTTTCCAGGCGCTGAAGGATCTGTCCGAACTCGTGGCCGATCCCGCGTTGGCAGCCTCGAAGTACGGGATGACTTTCCAGGCGGCTGCGGAAGGCCTCAGCAACCGATACTTCACCACCATTCCCCATGTATTTGGCCGGAACCGCCCCCCGGTCCTCACCCACGGGGATCTCTTGAAGAAGGAGATTGAGTTGCTGGAAACCTTGACCGATATGGAGGTTGCGAACAATATCATGAAGGATGCGGAGGACGCGGAGATGATTCACCACCTCGACAAACAGTTCCAGGGCTTGGGCATGAACGAGATGACTCCCCGTATGATCCACCCCCGCGTCAAGCGCTGCTTGGTTACTGACTGGAGATAGTGGCGCGCGACTCGACTGAGTTCGCCGAGCTAGAAACCTATCTGGTCCGTTCCCGGGGTGCCACTCACGGAGTGGGCCTCAAGGTGAGACGAAGTATGCCATACGGACGGTCGAGCGGACAGCTAATTCAGGTTAGGTTCTCAACATCTTCCGCATCGAGCGCCAAGGGGAGGAGGACCGTTTCAACTCGTCTCGGTTCGCCCAACTGAAGAATAGCGACCGTCGTCTCTTGTGGCACGGATCCCGCAGCACCAACTTTGGTGGTATCCTGAGCCAGGGTCTCCGGATCGCGCCCCCCGAGGCGCCCGTCAACGGCTACATGTTCGGCAAGGGCGTCTACCTGGCCGATATGTCCAGCAAGTCGGCCAATTACTGCTGCGCCTCCGGCAGTGGCGGCAAAGGTCTGCTGCTTCTGTGCGACGCGGAACTCGGAGACCCTATGCTCGAGCTAGAACACGGAAACTTCCACGCCGGTGAGGATGCGGCGAAGCAGGGCAAGATCGCCACCCTCGGCCGCGGCCGCTCGATCCCCGGTGGGTGGAAGGATGCAGGCTGCGTCCATCCCAACCTGCGCGGGGTGAAGATGCCGGACAGTGCGCACGGGGCGGCCGTGGCCACTGCGGCGTCGCTCATGTACAACGAGTACATTGTGTACGATGTAGCACAGATCCGGCAGCGGTACCTTTTTCATGTGGACATGCGGTAGGCTGCGGGACGGGGGCTTCTTTCTTTTCATTTGTCTGCTGGTGGTGGATTCGGAGCATGCAAGGCATTAGCGGGCGTCATGGGCATATATTAGTTATTGCTTGAGGTTATTTCGATTCGATGATTTTCCCCAAGCCCAAGGCAAATTTTAGCATAAGGATGTATTGATTCATGATAGATCTGACGTTTTTCCATACCTAGCGAGATACCACGAGGCGAAAGGCAGCCCGCATGGTGGCTGGAGTAGAAAAGGGATTTGCTCTTCTGCTCGCTAGAATGTGTATTGTGTGCCTCAGGCAGCAATATCTTACCCTAGACGCCCAGGTCACTTCTCTGCTCAACCATGACCCATCCTCTTTTGTCAACGCCTTGATTCACAGGCGTAGACTCTAAATGTATGCTTGATCACCGTTTCCATTCAAGATATGGAGCTACTAGCAGCAAGCAATCAAAGGTCGCCACTGGGTATGACACGGGAGAAATGTCCTACCAGTACAACCATGAGGACATTCACTTACGTTCACTTATGTTCACTTACAGTCACTTACAGTCACTGTGGGATCAACCGACAAAGAAGGTCCTCACATGGAAGCGAGATTGATGGGATCTGCAGGTAATTTCACCAGTCGGTCACCAGTCGGTGAGAATTCAAGTATGACCCCTGGTCGACTTCTTTGTTATCTTGGCTGATCAAGCAAACTTTCCTCCTTTCCTTCACCGTCTCTCCCCCAAGGCATACCTTTTATACTCTCCTCAGGTACCACCCACATATGCCGATCGCCATTCCACCACAGACTCTGTCATGCTGCTCTCTCATATCGCGCACTTCTTCGCCCAGGCCTCCCTGCTGGGCCACCGCCGGGGCCCCCAGCCCTGCGAGGGAGTGGCCATCAAACCCATTCCTGGCATTGAGATCCATTCGCTCACCAGCCACGAGGTCCACGGCTACGAGTCCCCCTACACCCTGGGACACCAGCTCGACTTCTGCGATGTCACCGTCCTTCTCAGCCACCAAGGCGAAGACGATCAGGTCCAGCTTTCCGTCTGGCTGCCCTTCCCCGAGGCATGGAACGGACGCTTCCTGGCCACGGGGGGCGGGGGGCTGGCGACAGGATATATCGGATACACGCAGCCCGCCGCGGTGATTCAGGGATACGCCGCGGCAGCCACCGAGGGCGGACTGACGCTCAACAACACCATCGACCCGCAGAGCGGCCAGTGGGCGCTGCGTGCGGACGGCTCGCTCAACCGGGCCCTGCTGCAGAACTACGCCCACCGCTCCATCCACGACCTGGCCGTCGTCGGCAAAGCCGTCACCCAGGCCTTCTACGGCCGGGCGCCGCGCTTCTCCTACTGGAACGGCTGCTCCACGGGGGGCCGGCAGGGGATTGTGGCTGCCGCGCTGTATCCCCGCCAGTTCAACGGCATCCTGGCCGCCAGCCCGGGCATCTACCAGCCGGACCTCTTCGCCTGGTTCCTCTGGCCGCCGCTTGTCATGCTCAACAACACCACCACCATCCCCCCCCAGTGCGTCTTCTCCGCCTTCCAGCAGGCCATCCTCGCCACCTGCGACGGGCTGGACGGGGTGGTGGATGGTCTGATCTCCGCATACCGCGAGCCCTGCCCCTTCAACCCGGCCTCCCTGATCAACACGTCCATTGGCTGCCCCGAGACCAACTCGACCCTCACCATCACCGCCCACCACGCAGCCCTCGTGCAATCCATCCTTGCCGGACCCGTCGACCCCGGCACCGGCGAACAACTCTGGTACGGTCTCCCCCCCGGCGCATCCTTCCGCGGCACCGCCGACACCATCACTGTCAACCGAACCACACAAATCAACCCCTTCCTCCCCGCCACCAGCTGGCTCCGCCACTTCCTCCTCCACGATCCCACCTACAACATCTCCACCCTCACCATGCCCCAATTCCTGGCCGCCGTGCATCGCTCCCGCACGCAATTCGGGGACCTCCTCACGGCGGAGCAGCACCACACCCTGGACAAGTTTCAACAGGCAGGAGGGAGATTGCTCGCGTGGCATGGGCTCGCGGATGAGATCATCCCCGCCCAGGGGACGATCCAGTACCGAGAGGCGGTGGAGAGGGCGTTTCAGGCTGCGGGGAGGAAAGTCGAGGTGGATGACTTCTTTCGCTTGTTTCTGGCGCCCGGGGCGGGACATTGTGGGGGGACGCTGCAGGTGGGGTATGGCCCTGTGCCGGTGGATGCGTTGGGCGCGGTGGTGAGGTGGGTGGAGGAGGGGGTGCGGCCGGATACCTTGTTTGCTGAGGTGGTTAGTACAGGGGAGGGGGGGTCTGGGGCTGGGGCTGGGGCTGGGGCTGGGGCTGGGAAGCCTGGAGGAAGGACTGTGAGTAGGGGGCTATGTCGATGGCCTGGGGTGTTGAAGTATGATGGGCAAGGGGATGTGGATGTCGCGGGGAGTTTTGTGTGCGAGAAGTAGGGCTGGGGGTGGAGGGTACCTAGCAATGGTGATGGTGGTTTTGTGGTGCCATGGAATTCTCTATGGGTTCCCAGATCTTGACTGATATTTAATTTAGTTGGAGCTTCTCAAATGAACTATGAGGATTGTCTTTCTCTGATGATTAAATTCTGCTATTCTTGACTCTGGTAGTGTGCATGTCAGATCTCAACAGCACTTCAAGCCTAGGCTCACAGCTGGCTCACAGCCATCTGGCTCGGACAAGGTTAGCAAGCCATACTTGCATCATCCCGGCTGATCCAATGCCCAATCGCACTAGTCCAGACTGTCAGACCAGAACGACCGCTGAGAGGTCAACGAAAGCAAGGAGGCCCCGAGGCTGAAGCGGGGCAAATGCTCGACCCCGCCCTAACTCCGCTGCCCACCGAATACAAGAGATGCTTCTCCCGTCAGCGTTACCTCCCAACCCACCCATCGCATTTATCTAGGTATATTACTAGGTAAAGTGAAGCTATCGACAGTGGCAGACGGAATTCCAGCCAGATTAGCATCCATCATGGACTCAGAAGTCGCTAAATGCTCCTTTGACCTTGTCATCGTTGGAGCGGGCATCGCCGGTAAGCCCCCCCCCTTCCCCCTTTTTCATCGCCACGACTAGTAGACTTGCTGAATGCCGATTCAGGCTGCGTCCTCGCGAGTCGCATCTCGCAAGCCCGCCCCGACATCCGCATCCTTCTCATCGAAGCCGGCATCGAGACAGACGACCGCGTCACCCCCGCCCTCGGCATCCTGGGGGGCCTCGACTCGGATCTGGAATGGAACTATCGGTCGGTACCGCAGGCACGGGGGTTCGGCGGCGCGGTGGTCAATCTCACCTCGGGGAAGATGGTGGGTGGAGGCTCCGCGGTGAACTATCAGGTCTTCACGCGGGGTCCAGCTGTGGACTAGTACTCAACCTTCGACTTCTCTCTATCACACACACACTAACCCCGAGCCACCCTCGCAGTCATCAATGGGCGGAGCTGGTCCAAGACCCGCGCTGGTCCTGGGATAGCCTCCTGCCGTACTTCAAAAAGTCGGAGACATGGTTCCCTTCCACCGAATTAACCCGACAAGGTCTGTTGACACGGGATGCGCATGGGTTCGACGGTCCGATCAAGGTCGGTTGCTGACGGCATCGTCGCCGTGGGACTGCGATGATGGCACGATGGGCGCTAACTCGTGCTTTAGGTCAGCCATGTGACGAACAGCGGCAGACCGCGCAACTATCCCCTGCGGGAGAAGATTCGGCAGTTCCACGAGCTGCTAGGCTGCCAGCACGCGGTGGATATCAACGCGGGCCAGCCCGAGGGCTACGCGGAGGGGTTCAACTCCACCTACGAGGGGCGGCGGAGCTATGCGGCGGGCTACGTGCTCGGGGCGAATGTCACGCTGTGGAGTCGTTCCTGGGTGGAGAAGGTGGTCGTGGAGGGGGGGAACGCCCAGGGAGTGATCGTCACGCGGTCTGGGGAGGATGGTAAACCGGCGCGAGTCTACGTCGAGGCGACCAAGGAGGTCATTCTCTCCGCGGGGGCCCAAAGCTCGCCCAAAATCCTGCTTCTGAGGTGGGTGCATGCCCCAACACGACCGGGGGTGAACCATGAGAATACTCACAAGAGTCCTGGGGGGGCAGCGGCATCGGACCAGCTGCCGATCTGGCCCTCCATCAGATCAACCCTATCGTCGACCTCCCCGTCGGCCGCAACTACACCGACCACGCCGGCATCTTCACCTACTGGGCCATCGACCTCCCGAACGCAGTCCTGGGCGACGGCGAGATGCAGGGCCCGGACCTCGACTGGACCGCCGGCCTGCCCTACGACTGGATCTCCTTTGCGCCGGCCGACGGATCAACCCGCGAATTGGCCCGCCAACTCCTCCCACCGGACAAATACCGCCGCTACTCGGCGGCCGGGAAGCTCCAGATCGAGGTTTTCATCGTGTAAGCCTGCCGATCGATCTTTGCCCCCCTTTCCCTCTCGGCTTCTCTTGGAGCGATGACTTGTCCCGTTGACCACCCCCCATCAGATACACCTCCGTCGACACCTGCACGCGCACTCCGCCTCCAGCACCCGGCTGGCCCGGCCGAGGCGTCTTCACCATCGCCCACATCCTCGTCGATCCCGTCTCCCGCGGCACCGTCACCCTGCAGTCCACCGACCCCGCCGACCCCCCGATCCTCGACCCGCAGCTCCTAGCTTCCCCCGTCGACCGCTCCGCGCTGTACGAGTGCGTGCGCGACTGCGCGCGCGCCGTGCAGGCCGTGGAGGGTCTGAACGCCGTGGAGTGGGGGGTCGAGGATGCGCTGCGCGGGGATTGGTCGGATGAGGCGATTGAGCGTCGCACGAGCCGGATGGGCGCCGGCACGGTGTTCCATCCCTCGGGGACGTGCTCCATGGGGGAGGTGGTGGATAGCGAGTGTAGGGTGTTTTGGGTGGAGAGGTTACGGGTCGTGGATGCGGGTGTGATCCCGCTGCCGTTGGCGGCGCATTATCAGGCGCCTATCTATGGGATTGCGGAGCAGGTGAGTGTTCTTCTCTGCCGTGTGCTGTGAAGGCGTGCGCTGATGGGGTTGGTAGGCTGCGGAGATGATTGTGAGGGGGTTGTGAAGTTGAAAACTGGGGGTGGGAATCGGAAGACGTGATTAAGATGTTATGGGTGGTCCAGGTGGTTAGGTGGACAATGTTTCTGTCAGATACGTGGCGGTTAGTTCCAATAATGAACGAGGATGATGCGAATCGATGGCGGCAGAAGATGCAGAAATGATGGAGAGAGAAAAAAAGAAACGACCGAGACGTGACTCGAACACGCAACCACTGCCACATCCTGCACCGGAAGGCAGCGCGCTACCATTGCGCCACCCGGCCATTATTGAGAAAATTGGCTGCAGCTGCGTACCATATTCAACATGGCAACTGTGGCAGATTGGGTAGACCTCGAGGTCGTTTCCTCCATCAGCTACCAAATAAGACACTCCTCGCCGTACTGTAACTCAAGCTACGCTTTTTTGTCAAGTCTCGTTCTCATATATGCTAAACTGGGCTACTGTTTCCTTCAAACAGAGCCGTTGCATCGAATGCGATAATACATCAGGGTTAGGGCAGCGGCAGCGGGAATACATGGTACTTGATATATTTCTCCAGCAAGACCGATGTATCTCGATTACTTAACTCCCAAAAGCAGTGAGGAAACCCTCTCTACCCGGCAAGTATCGCCACTTTCCACGAGTCAAGGGGTGGCTGTCCAGAGCTACCTTCTCAACTGTCATTAGCAGGATATCGCCTACTCGAGCCGCTCTGGGTTTCTTCCACCTGTCGGACCAGGTTGCTCGTGTATCTCTTCCTGGCGAACGTCAGCAGCCAATCCGAGGGCTACCGACGCAACCTCTTCCTCGAAGCAATCCAAAACCACTACCCCGTGCAGAACACTACCAGCAACATACGTGAGGGTGATATGGGGGGTAGGGAATCATCCACTTTGCTATACCTTGGACATCCCATCCAATGCAGCTACACTTTGGTCCAGCCCGGGTTTGTGCTTCTTATCAATCATGAATCCGCTTATCAGTCGGTGATAGTCGGCGAATCGATTCCCTTGAGAAATTGGCCCAATCAGCGACGGCCACATCGTCCCCCACTTGCTATAACAAGGACGAATATAGAGAGGCACACCACCACGTGCCGGAGGATATCAGCACTACCAGCCTGGCCCAGATTCATTCCTTCCGCACTCCGTAATGACTAGCTTATCTTTGCTTCTGTGTAGCTGCAATTGACCTGTGTTTGTCCCCTAGTCACCCCCAGGTTACCCCCCAGTCACCCCCGAATGTCTTCTGCATTTTCGCCCGATGAGACATGGATCGAAGTCGATGCACAGCCGTATCCACTCAACGATGAGGAGCTGTTAGCCAGCGACGCTCTCTCCTTTGCCTCCTCCTTGTCCTCATCCGTCAAGAAGTACCGTTTCGAGAATGGCCGTCGCTACCATGCCTACCGGGAGGGCGAATATCCCTTCCCCAACGACGACGCCGAGCAGGACCGCCTCGACATGGTCCACTACATATTCCGCATGGTCTCGCGGGGGCGTCTGTACCACGCGCCCCTCCGCGAGCCTGTCGGACGCATCCTCGATCTCGGGACCGGCACGGGGATCTGGGCGATCGATATTGCCGACGAGATGCCGCAGGCCAGTGTGCTGGGCAATGATCTGAGTCCGATTCAGCCCACTTGGTGCGCCTGCCACCCACGCCCTGCCTGCCTGATGTAGCGAGAACCGGACCCACGGCGCACTGCATCATCTTCTGAACTAAGGGACCCTCTCTCACCATCTTGTGTTGCTATCTCCTAGTGTGCCCCCGAACCTCGAATTCGTCGTCGACGACATCGAAGCCGTCTGGCCGTACGCGACAACCGAGGTCTTCGACTTCATCCACCAGCGCAACCTGGTCGGCTCCATCTCCGACTGGGACCACCTCTTCGCGCAGGCGCACCGGCATCTCCGCCCCGGCGGCTACTACGAGATCCAGGAGTTTCGCGTCGACTTCCAGTCGCAGGCCGCCGGGGGGTTGCCCGAGGACTCGAGCCTGGCGCGCTGGCAGCGGCAGCTCCGGGACGCGTCCCGCCGGTTTGGCAAGCCATTGAATGTCGTCCAGACGCTGGCGGACACGCTGCGCCGGCAGGGGTTCGTGGATGTCACGGAGCAGATCCGCAAAGTGCCGATCGGGACGTGGGCGCGCGACGAGGCGCTCAAGCGGATGGGAATTCTGATGCAGGACCATGCGATTGAGTCGGTCGAGCCGCTGACTATGGCGCTCTTCACGCGCGTGCTGGGCTGGTCGGAGGGGGATTGTCGCGCGGTAGTGAAGGAGGTGCAGGCGGAATTTACGACTCGGCCGCAGTTGTTTGTGTATATGCATTTCATTTATGGGCGCAGGGCGTGATGTGGTGGGTAGCGTAGCGTTTGCTGGCGTTGTTGGCGTCTCGAGAGAAAATTGGATTGGTATCCAATTTTTTTGATATCGAAGTATGGAGCAGAGTATTCTTGCGCGAGACAAGACTCATCTTACCCACAATCATGCAATGAGACTTGAACCTCGAGCATAACAGACCGGAACACTGCCACATGGTTCCGGGTCTTGTGGACTACCTACAATTGATCTCAGAGACTGTGCCTAAACACGGTATATGCCGCCTTAAATTCCCCGGAGCATATCATTTGTGTCTGGTCAAGTCATGTATGTAACTTGCTGGCACCGATAGGCTGATGTTGTGTAAAGGGGGATACGCGGGGATGAATGCGGGCTGCTCTGGGCGTGGCTACACGTGTATAGGGCACTATCTCACAGTCATTGAACGTGTGATACGGTGCCTAAGTACGACGTGAATGAGAGGGTGTTGTTACTCTTATTCCCGTAAAACTCCATTGGCCCAGGAGACTCTCCGTCTGAATTCGATGGCTGATCTGCCTTCACCCGCATTTTCCTCTCATCCAAGCCACTTTCGAGATCTCAAGATCACCTCCATCAACTCCTACACGGTTCACAAGGTGGAATCCATACTAGAGATGAAAATCGTGACCTCGACGACTGTATTCAAGTCGCTTTCTCCGGCCAGGAGGACCTGCTCGAGGTTGCGCGGAGCTTGAACCTGAATAGAATGGTGGCAGCTGGGCCACTTGGACGAGATCGCGAACTACATACGGTTCTTTCTCCCACGTCCTCACTGAAAACGTCCCTGAAGCGGGGTAAATGCCCAGACTACCAGAGCAGTACAGCATGCCGTTGGAGTTGATGCCCTGCGAGGGGTCGGGGCGGGGCTTGTTGGCTGAAAACGGGGCCTTTGGTGGGAGGCATTGTGAGGGATGGGGAGTGAATTCGCGGTTCGTTCTGCGATTATTCTTCCTTCATATTCATAATAAAGAGCGAAGGGTTATCCCGACTGAGTGTCTTCATAGATATCATAGTTTCTGGGATAGTTTTCCTCGTTGATGGGTATTTGGGAGGCAAGTCATCCCGCAGACGGGCAAGTAAGCCCTATCCATGACCCATGCGGTTGCAACCTAGTCGGATCCTACGAGAGTGCAAAATAGCTAAGGTATCGCCTAGAGTGGGGCGGGGGCTCGCTCGTACTTTGTGATTTATATTGTCGCTGCGATGATTGGCAACCGGCAAGCCACGACCGGCGTTGTTGTCCGTTGCCGTTATCGAGGTACTAGAACTGTTCATGAGTGGGGTCCCTTGAGTCCTCTGGAAGGCTACGGCGAGAATTTTAATCTTTCGAGGCTCGCTGATTCCTAGCACATGTGGGATTGGCTTGACGTTAACCGAGTCCCTGATAAAGTCATGTTTCTCGAGCATGCGATCCTTTCATGTCACATCAGCATCCGTGGTTCTTCAGGTACGGATGCGAGTTACAATAACTACAGTCGGGCCTGAGGTGGGGGTTGGAACGCTATTCCAGAATCGAAGGCAGACTGATTAGGGTTTATATTAAGTAGGACCGAAGGAGCATTGGCTTTAAAAAAAAAAAAAGAAAAAAAAAACAAAGGAACATGTCCGAGCACCGACCGCCGCTCGGGAGAACCAGACCGGCATCCCAAATATTCACTGCCACAGAATATCGTCCTGATACCCTTGATTAAGAATCATGCACAGTTGCCCGAACCCGCAGTCTCGATCCCCGACGGCCGATGATGACAGCCGGGAGGCGCCTCCGACGGGTCATGACGTCTGAAGAATCTCGGCGCTATTGACCACTATAAGCAGGAAATTCTCATCCACACTCGGCCGTAAGATCTAAAGCCGACGACCTTAGCCCTGGAAGTCTAGGGACTTTGCGTCACGGCGCGGGAGAATCGAGGTTTCGTGGGGGCATCATGATATAGAGGTGAATACGTGGACATGGGCCGTCTGCCATCATTGCCCTGCGATAAGTCCAGGCAACCACCAGTCGCAGAGTTGCAATTGGAAGAAGGGCCCTTAGGGCGTGCTAACTATAGCTGACGGAGTGAGTGGACGGGAGAGCCGGACCGAGGTTGGAGGAGGGGAGAGTGGCTTGGCAGGTGGGTATACAGTGGGTATACAGTGGAGATACAGTGGAGATAAGGTGGGAATCACCTCGGAGGTCGGGGCTGTCTGCCTCAATTCATCACCGACCACTTTATCACTGACCCTGGGCCCCGACGATTTCCCGCAACGCAGAGCCCCCCGGCTCCCACTCGTGCGGGTCGAGGGGGGGGTAAATCCCTTCCTTTCTAGTGGGTTTAGTGGTCTCAGCCGTCTGGGTCCCCCCTATCAACTTATCATTTCTTCTCCCGCCCGGCCATAATCTTATTATCTGATCGGGCCCCGGTCATGCCCTTAGCCTTGGAAGTGGATCACTCGGGGGCGAAGAGGGAGGAAAACGAAAGAAAGGGAAGGCGTTTGGGTAGCATGTTTGTATGATATCATCCGGTTTATTCACTCAGAGGATGATGCTTTCCATCCCGATAGTCGTCACGCTTCGCCTACAGTGCGTCTTTCTCAATCTAAACTCAGCTCGAAATTAATACGAGCTCTTATCGAGACTGCCAAGTAACTGCCAAGTCGGAGGTCGAACGGACAAAGGGCGATCGTCATCCCCCAGAGACAAATCAAGGCATTTTTTGCCCCGGATGGTGTCGATCGTGATCTTTTGGGCAGTGGAGAGAATGTCGGGGGTCGGAGGGAAACGTCTCGTGCCAAGCATGTAATTTCAGCATCATCTTCGTGCACTGATGGCTTCTGCGATTCGAATCCGCGGATTCTGATGGGCTGCTTCGCTTGACAGGGCGTCAGCTCCAGGCGAAAAGCCATCACCACCGCTCCGAAAAGATTTAGCCCCGCCGCGAGCATATAAGGAGGGGATCGTCCCCCGTTTCACAGACTCCTGACGATCTTTGCAAGTCATTACCTCCCCTTCTTTCTCACTGTAAAGGACAAAATGCGCCTTCCCAGTGCCGTCGCATTAACAGCCCTGGTGGCCGGGTCTGCCGCCGCCGGCTGTCCGTATGCAGAGCGTGCCAACGAGGCTGCTGCTGGTTCTGTTGGATGTCCTTATGCGAGACGCGCAGCGGCGGCGGCGGCTGCTGCTGATGCCGTCCACATGAAGAAGTCTTCCATCCCAACATCAAGTGGCGCCATTGAGGGCAAGAAGGGAATTTTCTACAGTGAGTGCCGTCCAGAACCCCTCACCGAGTGAGCGAAGTGACCAACCAGCCTCCCAGTGAACCGCATTGGCCCTTCCGGGTCGCAGCTTTGGATTGCCAACGCCGATGGTAGCAATGCCACCAAGCTGATGGGGAACCAAACACATGCCTTTGACTACCACCCGTCCTGGTCCCAAGACGGCCAATGGATTGTCTTCACGAGCGAGCGTCGTGGCGCCGGTCAGTCCGACCTGTACCGGGTGCGTCCGGACGGCACGGGACTCGAAGCCCTGGTGACGACGAACAGTGCGGAAGATATCGGGGTGCTGTCGCCGGATGGAAACCAGCTGGCTTACGTCTCGACCCAGGGCAACTACACCATGAACGTCTGGGTCAAGGATCTGAAGACGGGCAAGGCGCAGAACCTGACCGATACCGCGCTGACGCGCGCGGATCCCACCTGGCCCACGGGTCATTTCCGACCTTCCTGGTCACCCAACGGCGACTGGCTGGTCTTCAGCTCGGATCGCAACACTGACTGGACGGGCCACAGCGAGGGTGTGGGCTGGGAGCACACCCAAAGCCTGGGACTGTATGTGATCCGGCCCAACGGCACGGATATGCGCACGCTGCTGCGTCAGGATGGGTACTCGTTCGGTACCCCTCAGTGGTCGCGCGATGGCAAGCGCATCATCTACAACAACATGACCCGGGAGGCCACCTATGGCGCGCACGGAGTCTCCGAGCAGCAGGCCGCCGTCTCTTCCCAGATCTACAGCGTCGACTTTGCCACGGGGACCGATATCCAAGCCCACACGACGGGCAGCTACCCCAAGGTCGGCCAGCACTACATCGGCAACTCCTCCAACATCGGCTATCTGATCAAGGCCGGGCCCTACGAAGGCATCAACTACACCAGCCCCGATCGAACCCACAAGGGCTTCAACACGACCAACATCCGTGATCCCTGGTGGTCCCCCGACGGATCGCAGGTCGTGTACGAAGTCTGGAACTGGACGCAGCAGGCGGCCGGGCTGAAGCTGTGGAGCTTCGATGACGAGTGGGAGTACCGCTATATGGACGTCTTCCCCATGCACCACCCCCCCACCAACCGACTGGCCACGACGCAGAAGGTGTTGGGCAGCGCGAATGGCTCGATGGTGACCTCCACCCCGCTGTACACCGACGTGCACGAGGCGCTAGACTCGTACGACGTCTACAGCATCCACAACGCCACCGAGGCCGAGTACCTGGCCGAGGGTCAAGCCGGGGCATTCCAGCCCTCCTGGAACCCGGACGGAGACGAGCTCGTCGTCGGCTTCGGCGCCTGGTTCACCTCTCGCGCGGCCAACAACGCGACGCTCTACCGTGCCTTCGCCAACGGGACCTTCCACACGAACCTGACCGACGGTAGCACCAATGCCGGCTTCCCCTCCTGGTCCCCCGATGGATCGGCCATGGTCTATCGCCAATGGAGCCTCGCGACCGGGGCCCCCGAGGGTCTGCACATTTTCAACTTCACCACCGGCCAGACCCGCCAACTGACCTTGGGCTGGGACAACACCCCCGGCTGGTCGCCGGACGGGGAGCGCATTGTCTTCACCCGCAACAACAACTGGACCAGCGCCTACGGGGCGCGCTGGTACGCCGATCGCTTCGACATCTACACCATCCGCCCCGACGGCTCCGAGCTCACCCGTGTGACGGACAGTCTGTCGAACGATGCACAGTAAGGAATCTCTATACCTCTTGACCTACCAAGTACATGCTAACCCCAGACAGCGCCGTGTGGTCCCAGGATGGCCGCATCATGTGGAGTACCGGTATGTACGGCTTCAAGGACGAGAGTCCCCTGTTCGACGACACCTTCCAGCCCTACGGCCAGATCATGGTCATGAACTATGATGGGTCGAACAAGACCTTGGTGACGGATACGATCTGGGAGGATTCGATGCCGTTGTACATGCCTAATGAATATCTCGAGTAGTAGGGCGTGGGGTGGTTGTTGGTGACCTGGGATTGATATACCCTCGAGTTGTGTTTTTTTGATTTAATGCTGCCAATGAAATCACCATGTTACGTTTTATGGATGCAAGTAGATGCCCATACAGGGTTGGAGTACTAGGAATGCACGATGCCTACTCCACAAATGTGCAAGATGTAAGCGGAAAAGAAATTCGGTTTATTAGATTATGTCCGATGTGTATCATCTGAGTTCAAGAGGGGAGTCACCTAGGGAACAGAGCACAACTCACTTGCTCCAGGCGACAACGGCGCAGTGAAATCTCCCCAAGCCAAATGGAGCGGTTCCACCTCCATCGGAGCATCTTCTCCCCCGCGCTTCTCCACAGACATCTCCGGCTGAATGAACGGTAGTATGTTGTGGCTTCTTCCACCCACAGGGTCCAAGCCGTTCATAGCTTGAACACTCTAGCGACAGCATCTTCGGACACATACTACTGCTATGGCCGTGACGACAAGTTTACTGGGTTTTTGCTTCGCTCGTGCACCAGGCATATCATCGGGAAAGAGTTCATCGTGGAATTGCAATTGCACTGTTTTTCTTGCCGCTATAATCTCCACAACACTAAGATAATGGCATAGATGAAGATTAACTTTCGGCACACTCCGGCTAAGACGCGATCTCGGGAACGAGATTCGGCAGCGGGGATTGCCGCGAATATAAGCCCCCCCCCCCCCCCCCCCATCTCCGCAACTTCCACCCTCCCTCTCCCTCTCGTCTCCAACTCCATCTCAACAACCCTCAAAATGATAGCCCCCATCCCCACCACCCAGCAGGGCGCCGTGGTCCTCGACCCGGGCCCAAGCTACCGGATTGTCCACCGTGACGACCTCCCCGTGCCCACCCCGGGCGACCACGAAGTGCTCGTCAAATTATCCTGCACCGGCCTTTGGTAACCCCTCATCCTCATCCTCCTTCCTCACAATCGCTACACTATTCCCAAACCAATCCATCCCCCCCTCGAAACACTAACACCCTACCAGCCACTCCGAAATCCGCGCCACCCTGAACTGGAGCACCTACAACCCGATCATCGGCCACGAAGGCATCGGCACCGTCGTGCAACTCGGCCCCCACACGTCCCCCGCCCTCCTCGGCCACCGCGTGGGGGTGAAATGGCTCTACAGCGCCTGCGCCACCTGCTCGGTGTGCACGCGCGGCCACCCGCACTACTGCCCGCACCAACGCAACACCAGCCGCCACGTCCCCGGCACGCTGCAGCAGTACGTCCTCGCGGACGCGCGGTTCCTCACCCCAATCCCGACGGGGGTGGCCGACGAGATCGCGGCGCCCTTGCTGTGCGCGGGGCTGACGATGGCGGGGGCGTTGGGGCGGTTGGACGGGGTGGTGCGGGCGGGGGAGGTGGTGGTGATTTCCGGGGCGGGTGGGGGACTGGGGCATCTGGGGGTGCAGCTGGCGGCGCGGGTGAAGGGGCTGCGAGTGATTGCGGTGGATACTGGGGCGGAGAAGCAGAGACTCAGTCTGGCGGCGGGGGCGGAGCGGTTTGTGGATTTCCGGACGGAGGATGTGGTGGCGGCCGTCAGGGAGTGGACGGGGGGGGAGGGGGCCCATGCGACGATCGTCGTGCCGGGGACAGAGGCGGCGTTTGCGATGGCACCGGAGTTGGTGCGGAATATGGGGTATGTGGTTTGTGTGGGGTTGCCGAGGAATGATATACGGTTGCCGGTGTCGGCGACGCTGTGTGCTGCACGAGGTAGGTTATTTTTTTCTTTTGTGGCTGCCCTGCTGGCGGGCGGATGGAGAAACGAAGGCTGATGGATGGGGTTTTGATGCAGGGATCTCGATTATTGGCTCCTCGGTGGGGACGGAGGCGCAGATGGAGGAGCTGTTGCAGCTCGCGGCCCAGGGGGTGATCACGCCAGAGGTGAGGACGTATGCATTCCAGGAGACAGAGGCGTTGATTCGTGGTCTGGAGAAGGATACGATCACAGGAAGGGCGGTGGTGCAAATCCCACAGTAGTTACAGTAATCACAGTAAAACGGAATGGGGAGATGGGACTGGGTTAGGGTTGCAGGAAAAGGCTGGCCCTCCCCTCAACACGCAAAGAGCATTCATTCCCATGTTCACTGGCACACATCGACTCGCGGTTGATATCTTGATCATCGCAACAATTCCAACTTCAACAAGCATCCATTTTTCCCTCATGCACCGCCGTTCCACACTCCGAGCCCTCCCCCTCCCCTGCCAATTGCACCCCCTCCTCACTACTAGCCACACTGGCAATCTGCCACCCTCGAATCACATCCCCCTTCCACATCAACAACCCCACACACAGAAATGACACCACCGCGAAGAAGGCCATCATGCCATACACCCAGCCGACGCCCACCGCCGCGACCCACGGGTCGATGTAGAAGCTGATCGTCAGCCCATAGACAATCCGATACGCCCCGACCACGATCCCTGCTTCCGCCGGATACCGCGTGAAGCACTCGACCACATAGTTCACCGTCACAGGCACACTCGCCAAGGAGCCGATCGTGACGAGGAAGACGGCGAGGGCCAGCACCATATAGTGCAGATGATACTGGAGAGTGGCGCCGAAGAGGCCCAGCCCGATGGGATTGAGGATCAAACTGGGGATCCAGAGGACATGCAGCCGATACTCGGGCTTCCACACCCCGTGGGAGCGACGGCGGGCCAGGAGCAGCGGCAGCCGGTCGTTGTAGTGGTGGCCGCCGAGCTGGACGAGGAGGATCCCAATCCAGTGGCAGAAGGTGAAGGCGGCGTTTTGCCGCAGGGTGAACCCGTAGCCGCCCTCCGCGGGGGAGCGCTGCAGCCAGACGGGGACGAGGGCGTTCATGCCAACATAAAAGCCGAAAGAGATCAGGGTGAAGGTGCCCATGATCAGCGTGACGGGGCAGAGGCCGATGAGGAGGGGGGCCACCGCGATCCGCGCGGTGGTGGACCAGGGGCTCGGCGGAAGGAGCTGCTGGCCAAACAAGAACGTGGCGCGCCGGTTAGCGAGCCAGTTGGCCGGGGGGAGACGATTGCGTTCGGGGTCGATGCGGTCGAAGGCGGTTTCTTCGAGGCAGAGCAGGATGAGAATGGCGGTGGCGCCCAGGAGGCCCACCGACCACCAGAACTCCACCGGGAAGAAGGTCCCCGCCGAGATGAAGGCGGAGAAAGTTGGGCCGGCGATGGTGCCCATGAGAAAGGACATGTGCAGTGCTGTGAAGGCTCGTCCGCGCTGGTGCAGGAACAGAAGATCGGTGATCATCCGCGGCCCGATGACGGTGGGCACTGCCCCGAAGAACCCGGCGAACAACCGAGACATCACGAAGGCGATATACTCGTCCGAGTGGGTCATGACAGCGGCCCAGATCTGGCAGACCAGGGTACACACCATACACCAGAAGATGACGGAGCTGCGGCCCAGTCGATGGGCCAAGGGCGCCACAAAGAAGGGCCCGAAGGCCATGCCGGCCAAGGCGGCCGAGTTCTACGCGAGTCGCGAGTCAGCTCAAGCAGTGCGTGCATGTGGCAATCATGAAAATCAATCAGGAGAACAACATACCGCATACGACTCTTGGACTTTCGTTTTGCCATAAATTTGAGCCTGTTGAACCAGATTGAGCTGACCCGACAGGGGGGCAATAGCCCCCGAGAAGGAGGCCAAGCAGAGCACCGCCAGAATCCGGTACTTGCGCCATTTGGGCCAATTCTGGGGTCATACGTACAGTACCGTAGTCAGCTTAGGCGTGTCAGCATCAGGGGCCACTAGGACCCATCATGTCTCACTTACCAGTGGATCGTTGGGGCTGGGGCTGGGTTCGGGCACCAGCACGACAGTCGGGCGAGAACCCTTGTCGGTCTCCATCTGGACCAGTGTGTCTGCAACACCTAGAAGAGCAGGAGGATGACAAGGAGCACGTTGAGCTGGCTTGAGGAGAATTTCTTCTCTCTAACTCTGTACAGCCCCTGATTTTCTCCCCGCGGTCGATCCTTGCCCTGACGCGTCAGCGGCTCGGCTGTACTTTTTGGGAAATTAACTCCGATCTCGACAGCCTGGGATCCTGAGATGCGAGCTGAGGACCACAGTAGAAGAAGTACTATTATCTGGAGCATATTGAGAAAACCCATTGTTCTTGCTAGATCAGCAACAGAGGACTCCAAGAGGGAGCTTCTATACCACAAAATACCACCTCGTTCTTTTGGCTTCGAATGATGCTGGGTCCGTGCATACGAGAAGCGTAAATATTACCCAATCTGGTAAGTCGTATAATGTTAGTACTAAAGATTAAAGATGTCAATGATGCAAGCATATCTTCTTGTCGCCTTCTCTCCCCCGTTCTCTCCAACAGTGAAACATGCGTCTTCCCGCTGGTGGTCTTGCTCTCCTGTCCCTAGGGTTTATCACAGCGGCAGGCATTGTCCACGAAAACCACCCATGCCAGATTCAATCGAAGTAGTCCCATTGCCACGATCGACAGATGCGACTGGCGCCTGATGTCGTCGATGATACTACGCTCAAGGTCTTCGTGGCGTTTTTGTGTCTGTGAGCGGGGTGGAATACAGGCAGCCACAGAATGGAGCTTGGACACGAGGATGATGATTTGTGATTCTTGCTACCGGTGCCATCTGGTCTCATGCGCTCATGAACCAGGAACGACTCGGCTGGGTTTCGACTGAAACAATCCCCCATAATCTCACTGGTGAAATCCCCAGTTCAATTGCCATGCACATCTTCTCGACCCGTCTGCCTCTCCCTCCACTCCCTCTCCAACATCCCAAACACCAGATCATCATGCCACTTCCCATCATGCCAAAACGCCTCCCGCCGGCGCCCTTCCACCCTGAATCCCAACCGCTCATACAACCGCACCGCGCCCTCGTTATACGACAGAGCCTGGATCTCGACGCGGTGCAGACCCGCCCGCTGAAACGCCCAGTGCAGGACCCAGTGGATCGCCTCGCTCCCGTACCCCTGGTTCCGGTAGGGCCGCGCAATGTCGAGGGTGATGGATGTGCCACGATGGTGGGCATAGTCGCCGCCCTCTTTCCGGAGCGAGATGATTCCAATTGGGGTGCCGGAACCTGCACTGGACCCTGCGTCCGTCTTCGCGCGCTCATCCCCCTCCTCCTCTGCACGCCCCGAATCAGGCGGCAATACGAGGATAGCCGCCAGCAGGGTTCGTTCCATCAGGGATTTCTTGTACCCATTGACGGTGTCGCGTTTGGCCTGGGGCTTGGGTAGGGCGGGGGTCGAGTTGGCGTAGGCTTCCGGGTCGGATTGGATGGAGTGGATGAAGTCTTCGTCTTCGGGGGTGTCTTCGACGGCGCGGTAGATGAGGCGTTGGGAGCGTAGGGGGGTGGGGTAAGACATTTCGAGGAGGAGTCGCTAATTTATAGGTGATGTTCTAACGATGGATCCGCTTTATATGTGTGTTTGCTTCTGTGTCTGTGTCTGTGTGTGTGTGTGTGTGTGTGTATGTGCTGGTGAGAAGGGTTTTTATAGTGTTGATGAAAGAAGGTGATGGTGAAGCTATACTCTTTTCGGACCCCGCCCGGTGGGAGTCCGCGATATTCCCAGCCTTTTCGTTGACGGTGAGTCACAATCGTCAGTTTGTGCGGTTATCATTCAGAAAGGATAATCAATCTTATTGACTCAATGATTCTCAACCGGGACATGCTGTGAGGGAGTTGCAGCTGCGAAGTACTTGTTGTTCTCAGAGCGGTAGCCCAGGAAGTGGCCGTAGCCAACGGAAACCCACCATAGGACCCTTTCCCAGCCCCAAGCCAGCAATAGATACATAACCAACTAAAAATTAAACCCCACCAACGGGGGACAATCTACCTCACAAAAGCATCAAGCTGAACCTGCTCCCTCACCAACCAAAGTTCCAACAGTTAACCAAAATCCGACAACCCACCGCCGACGCCACAAACCGCACGACAAGAAACAGCGCATCCGCCACCGAGATGAACAAACCAACTCGAAAACAGCAGAATCCCAAACAGCCCGTTCGCCGCTGCGAGCATGCTCGTGAGCTAGGCGAGCAGCACGTGGCTCACGGTTCGTTCGCGGAGACGCAGGTCGATAGAGAAAGTATGATGAAGATAATCACGCCACATTGCTGTGCCTTACACATGGTGCGACAAACAAGAGCTATAAGCTCCGAACGGCAGTGCGATGAGAGTCAGAAGAGTTCAGAGGCACATTATTGTCGGGTCAAGAAGCATTCTGCAGGAGGCCTGACTCGCTCCCCGAAGCTTTATCTTGCCGAGGTGGCCAGAAAAATGATATCAGTTCTGCTTTTTCGTATTGTCGTATGCGGATCTGTACTATAGGCCCATAGCCACATGCTTGGCGGGTCAAACGTGCATCTTGGGAATCACTGATGAACGTATCTCTATACAATTACTCCTCCACACGACCCTGCTCGATATAATCTCTTCAGATCTTCGGCATCTGTTGGTGCTGGGATTTCTGACGGTGTAGGTGCAGCGCAGCGATGGAGTCAGTCATTAAACTTGCAAAGCCCTCCTTGCCGAGCTTCCCGTCGGTCAGATTGTACATGATGGCAGGCTGTGTCTTTCTTTGCATCCTTCTAGAAATTTTTCTAGGTAGCTGGGTATAGTCGCGCAAGCAGCGCTGTCAGGGTTCCGAGGTGTCGACTTCGTCCTTGATGCACTGTTGCCCGAGATATGCGTGCCACACTGCTTTAAAAATCTCGAGTATGCATGAGGAGCTTAACTAGACAGCAACGCTTGGGGCTAGTCCTTTTCATGATGGTACGACCACCGCTTCGTCATTGGGAACGATGAAGGTGACATTTCTTTCCAAGATGCTCTCGCGCTGGAATCTTGGCCAATCATAACTCAAGCCTGAGCGTCTTGGGACTTGCTCATGGTGTTTTGTCCTGAAGGAAAAAAGAATTCGAAGTTCCAGTCATTCAGCTTGTAGAGATATTTCTCGAGAGGTTGCCCGTCAGGACAAGACCTCTAACCCTCTACCGCTCAGGTACTATAGGAAGAAGTCGGTCTATGCTCTTGAACCATTTGTGCATTGAAGAAGAATCGCAATCTTGGCCGGGAGTCTACCATGGTACTGGAAGCTCAACTACCGAGGCTCAACTTCTTCATTCCCAGGTTTTCCTCCTTGATGGAACTCGGTGGCCCTTACCCGGCACGACAAGTCTTCCAGACAAAGGTAGATCTAGCAATACTGTTACCTCATCCTCTGAGCTCGACCCCTCATCGAAGCTTCTTTAAGTCTCTCTATCACGAGTTTCGTTGTACGGCAAGTGTCACAAGACAACCATCCATCGGTTAGGCTCGATCCCAAAGCAAACCCCGATACCTTTGATTATGGACCCCGAATCAACCAGGGTGTCTTCCAGCCGAATCGTATCATTTTAGAGGCAGGGGTCGAACTCCGGGACTCTGTTCCATGGGTTTCTCCAGTTCGTGATCCTTTTTGCCACCTTAACTGGGGGGAGAGCTGGAACAAGGATCTGAGGTTATAGTTGACTCTGCTAATCACCCAAATGGCACAATCCTCCCCGCTGATGAGGCTTGCCTAGAAGGTTCTCGGGTGATGCTCCCCGGACCCTTACCCCTTTCTTGCTCTAGGGCTGACGCAGCCAAGGATTAACGCAAGAGATGGGTTCATTGTCGAGGTTCTAGAGCTGTCTATCCGGCTGTTCGCGGGCAATGACAGCGTCGATCACACTGATTGCCTGCTAGGAGGGGAATTGAGGCAAGAGGGGCCGTACTGAATAGTGTATAGTAGTAGCTATAGCATACATTGCTATACTAGAGAGTAGTACACAGTATGGTAGAGTGGACTAGAATCCAGATGGCGTGATGGAGGATTACATCACTTGGATAGTTCTTGCTTGATGGATGATTCTGGTGATTGTTTGTTGCACAATACCGTCATTGTTTGCGCCAACTGGCGGAAAATGAAGGTCACGTGGCGGCAGTCGAAGCGCCCAGAAGCGTCGCGGGGAGCCACTCGGCCGGTCCGGCCCTTTCTCGCAACTTCCAGGCTGCCACTACCGCTGCCTCAGGCACCTTCCAGAGTCATCTAGAGCCATCCACTGCATCACCATCCATGGATCATCCAGATCGTCCATTCTGGCAGCCAAAGGTATAAAGCCACCCTCGACACCCGGTCAAGTTAGTCTTCCTCAGATCAGAATCAATCAAGCATACAAACGAGAATCACAACTTCTCTAAAGCCTCTACCTACAATCACAAACCACTTTGCACTCTTCTACCACAACTCTTTCTACTACAAAACACCACTATCAACCCAACAATCACCATGTCTCTCTTCCGCAGCATCCCTTCTGGTACTGAATTTGGTCCTCTCTTCCGTCTTCTGGACGACTACGACCTCCACCGTTCCGGCCAGAGCGCCAGCTCCTCTGCTACCACCCGCTCCTTCGCTCCTCGCTTCGACGTCCGCGAGACCGCGGAGGGCTACCACCTCGATGGCGAGCTGCCCGGCATCGCCCAGAAGGACATCGACATCGAGTTCTCCGACCCACAGACTCTCGTGATCAAGGGTCGCACCGAGCGCGAGTACCACAACTTCGACGAGAACGAGGAAGCCCAGCAGGACAACAAGTCGGAGTCCGCCACCCCGGACAACAACAAGGCCGAGAGCAGCACTGAGGTCGCCAAGACTGGCGACAAGCAGGTCGGCAAGCACAAGGCCAAGCCTCACTTCTGGGTCAGCGAGCGCTCCATCGGCGAGTTCCACCGCACCTTCAGCTTCCCCACCCGCGTCGACCAGGACAGCGTCAAGGCCAGCCTCAAGAACGGCATCCTCTCCATCTTCGTGCCCAAGGCTGCCAAGCCCAGCTCTAAGAAGATCACCATCGAGTAAATGGGCTCGCCTCCACCGACCAAATTGGCAATCTTTGCTGTGATGTGATGAGACGACAATTTTAGCATAGCGACTGCGATTCTCTCTGCTTGGGTTGCACCTGACTTGCGATTTGTTTCCTTCTTGAGCTGGTTGATTGAGGGGATGATTGCACGTTCCTTGAAGTTGAGCCTGTTGTTGAGCACTGGATGTCATTCCTTACGATAATGTTTGCTAATAATTAATGCAATTTGTTATTCGCCATATCCTTTCCAAGTCATTCGCAATCCTGGTAGACAGTAGACTATGTCTAAGTAACCAAGAGAACGTAGTGCTATTAGTAGTACCAGGATATGACAGCGGAAGGGGACTGTCTAAAGTGGGCGGGTTTTAACTTCAGCCCAGCAGTATTGAATGAAATCAAGCGGTGGTACGCATCTCAAACCGCACCGAGCGATACTCAGAAGCAGTAACCGAGGCTAGACTCGTGACCTGCTCGAAGTGAATGGCTCATAGATGTAAACTCTGCATAGTTCTTTATCCGCTTCCTCGATGGTCTAACGGTCATGATTTCCGCTTGTCAATCCCATTCGGGAACAAGCGCGGGAGACCTGGGTTCGACTCCCAGTCGGGGAGATTTCTTTTTGCTTTTGTCCTCATCTTCATCTTAGACCTTCTGGTACTAATCTAACACATTCTGAAGAAAAATGATTCTTTGTGCGATAGTTCCGTCTCGGTCTACGTATATATGAGCACAGCATTTTATATGCTGTTCGTGCTGCTGTGTGCTAAGTCGTGCTTTTGCACACCGGGGATTTACTGCGGAGCTCACTGAAACATATATCCCCGGGCCCATGTTCGCTCGAATCCTACTATTACTAGTAAGCGTGGACACGAACAAGTCCGCTACCTCTTCACTCCCGTAATTTTCGAAACATCCATGGTTCCACAGCAATGAGAAATAATTTCTATTTGAGTCTTCCACCACTTCAGCGGAAATATCCCTTTCCATGAAGACAGCCTACAGGCTCATCCATATCACGTGACGGTTATTGTTCGTCGCATTCTGGTCACCTTCGGCGTACCTTCGGCTATTATTCCTGCGACCCCACTGCTTGCTGCACTGATCAAGCGTAAGTTGCTCAGAGCTCGACCTGTCTGAGCATAAACCACAGCAGCTTGAATGTTCACAGCTCCCGTATAATTTCTGCTCCATGAATGACGTCATACCTTCAAGACATATAACGATGCACCAGACCGTGTCCAACATCTAGGCCGAAGGTCTCTGTGGAAATGATTCCCTGGGACACTCCAGCTTGATGTATACCAAGTACCCTGACTATCTCTATACTCCAATATTATCTCGAAGCTACGCGCACTCATATTTCCCACCAAGCAAGAGCAACGCACAGATAGATTCTAGTCGCAGAGGATATAATACATTCAAGACATCGACAGAAAAAAAAATCATCACCGAACACAAACCAGGCCAGAAAGTCTAGCCGGGATTGGTGGAAGAGAGAAAGTAAGTAAAATCAAGCAGAAACATCAACCAAAAAGAAAATTAGCTGGGAGAAACGACCATTATATCATCCTAGCCCGCCAGATGGAGGGCTTTCATCACGGTATCATACGGTAGCACGAGAGTCACGGAATCGAGTTCTAGGAGCTCAGGGTGCACTTGGTGGCGGCGTTGACCCAGCCGGTCAGCCGGTTTGCGACATCGGTGGCATAGCAGGCGGTGCCGACGCCAACGTTGAGGTTGGCGGCGTCGGAGATGGAGCCCGAGTTGTAGAGGCGGGCGGTGCGGTAGAAGGCGGAGACGTCGGTCTTGCCCTGCTGGTTGATCAGGCTGGCCAGACCGTCGCCGGCGGCGGTTCCGATGGCTGTGGAAGGGGGAGTGTCAGTTTTTGGTGCTTCGAGCACGACTCTTGAGGGGAAGAGCAGATTCTGCCGCACGTACCCCCATCGCGGACCATCTGGAGGATCTCGCTCCTTGGGCAAGGATTCTGGACCACCCCGTTGTCGTTGCAAGTGCCGGTGCCGTCATGGTCCTGCATGAGGCCCGGGTTGCGGACGCCGTAGTTGGTGGTGTCCACGCGCACACAGCCCTTGGACTCCTGCATGATGATGGCAAGGATGAACCGGTGGTCCAGGTGGGACTCCTTGGCGACCTGCTGGATGGACTCGTAGAGGGTCTGCGTCTCGTTGGCGGAGTTGTTGGGCACGCCGAACTGGGTGCATGACTCCATGATGGTGGGCTTGTTGGCTTTCCACCTGGTCGGGGGGGTTAGTTTATAGGGTTCTATCGAGTGGAGGCTGGGAAACATACATGTCGTCGAATGAAACCCTGTATGCGCAGTCAGCAAGATGATCTTCAGACAAATCGGAGGGGCAAAAGCACTGACCAGCTGGACTGGGCGGGCCAGCCGTCGGCGACACTGCCGTCACCGGAGTAGAGGGTGTAGACATCCTGGCCTGCTCCGCTGCCGTCGGTGCCGTTGAGCGTTGCGACAGCCAGGCCGCTGACGCTCACGACCGCGTTGGTGGCGCGCGAAGCCAGGTTGTTGGTGCGACTGCCCATGGGGACCGCGGCGGAAAGACCAACCAAAGCGGCGGCAACCACAAGGAAGTTGTTCAACTGCATGGTGATAACTGTAGTGTATCGATTGGGAGATAAAGAGATAGAAGCTGGAGGAGCACAGAAAGACAGACAGGTGGTTGATTCCTGCAAGGAATAATCAAGTGAAAGAGGATGTGTGAAGGAATGTGGTGAGACTAATCAATAGTCTCTGGAAAGCGAGGAAAAAGGAATGACGATGTCGTGAACGACTAGAATCTGCGAGCTTGCTCTGCAAGTGGTGAGGATGATGCGAATGAAGAGACATGCCGACAGACAGCGGACGAGGCCTTTATACTCCATCTTTGTGACGAAGAGAGAGAAAAAAAAAAAAAAAAAACCATCGCTGCAGAGAAGAGGAGTATTGACTCGTGCAGGGAAGGTTATTCGCTGCCACAATGGGCACCAGGGAGTTCGTTCCTGCAGCCCCTGTTCCTGTTGGCTGACCAGGCACAAAAGACTAAGGTTGAGTTGCGCAAACGGCCCTTTCACGTTTTGTTGGAAGCTGTAAGACATCTGTGAGAGTGACAGTTCGTCCAATTTCTCCCAATTAGAGGCATCATCAAGCGAGTGGAAAGCATCGGAGAATATGGGTTGGCTGCAGCACCCAATCAGCAGCCACCGGACCGTCCGCACGGATGCAACCGAAGCCGATCTGCGCTTTCCATTGGTTCATGACGGTACGGCCGGCTATAAGCAGTGTGACCAATCAGGGAGCAGTACAGGACGATCCGGATTGATGTGCTAGTCTCCTTTTGGACTAGTCACCGGAAGAGACCCCCCGTTTCAGAATCGAGCCATGGAACCACCGCAACCTTTTCAGCTCAAGACTTGAACTCGTCAACGGAGGAGAAGAAAATGACTTTCCACTTCCCCTCTTTTCCCCTCATCACTACTTTACAGATAATTTCTCCGTAACTACTCATGGCTCTATTCCTGCCGTCTCACACTTCCTTGTGTGTTGAAGATGATCTGCAAGTGGCAGTCAAAGAACCAGCGCCCTCATCGCCTTACTTCGATTCCCTTTCATGCTGGCTTGGCCGTGAAAGTGGGGTCTACCCCTCCGGTGAGGCCACATGGGGTCGGTTTCAGGTGTCTTTCGGTGGACCTCGGGGTTCCGGTTTCAGATTTGTCCAACTCCTTGACTGAATAAAGACTCGATCTCGACACTATTAGTCATACACTTACACACCGGATAGGGGCCTGTAATGCATCAACTCGGGTCTGGTCCGTGCTGAAACCGGCAAGGTTCATGGATTGTCTTCCCCGGGTCCCCAAACCACCCGAATTGGTCAGTTGGCAACATCTCCCGATGATGTGGCCCCCTCTCCTCTAAACCACACTATCCACACTATTTGGATTTCCATAGTTGAGACCCTAAGCTATGGTCTCTTCACCTACAATAAAAGCTGGCGGTTCCGCCCCCTTCACCAGCAGGGACCATCGCTGCCTGTGCGGTCGCCCAAGAGGTTCGCTCCAACAGTGCCTATCCATAGCCACCACTGACTGGGTGTGCCTCTACCGTGCCTGTCAGCACAACACGGCCCCCATCAGAAGCTTCCCAACTTTCCGACCCCGTTGGACATGAGAAACCAAGACATCACTCCCCCTTTTGTCACGCAGAAGCTAGGATGACAGTGCTGCGAGTTAGGCTCAATTGTGTGCTATTGTTCTTCGATGTCAGCGGAGAGATGGAGGTTGTCTCCAAATAAGAGTCTCAAATGACAGAAATCGCCGCCCGCCAACAAGTCTCCTATCTGAGCACGAGTGCGCTGGCGTCTTTGGTGCAGTATACCCCTGGAAAGCCGGACACCAAGTCGAGAACTTTGCCAACAAGCGAGCAGGGACGCTTTAGATTCATTCCAAATCCCGGCTGGCGCTGCGCCTCATCCCTGAATTTATACTCCAGGGGCGAAATTAGTGGGTGCGACATGGTTGAGAATATGTGCACCCTAGGAAGGATGTCTCGTCCAACGCAGCCATGTCTGGAATTGTATGTTCGACGCAATCAGGGAATCTCGGATATTGGCCACAGCTGGTCCCATCAAGATTCAACAGCAACTCAAATGAGGTTGAAGGCACATACGGTGGTTGCCAGGTATCGGCCATGTTATCGATAGTTCTCTTGGAGTCATCGTGACAGTCAGTCGTGCAAGTCCATGTCGCCGTCGCGCCCCTTGCACGTCGATTTGCATCCAAGAGCTTGGTATCAATTCCCCCAGAACCTCCTGTCATCCCCCGTCGCGAGCCGAATCGTTCGCTTCTGCTTCCCACAAGAGTAAGTACCGTTGACGCATGGGGCGATAACTATTCTGTGCAAAGGAGCTCGAGCAACCAGTCTGACGGCCACAAAGGACGACCCAACTTTCTGCAAGAGGCGACTGAAGAATTCCGTTTGTCATTGAGTGCACAGCGACTGGAATCGATTCCTCTATTGGAGCTCATCTCATGGGCCTTTCTGGCGCTCCCATCCTTGATCCCTGCTCCAGAAGGGTCTATATGAATATCAAGCCACTGAGGTACACATGAAGCTGAAGAGAGAAAATCATCACTCGCAGAAATGATACAATCCACAGCGCCCCAACTCCATCTATCCCATGCTTACTCCTCATACTTGCAATTCCCCACCAAGCGACGCACATAGAGCAGAGCATTCTCCACCCACCGCGCCCGATCCACTCCCACCCGACTCAATAATGCCGGATTCCGCTGCAAAGCAGTCGCCGCAATACTCAGAGGCCACACAATCGCCAAGCCTCGCATAGCCTCCCCTTCCCCAGCCCCGCGACCGTTGGCGACCGAGCCTTCCGGAGTGCCCACGATCGCAATGGTACTTCGCGCAATATGCCCCACCATCTCCTCGATGGTCTCCAGGGGACCCACTGGATGTCTCGGCCAGTCCCCATGCGCAGGATCTCGTTCCGCGATCCACCGGCTGCACCGGAGCAGATTCTGGGCCAGAAGGATCCGGACGGCGAAACAGAAGGTGCGGGGAATCGCTCGCCAGCAAGACTCGTAGACGTAGACTCGACGCGGCGCCCCGGGCCACTGAAGCATCTCATGGTCCCTGGGGCCGGCCTGTCGCTCATAGAACTGGAATGCCGCGGGGAGCCGGGACTCCCATTCCTGCAGCGCATTGTCTGCCTGCACTAGCATCCACGCCATCTCCTCCATGGGGCTGCGGGTCAGATGATCCGTGGACCAGGAGGCTGGTTCTGGTTCCTCAGCCAAGTAACTGTCGATATCCGCCTGCCACTGCGCGAGATTGTACATTACTCGAAACAGTTTCGCTGCCGGCAGGCGGGGCCCGAGGACCCCGGTCCAGAGATGCAGGGGCAGCTGGGGCCGCGTCCGCGCATTCAGACAGCTCACGATCATCAGCAGGTACATGAATTTCAGCAGGCGCGGATCGACAGCCGCCTCCGGTGCTGCGCCGTCCGGAGCGGCCTGTGTCTGCTGCTGGATCATGGAGATAGCGCCGTGCTGATGCGCCTGCCACGACTGCGCCTGATGCTGCGCATGCTGGGGGTGGGCCCAGGCCCCGCTACTGCTACTGGGCAGGATGGTCTCGAAGAGCCCCATCAGCGAGACGGAGACGATCACATCGGTGCCCGGAACGCCGTCGCGCCGGTTCTCCAGCTGCGAGCGGATCAGCCTCAGGGTCTTGGAATACTCGGTCCGAGCCAGGATCTCCAGCTGTGGGATGGTCTGCTGCTGGCGCGCGTGGTGGGCCAGGGCCAGGGCACGGATGGCCTGCGCGGAAGCCGGATTGCCGGCGGCTTGCCGGTACAGGCTAGGCAGCATCTGAAAAAACTCGAGCCAGGGATTCGCGACCTCGGCGGTGCATCCGAAGTCCCGGTAGAAGGCGGCTAATGCACGGTGCTGCAGATCGTCGCCGGGGGGACGGGGCTGCTCGTGCAGTGGGGTGGCCGCAGCAGTGGCCGCCGCCCTCTGGCGCCACAGCGTCACGGCGCGCACGGCGGCTTTGCTGTTCTCGCTGCGGAAGTCGATCTCCAGCGGATCTGGATAGTGGCAGTCGGTGCCTTGACGGGTGCATCGCGTGCATCGGGGTTGATCTTCGCTGCACTGTGCGAATGGGTCAGTTGATTGAGCTTTGGTTCTTCTAGTGGTGGTGGTGGTGGTGGTGGTGCTGTTGTTGTTGTTGCTGTTCGTGCTTGTACAGTACCTTAACTTTGGACTTACGACACCCGAGACAGCCTTTACTCCTACGACTGCGGGTGGTTGTCTCCATCTTGCTGCCCAGGGTGAAGTCTGGAGTGGGGTGTGGCAGGGTCTACAAAATGTGGAAGAAATCTGCGAGACCCGCACACAAAAACACTGCCACGTGGGTGGAGGGGCTCTAGCTTTGTGATCTGCCGCTTGAATTGTGTCAAGTTGCGCAGTATCTGCAGGGAACCCCGGTATATGAAGAGAGATGAACAGTCGAGTCAGAGATTTGGGGAGCCGTTTTTGCGGCTGACAGCCTTGCGGCCGGTGCAAGGCTGTCGAGCTGGATCCTGCCCGTCCACTTCCTGCTGAAGCTTCCCTGGAGCGGTGGATACTAAGTTATCGGCTGTTCGCGCCGCCTGCCTCATACTGCTTAGCGGGTGCAGAAATACGTGGTGTGGCTGAGCTGGAGGCCAATGATGAGGGAAGAGAGGGTCTCTGGAGGGTCTATACTTGGCCCCTGCTATGGATTTCGGCTCGCCTCGCCTGCCGCAAATGGACTAGCGTGGATGGAGATTGCCCTATACTCCATACTCACTCCAGAATCCTTCAGCTGGAGCTGTTTGATCAAGAGAGGAACAAGAGAGATATAAAGACAATGCGCATTCACATGGAACACATCTTGCTGACTCCGGTCTCGCATTTCATTTCTTGCAATTGACCGTTGTACTGGTGGATCGCCCTACTAAGTCTATTTTCTATCGTGACGCGGCACAGTTAGTACGAGATGGGAATATTCCACCATGACAGCAGCAGCAGCAGCCATGCGAACCACACATGTCCAGTACAGTCGCTCTCGGAAGGCATGTCACTACTCGAAATGGTGCCAGAGATGAGACTAACCCCAGATGACAGAGGCCGCTCAGCCATTCCTTCATGACATGTCATTCCATACCTTCAACATGATCCTGTCCGGAGCGTGCACAGCTTTTACGTGTCTATCCATCTTTGTATTGATGTCGATGCATGCAACGCATCTCAGCAAGCCCAAGGAACAACTCAAGTAGGAGACCCCGTGGGGCTGCGTGAAGGAAGTGCCCAAACTGACCGACGATAGAATCATGCGAATCAGCACCCTCCTGCCCTTGTACTCCGTTTTCTCGTTTCTCTCGATCTGCTTCCCAGAAATATACGTGTACTTGGAGCCATGGCTCGACGTGTTCCAGTCCGCCGCCCTGGGAACATTCTATCTGCTGATGCTGGAGCTCCTCGCACCGGCCACCTCCCGTCAAGACATGTTCTTCGCAGCGTTGGCGATCCCTCCGAGTGGAAGTGAGTCTGCGGCGGATAGTCTCAGCTGGTACCGCGTAAGTGCCCCCCAAATCCACATCCTACCGGATGCCGCTCACAGTCCCCAGAAAACCTGGATCGCCATTTTTCAGTACCCAGCCGTGGCGGTGATATTGTCCCTAGCCACCGACATCACCCAGGCTGCAGGTGTCTACTGCCTGGAGAGCAGCAAGCCGTACTTTGCTCACCTCTGGGTATGCATCCATCTTTCCACCACCACTGCTTCTCCACAGAATCAGAAAATCTAATAGTACCATGACAGATCACCATCTTCATTAACCTGTCCCTCATTTCCGCCGTGATCGCCGTGCTCAAATTCTACAAGAGCTTCAAGTCCCAATTGAAAAGCCACCAACCCCTCGCAAAGCTACTAGCCTTCAAACTCATCGTCGGCCTGTCGTTTCTCGAACGAGTAAGCCGCCCCTGCCCCTGCCCCTTCCCCCTGCAGAGAAGAAGACTGACATGCGCAGATCATCTTCTTCGCCCTCAGAGCCACGGACGTTCTCAAACCCGATGACCAGCTCACCTACGCGGACGTCAACATCGGCATCCCCACCATGGTCATCTGCCTCCAGATGGTGCCCTTCGCCCTCTTCTTCCACTACGCGTACTCGGTCCGGCCGTACATCATCCGCCGGACATTGCCGGCCATGGAGGCGAGCGTGAACCCGGCGTATTCCGCGGTGTCGGATGAGCGGCGGTACCAGGGTGGACCCCTGGGTGTACGCGCGTGGCTGGCGATGCTGGATCTCAGGGAGATTGCGGGGGCGATTCGCTTTGCGTTCACGATGGTCTTTGCGGGGAAAAGCGTGGGGCGGGGAGAGGAGCTGAATAAGTTGGGGTCGAGATAGATTTTGGTGCTGGTGGGATTGTCATTTCGTTTAGACTTCTTTTGCTTTGGTTCTGTGTTCACATCACGACTTTGTTAATCTGGCTTGAGACTACTTGGTGGTTGGTTTGGTATGTGCACTTCGATGATAGAGGTGTTAATGACTCAGATTTGAGTTATGCAGACAGGCTTCGCGAGTGAGACGAAGATGATTAGCTTTGCGAGGGGTTGGTGGTTTTAATGAATCAAGCACCTTCAAGTCGAGCATTAAGTCGACCATCCCTTTTTATGTTGTAGGGTAAAATAGTCAGTGTTGATGGTGACTATGCTGTCCGGGCTATGCGTTCGTTATCCTACTGTCAATCGGAACATTTTGTTCAACTGGAAAGGGTTCTGTACGCATAATCTTTAGCATAAGTTAGGGCAGATGCACTCGATCCCCTTCATCAGGTCAGACAGGCATTGAGGCTGTGCGACAGCCCCGGCAATGCAGTTGTCTGAGACCAATTGGAAAATAACTACGGTGTAACTCGGGTTGGACTCGCTCTTAACATATGATCTACAGTAATCTGGTCTCTCCTCGGAGGAAGTACTAACTATAGACAGCGGTTTAGACTTGACTCAGCTTGTTCAAGTACATAAGCACTCCCCACGTAGGTGACAACATGGTAGTCTGAAAAGTCAGCATGATGGACATGTAGCCCGACTGCTGAGTGATGTACGAAGTTGACTCGACCTCATCTGCTGCAGAGGACTCAACAATAATGGACATGACGCCAAATAAGCTGGCCATGCACTCCAGCAACAGCATCATTCACCAAACTATAGAATCCGCCCGGCCCTATCTCGAAGATCAGAAGGGCATGTCTCACGAACCCACAATTCGCCGACCATGACACCATCCACCGGAACAACTGAAGCTGACAGACCCTGCAGACTTTGGGTCGGGCTGGAGGATCCAGAGGCCGGGTCCAGCCAGCCATCAGCGGCGTCGTCCAGCCCTCATTCCACCCATCGTTTCGTTCTTCCCCGCAGCAACAGCAACTGACCACCAGCTTCAAATGATCACTCAGCCCCGCCAACTGATTCACGCTCCGAACAGACATGGAAACCGCATCTCGCTCGACCGATCGCGATCTTGAACCCGGCGGCGACAATGCCTTTGAAGTCCGCTGGGACGAGCACGACACCGAGAACCCGCACCGTCTGACCGCGCGGCGCAAATGGGCGATTGAGCTGCTCATCTGCTCGACGACGCTCTGTATCACCGTCACCAGCTCGTTATATGTCAGCACTCTCCACCAGACCATGACCGAGCTCCACTGCTCGCGCATCGTCGCCACTCTGGGCTTGAGCCTGTTCATCGGCGGACTCGGCTGGGGCCCGCTGGTGCTCTCGCCGGTGTCCGAGTTCTACGGTCGACGCCCCATCTATCGCATCTCACTGCCGTTGTTCGTCCTCTTCCTGGTGCCCTGCGCCGTTGCCCGCAACATCGAGACCCTGCTCGTTGCGAGGCTTTTGACCGGACTGGCGGGGGCGGCGTTCACTTCGGTCGCGGGCGCCACGGTGGGTGATATGTATACCAAAGACCAACTCCACTTTCCGATGCTCGTGTACACGGCGTCGCCCTTGTCAGTCGGGCTCCTGCGGTGGATGGGGGGGGGGGGGGGGGGGAGGCAGCGCGGTAGCTGACTGGAGTCTTGCACAGCACCGGATCGAGTTTCGGACCGATGGTGGGAGGACTGATCAATTCGTTCGCCTCATGGTGAGTATGCGATATCAAGAGCAAGACCGTGGGAGAAGCTTACTGATCATGCCTCGTACAGGCGTTGGTCGTTCTATACCCTCCTGATCTGGTCCTCAATCCAATGCCTCCTCGTCCTCTGCTTCGTGCCCGAGACCTACCATCCGGTCCTCCTCCGTCGAAAGGCCCGTCGCCTGCGCAAGGAGACGGGGGAGGAGCGGTGGCAGGCGCCGATTGAGCGGTTGGATCGGTCGATCTTGATGGTGCGTGTGAAGCCCCCAACCTCACGCAGATTGAGTTGCGTGGGTGAGATAAGAGCTGGGACTGACCTCCCAGACCGTCATCCGCTCGCTCTACCGCCCCTTCATGCTCCTCCTCCTCGAGCCCATGTGTTTGAACCTCTGCATCCTCTCCGCGATCGCCTTGGGCATTCAATACCTCTTCTTCGGCTCATTCAAGGTCATCTTCGGCACGGTGAACGGATGGGGGCTCTGGCAATCCGGCCTGGCCTTTGCAGGAATCACCGCGGGGATGATCGCCGCCGTCGCCGTAGATCCCTGGTACGTTTGTTCATTCTAGCAGACGCTCCCCAAAATCCAACTCTTCGCAGGTGTCGCAGACTATACACCCGCATGATCCCCTCCACCATCGACGCCACCGATCCCGAGCGCCGCCTCCCCCCCGCGGTAATTGGCGCGCCGCTTCTAACCATCGGTCTCTTCTGGTTTGCATGGACAGCGTAAGCCCTGCCCCCCGCGCAATCTTCCGCCATTTTGACCCACTAAGCTGGACAAGAGTACCCTCCGTGCACTGGTCCGTGCCTATCATCGGGAGTTCCCTCTTCGGCGCAGGGTGCGTACACTCTCCCCCCCCCCCCGGGTCATTGCAACGGCAGACATGGTTGATGATCGAGCAGAATGATCCTTGTCTACGCGGGGGTCTTCACCTTCCTCGTCGACGCGTATTCCGTGTACGCGGCCAGCGCGTTGGGGGCGAATAGTTTCACGCGAAGCACCTTTGCGGCTGCGTTTCCGCTCTTTGGGTATCCGAGTAAGTCTGTAGTACCCGTGGTGTGGTGTGGTGTTGGGGAAAGGAGGAAGGGAATGAGGGAGCAACAGCTGACGGGTGCGCACACCCGCACAACAGTGTATCGAACCCTGGGCAATCCGTGGGCGACCTCGTTGCTGGCGTTCTTGAGTCTGGTGATGGCACCGTTTCCGTGAGTCGATGCGCGTGGCTGATATTGGGGTGTTGGGATTGACTGACTGACGCTGGGGGTGATGTCTGGATGTCTAGGTACGTGTTTTTCCGATACGGAAAGAAAATTCGACGGAAGAGTCGGTTTGCTACGCGGAAATAGTGGTGGCTGGTGTTTCAGTTATTTGCGGACTCGCGAGTTGCTCTGCTCGAAAGGAGGAGGACGATGACAGAATGATGGGGGTATAGAAATGATAGACGGCTGTAGCACTGAGTCCCTTGCAATTTCATACGGCACACTCACTTCATGTCTCATCTCGTGACCCAAGCGTAGCTCAGCTATTTTATATCTATCCTTCCCAATCGACACATTCATCAACCCCCCGGTACAATCCATGCGGGGGAGGCCACCCGCTCAGGCCCGGAGCAGCATCACCGTCACCTTCGCGTGGAAGTCCTCACTGCTGAAGCCAGCCTTGGAGGTCAACTGACCCGTCGGGATGCCGCCATCTGCGCCGCCACATTCGAGTACGTTGGCGTCCCAATCCGGTGACAGGAAGCTGAAGCGACAGGTGAGCTGAGTTGAAGCGTTGACAGGTTTATGTAGGTAAAATTCAGAGGAGACTGTGATATACTGTCAGTGATGAACACGAAGGGGGTGCGCACTATTATTGCTCACCGTGGCGAGTCATATTGAGAATCGGGCTGCCTTAGGGCAGGCGGTTGTAGGCTCTCTTACACCTTAGCTCTACTTCAAGTACCACGAAGTATGAGTATAGTACACTCGGCCTGAGTGGAGAGAGGAGAAATCTGATCTCGGAAAGTACCCGAGGATTGGGTCTGGTAGTCGTGGAGTAACTCAACTTGATGTAGTACTGCATACACAGTTGAGGTGAGTACAAAGGGTAAAGCCAGCCAGCCACAAAGCGGGCAACTTATCTACTGACGCCTGAGGCATCACATTTACATCAATAGACGGAGGATAGTGCGGTATACAAGCGGAGTATAACTGAATTTTCCTTCAGCTCTCTCTATTTCTCAATTCTTTTTCCTTTTCCCTTTGTTTTTTCTTCCCAAGGCTTTTTCCCTCGTCTGGAAAGTGTCCGGGAGACTCGTCAAATCTGAATACTTCACTGCAGCCCTGGGGAATCTTGAGCGGCGACGGTAGTTGAAGATGGTTTCTACTCGGCAAGCTCCAGTAAGAAGACAAGCAAAGCCAGCCACCTCTCATCTCTCCACCAAGTGCTAGACAAGGCTTCCTCCTCCGGGTGAGCAGAGGAATAGTATCTGACTTGAAACCCTCCTGTCTGGCTGATCACGATTTCGGCCAGTTGATAGGCAACAGTCACGTCGATGGGGGGCTGGTAGCGTGCGTCCACCCCACCTTCGCCGTCCCCTCGATACAATCCGTAGATTTGCAAGTCTTTGACGGCCCGAATGCCGGTGACCATGTAGAACTTGCACCTACCGGAGGAGTCCCAGCTGGACTCGTGCCGCATGATCGCGCGGATAGCGGGGTTGGCCAGACGGGCTCGCACTTCCCTCCCGGCGGGTAGACCTTCAAACTGGGTTCTCGACAAGCCATCAACATGATACCGTGCCTCAAAGCGACCCGCAATCTGCGTGACCATTTGCGTCCAGTATCCCTCCGGCATATCCTCCGCAATGGCGGGGTACTTGGCCTCCAGCTCGGCCGGAGACAGTCTCGTCAGCACTGCGTACGTTTGGCCAGGGTCCTGGATGATATTCCCCAGTTGAATAAAGTCATGAGGCCCCGAGTGAAGGTCGGGGACTAGCAGCCACTCGGACGCGAAGGTAGTCATCGTGGGAACACCGAGAACAGACGGGGGTTGATCTTTTGTCTCAGGATGTGAAGGAGCTCTGAGCAGGACGGGTCTTTACATACTTCTACCCTCGCGGAGGAGGCCTGACCATCCCATGCGGTGCTACTTTGTCACAAAGGGTGATCACCAGTTCCACTAATCGAACGTAAAAGACTTGGGAGGAACCAGACCGTGTATTCGGAGAGTTGCCGTGCACGCGTAGAGGAGATAAAAGACACCTGGTCAAAGAAACACGCGATGGCAGCCTCCTCTATGTTCATCGTTACGCTGCGAGATGGAGGAATTGTTGAGGAGAATTCGAAGAGATATACGAACTCAGAGATACTTTTCTAAGATTCGTGCAGAAAGGTGTGGCGTCACGTGCTCCTTTCCTCACAAGTAGCATCGCCATGGGTGACGGTCTCAAAGAGTTCCAAAGCAAGGAAAGACACGATATCGACCCAGGAGAAGCATGCGACAAGCTCGCTTCAAGCGCTGCTCTTGACTGGTAGTAACATGTGTGAAGAAGATACTTGGTAGAAGACTCTGCACAGACTACCGAGGCATAAGTCAGCAGAGAATTACGTACATGTAGGAGAAGTAGATTCAAAAGAACTACAATTCAAAGCAAAATAAGAGTGAAGGAGCTCCAGGTATCCTTAGCTCTCCATTAATGATCTGATCTGATCTGATCGGTAGTATTACATAGCTAGACCAGCAGAGTCTGCATTGAACCCGCAGTTAAACCCAGACCCACGCAAACATCACGAACCGCAACTGCCCACTACTCATCATCGCGAATATCCACGACCGTCTGCTTCCACTTGCGAGCCGGCACCTTGCGCTTGAACAGAATGTCGATCTCACGGAAGGACCGGTTCTTCATCTCCGGAACCCACAGCCACGCCATCGCGGTGCAGACAAAGGCAGTACCCGCCCAGATGTAGCCGCTCTTGCCGCCCAGGTTCCACTTGTCCGTGTTGAGCATGTAGCTGGAGAGGAAGATGCAGGGGATATTGACCAGGTAGTAGGCCCCGCGTCCGATGCCCGTCGTCAGGGGCCGGAGACGCACGGACGAGGTCTCGCCGATGATGACCCACGAGGCGGGGGCGGGTCCCAAGCAGAACAGAACGGAGACGATCAAGCCCAGGGAGGCCTGCGCATTGCTCGCCGCAGTACTCGCGCCCACCGAGGCGGCGATCCCGAGCGCGATCAAGAACGCACAGTTGATCAACTGCCCATAGACATAAATGGTGCGGCGGCCGAGGTAGGTGGTGAGAACCCAGGAGAGCATGACCATGATCCACTGGAGGGCGGAAGTGATCAGACCCAAGGCAAATGCGGTGTTGTCGGCCATACCGGCCTCTGCGCTGGGGGGTCAGTGTGCGGGAAGGGTGTTTAGGGGGTGGGTGGGACTCACGCTTGAAAAAATAGACCGCTTGGTTGGCGATCAGATTGCCCGTCAGATTCTGCGACGCGTACACGCCACACACGATCAAGGTGCGGTAGAGATCGGTGCCTTTCCACAGTTCAATGAGACTGGGCTTCTTCACCGTCTTCTCCAGCTCGATCGTGCGACGCATCATGGCGACTGCGTCGGCGGGATTCTCAGCGCCACTCGCGCGCCCCAGACGTTTCACAGCCTTCTCTGCCTCAGCCAGACGGCCCTTGCGGACCAGCCACCACGGGGATTCGGGCGCCAGGAAGAGGAGGATAGCCAGAGGAGTCGGGAACATCCACTGGAGTGCGATGGGGACTCTGCGACCGGCGGTTAGGACAGACCTCCTCAACCTCCTCACCGGGAGCGGATACGAACCTGTACGCGGAGGAGTCATTCTTGGATTGGTAGTGGTAGGTGATACCGCCGACGATGATCGAACCGATCGCCCAGAACATCTGCAGCATCTGCGTCGCGGGAGCTCTGAGTCGCATGGGCACAATTTCGGCACAGTAGGCGGGCGCATTGGCGATAAAAATGCCCCAGGGGATCCCTTCCAGGATCTGGGCGGCGAAAAACATGCCCTGGCTGTTGCCAAAATAGAAGATGAAGATGAAGGCATTCAAGGCCATGAGACCGCCAATGGTGGCCCATCGATACCCAATCCAACTCGTGATGGGACCCGCCACAAAGACACCGATGAAGGCACCAATGGGGCCGCTACACTGGAATGCTGACTGCCAGGAAGCTTCAATGATCCAACCCTTTGACACGTCACTGTATACCCCAAAGTCCACGGCGAATTGATGGGTGGCGATGAATTGTCCCATCAAGAACACACAGTATGACTCCATGATCTATCGCGGTATGATTAACAAGAGGCATCTGGCTACTAGTATGGTGGGTAAGACTTCACTTACAATGGTGCATGACATGACGAACGCCCACCAGCTGGCCGCAGGATAGGCCCTGACAGCCTCCAGCACCGTCATTCGATGTTCGACCTCCTCAGCATCGATGGCGCCGGTTCGGTCGTAGTCGACCTTCACGGCAGCATCGTAGATCGGTTCGCCCTTTTGCGCCTCGATCTCCAAGGCGGAGGTTCCCTTCTCTGAGTTATCAGTAGCCATAGTGACAATCGGTTGAGAAATGGGGGTGAGGGAAAGAGAGAGGCAGACAGGACTAGGGGAGGAAATGGGGGGAGTGCAGGGGTTTAATAGTAGCTGTGATACCCCGCTTGGCTGTGAAAGGGAGATCCGGAAGTAAGCCTCATTGAGTGAATCTTTTCTGACTGCGGAGTCCCCGGACTCAGACCTCGTGGCCTCCCCACCATCGGGTTATTCATTGCCCCGAGTGTTAGTCGCGGAGTCATGGAAGTGAATGAAGGACTGTTGAATCGAACCGGAAATTCCGGGGAGGTCACCGTATCATGTGGAGATTGAGCCTGGGGTGATTCCCACCGATCGGTCTGATTTCCCCCGCAAATGCGGGGGTAATAGACTTTTCACCTCCATTTCCTGTCAGGTTTTTCCCCACTCGGTTAAATTGAGTCATCCAATCCAAATTTACCATTCAGAATTATAGTTGCCACTACTTACTACTAGGACTAAGTACTTACTGTGTAGTAGTGGCTCGAATCGATGTAGGACCCCTATTCCACTGGTGCAGGGTCTGGCCACCGCCGGTTAATAGTAACTGCTATCTGAACCACACACACACGTGTGACTGGTCTTCCCCTGCATATCAGCCGCGTCGGTTGTGCTCTAAAGGAAGGACTGTGTTCACTTGCCGAGATTGTCTCACGTCGTCCCAGTCTCGTTGGTGCCGCACAGGTACTCAGTGGCACACATGATCCTGACCGACAGATCGGTATATTATCCCGTCGGCAAAGAGAAACCAATAATCTGCCAACTTTGTTGGGGATATCCCTTGCCCCCGCAATGTGTGTAGGATACCGTAGACGCAATAGGATTAAGTTTGTGTGATGACAGCTTACTGTGAGAGGACGAGGCGCCACTGGACGGTCGGTCTCAATGCTTGCTTCCGTCGTAAGCGAGCGGGGGACCCTGTCTGCCCAACGTGGCGACCTCTCCTAACTCTCACCTGTGCTGCTCAGATAGATTGGGGGGTGTACTAACTAATGTGATTGGTTGGATACTCTGACTGATAGAGAAGCTCCCATAATCCTCGAGGATTGTGGGTGTGTGCACCGCATGTCCAGTTCAGTACTTCCATCACTGGCATGTTTTGCTGCAAGTCCTGTCTGCTTGCCGAATTCGGGTATCCCCGCTATTGTGAGGGCAGCACATGACTGCTTCTGCTACACTTCTATATACTCACAATTACTTACTACATATTTACCAAGTACTCTGACTATTTCTAAACCGTCATAGAGAGACTTACTGAGTAATTCTAGATTTATAACATAATCTTTACTCTAAATCTAATAGCTTCTATTTAACTAGTACTAGACCTCTAAACGATAGAACTAACTGAAATAGAATAGTATACGATACCGATCTATGACTTTTATAAAGATATTCTAACGATTAGAATCTAAGAGTCTCAAATGCAGGACTGACCCTTGCAACGAGGCTACTTGTCCCATGACGGACAGCCAGGCTGGCATCTTTTCCGAGTGGCAGCGAAGCGAGTGTGCGGCGCTGAGAGGATGCTGCTAAAGCTTAAGGTGCAGGGACGCGTACTATCTCACTGTATTACTAGGTCATCGATAGTTGTCTCGCCACCAAAGTGTCTGTCATTGCATAGACACTATGTCGATGCCCGAGGCATGTAAGGCTGGCTTCTATGCGGGCTCTGATTGGCTTTCTGACATCCTAGCAACATTAGAAGGTAAAGCCACTGGCCTTCGCTTAAACTACAGTACTGTAAGCATAGGATGCAACAAATTCATCTTCCACAGAATACGGAACGCCAATACCTCCGATTTCACCGTAATAGCTCCAAGTACCCTTCTTTCGGCTGCCTACACTCTACCCATTCTTCATACACTCTCGAGCTTCTGCTTCTCCTTCTTTGTTGCATGCTCTATGACATCCAGAAAATCACCGTATGCACGGTAGCAGTGACTCCGAACAAGCATAGACACATCTTGGCATGCATTTCCAAATACCAAAGCACGTGTCTCAACCTGATCATCCAAGTCGCGTCAAATATGTGTAATGGGCGTGTGTTGGCGGCTGACAAAATATCTCGCCTACTCGTCTGCCCCGTCGCTGCGATGCTGACGGTCGCGTTATCAGTCGTGCAGGCTCTTTCTGAAAGATCGATGAGCTTGTGCCAGCAGCGGATCGTCTCCCGCGGAATGGATGCAAGTATTCAAGAGTTGGCGGAAGCGGGTCGCCCAGAATGCTGGATGGGCGGTATACGCCATCGTTCACTGCCAATGGTGAGCACATATAAGCCAGAACTTTCAAGGTCAATTCTTCTCTTCGTCCCTCGAGTGACATTATATTGCCCGCCGGACGATGGCTCCAAATGCCTCGTGAAATGCCAAAATCGCCTAGTGTCTGGTGGGTACAGAACCCACTGGATATAAGCTAATAATAAATACCAAGCTAATGCCAAGCCAGTGGGACTATCTTAGACAGCAGCCCCAAAGTTACTCCTATGGTTTGAAGAACCAGCGGCCTCTTCTGTATCGACTGAAACCGAGGTTGAAACTTCTGAGACATGCATGATACACATAGGTACTCTTCGCCTTGTTGGGTGAGAACAGCGACAGATTCCAGCCCGCCCCCGCCCGACTGCGCGCCGTCGCAGGCTGGAGGGATTAGACCCTGAAATGAAGTGAGACTGCGCGATCAGCTAGTTGAGTCTCGGGGCAGCTCCCTGTGCGAGTGCCTGTCAAGACTAATCCGATCTGGTCTGTTAGTGTACACTGGAGGTCATATGCGAGACATTGCCGTCAGAGGTTGCTCCGACGCTGCTCTAACTCGATGACACGAAATGCTGACACTCTCGGGGTGCAACCCCAATCAAGATGCGTCTTACCCTGCATCACTAATTGGTACATATGAAGTGCAACACACCCACCATCGGGAACATCATTTGTACTCTGAAGCAGGGAAGAAATTTGCTCCCAGGCTGGAAAGAAAAAAGGCGCCGGTTGGAACACTCTCGATGGCCAAAGAAATCCAGCATGGCGATATCCCCTCTCTCCTCTCAAGGAGGATTTCCAACCCACAGAAAGGTACGCCTACAGAGCGATCGCAATTCCGACTCCCTGCTTCTTCCGCCTGGCAATAAACCAACTGACGCCAGTCCCTACCCCAGCCCCCCATAAGCACTCTCAAAATCGGCCAAGTCCTTTTCTCGACAGTCGAATACTATCTTTGTCTCTACGAAATTCTCGTACATAGATGTCTGGTGGAGCGCAGCGCAGGTCCCCGCGCGCCCGACGCTGGGTACGCTACCACTGCATAACTAGTGCCCACACTGTGATCCACTACTCCACCTCGGCACTTACCAAACTGTCGCCGACTTGCTATTTTTCAACTGGAGCACAGTCGACTGCCACGAACGCATATTTGGAGGCGCGCGACCGGAGGGAGCTCATCTGCGCGGCTCATACCTTCGCCGCCGCGCGCGCTACAAGGGAAAAAAGTGTATAGAAGGCACTCGGTGGCACAGTTACAACGGTGCGGGCTCTGCAGGTTACGAGAGAGATATACTCCGCGTTCAGTGATTGCACACATCGATGCTGATACTGAGCGAGTTCTCCAGGGACTGTTTGACCGCCGCGTTTGCTTACCATGGTCAGAGACTGTGCACTGTCCTGTGAGCGTACTCAATGGGGAATGTCATTCAGTTCAATTGGCACGTTCTGAATGAGGCTGTATTCGTGTATGAGCAAGCCAGTTGCAAAAAAAAAAAAGAGGATAAGCACAGGCTTGAGGTACCGTCAGTGACTGCGGCCCACACACAGGCAGCGGAAGACCATATTCAAGAAATGACGACGATGGCAATATGGAGAGCGGTGATTCGAGCCATCGACATCAGGGGCAGGGGATACGCTGCAGTGGTCCATGAGTCGGTCGCATTGTCTCCAGAACCTATCACTGCAAGGACATTCTCGGGTTGAGCTGTCGGGAATCAACGGGGGCTAAAATGGGGCTGGATCATCCTGTCGCGGAAGAGGGTGGGGATGCCACAGCCGGAGCACTCACTCCTCAGCCCCTCATAGGGCTAGCATTTGACAGAGGTCGGGATGACCACTGCAGTTCTACATCTTCGCGAAAGATGCGATTCGTCTCAACTTATGCCAGGAATGAAGCTGATGATGAGTCTTCGAGCACTGAAATGGTATACTCGAGAATTGCAGTACCCACAACTGTTCATTCCCATGATAGTCTCATGCGGAGTATGATGCCACCAGGATGAGCGGATACTCATTTCTTTACTAGTATGAGGTTATCCAAGGAAGTGGGCACTTGTCGCATGATTCGGAGCAAATTCATGTGTCTGCATGACTTTCGCACATGGCAGTCTGCACGGCCACGAGGTCCGGCCCGCTGCCCTGACTGGCCCGTCAGCGGCAGCATTAGTAGGATGCAGCTATACCTTGACTACGCAGTAGCCTCGTCAGCACCAGCATCAGGTGCTGATGGATCGCTCCTTGGAGCCGGGATGGGGACGGATGCGCGACGGATCACCGTTCGGGGCAGGCTTCCGAGCTGAAAAGCTCTACGAAAGCAAGAGCTTGTCTTCGACGACTGGACTAATTTCTGGTCTGATGCAGAATCCTCCGCGAGACGAATGATCTATAAATACAGCCCGACGATGCTATCCTCGGTCCTAATGCGAGTCAGTCATTGCACGCTACAAGCCTCCGCCCCCGAGCAGGCAGGACAAACACCTCAATGATGCCACTGATCCGCCAATTGACCACCTTCCTCGCCATCGCCAGCCTGGCGGTGGCAGTCCCACGCCAAGCAGGAAAGTCCCTGCTACAGAAACGCGAGACGCTTCCAGAGTACGCGCTCACCTACGCCCCGCTGTCCTACCTCTACAGCGGGGAGAAGTGGTGGCCCTCCGACATCACGACGCACTTGGCCAACGTTGAGCCCGAGGTCAACTACACCGCGATTGGGACGAACGGGTCGGTGACGGTCGACACCCTCGACTCCTACGCATCGGATGTCTACCTGACTGCCTCGGATGGGCCGATCCTGAATCCCTTGGAGAGTACCCCGGCGTGGCTCGCGTCTGACTACGGGATCCCCGATAGCGATGGCCTGAGTGCAGCCCCGGGACTCATCATTGCGGTGGAGAAGAATAGTACCACGACGGATGTGTTTTACTTTTATTTCTACTCGTACAATTATGGCGGAACGTGCGTGCAATCTTCCCCCCCCCCAGACCCCCCTTCATCTCTGCAGTGACCGCAAAGTTAGCAAGCGAGTGGCTCACGCAGCGCGTTGAATGACAGGGTTCTCGACATCAACTTTGACGACCACGTGGGCGATTGGGAGCATGTTATGGTGCGTAGTTCATAATTATCCAAAATCTCCGCTTCGCTTGACGACTAACGTGCCACGACCCTGTCCACCATACCAGATCCGATTCATCAACGAGCAGCCCTACGCGATCTACTGCTCCCAACACAGCGCCGGATCCGCCTACTACTGGGACGTCGTCGACTTCTCCGGTGACCGGCCCCTCACGTACATCGCCTACGGCGGACACGCGAACTACGTCACCGCTGGCACGCAGGACTACACCATCGCGCTGGGGATCGTCAGCGACACCACCGATGCGGGCTACCTGTGGGACATGACGCTCAACTACCGGGGGTACTGGTACGACGGCGACACGGGCGCGTTCACCGTCGCGGGGGGCGCGGGCACCGGCGCGACCGAGGAGGCCGCCGAGCAAGCGGACTGGCTCAATTGGTTGGGCGCTTGGGGCGATGAGCAGTACCCGGATGATTTGCTCGACGATCTCGAGACCGGCCAGTATTGTATCGTGGATGAGTGTCGCTACACGAGTGGGCCCACCGGGCCGGTGGATAAGAATCTCGCTCGGACCACCATGTGTGAGGATGATGATGATTGTACCATTTTTGATAATATTGATGATTTGACGCATCAGTCTTGAGGAACTTGGTCGCATCGTTGTGGATACCTCGAGGTGGGCTTGGTGGGTTCGAGTGTCAGTGGACAGTGATATACAATGGCAGTAGCTGTTAAGTCCGGACCTCGCGCCTTGCAAGTCATCAAGTCTGCTCTACGCAACTGCGCCTTTCATGGCTTTTCGCTACCTAGTCATCTACACTGCGGAATACCACCCAGTTGCGTCGCACCACAATATACCTTGTTGACATGCGAAATAGTCCTCTTGCAATGTTATTCTACAATCTACTAGTATAATAAAACCACATCCTGATGGTGACCATGCTTGTGCAACAAGGTACCCATCGTCATGCGAGAGATTAACTTCATCGGGATGGAAATTGCACCAAGCGATGCAAATATACCGGGTCGGAACAATGTGGATTTGAATATGCACAAATGCTGAAAGAATATTCCCTAACGCCATATATGCAGAAAACGCCGACCGCAAAACTCGCTCGAATAAACCTTCCGATACAAAGTCGGACTGTGAAGAAGGCGTAAGTAAGTGTACGCAATGCGGAATCAACGCCCATCAGATCATCACAATAATATCAGTATTGCCCCCCTTCTTGTGCATTCACAGATTCAAGTTGCGGCAAGGCATGAGGACAAAAGAAAGTTTGTACAGATTTCATCCCCCTCCCATCCGACCGGAGAGTCGCAAAATCCCAGCACCCCCCACGCAATCAGGTCGTGAACATCAATCTCAACCGACTGGACCGCTTCGTCTTCTCCTTGGGTTTCTTAGAGTCACGAGCCTCCGATTGCGAAGAAGGGTGGTGATGCGACGAGGGCGGCGCCTTGGAGCCGAGATACGACTCCGGGGGCCGGTGGTCGGCGCGCGATCGGCCGTGCTGATGCGAGCGGGAACGGCGCGAGCGACGCGAGGAGGCCCTGGAGTGCTCGTCGTCGTCGTCAAACTTGAAGCGCGGGTCGCGGGTCATCCTGGCGGTGGTCACGTCGATGCCGGACATCATGGCGGCCGTCGGGGTGATGAACTCGCCGTCGACGGAGGTGCCCGCGCTCTCGGCCTCGGCGTCGGCGACCCCGCGCCGCCACATCTCCACGCTGCTGAGGCAGTCCGTGTTGAACTCCATCATGTCCTCCATGCTGGGGTCGTCCATCGCGTCGCGCGGGTATTGTTGGGGGAAGGGAGGTGGTGGTTGTTGTTGTTGTTGTTGATGCGGGGCGGCCTCGAGCACGGGGGTCGTGGAGGACGTGGCCGATTGGATCTGCTTGACGATCTTGTAGCCGCCGAACATGACGATCGTCACCCCCAGACCCACGCCGGCGGCAATGAGAAACTGCGGGCTCGCGAGCAGGGCGAAGACGCTGGGCGCGGCGGCCTTGAGGGCCCCCAGCGCGGACGGCGCCAGCTTGGTCACCAGGTTGCTGATTTCCGCCAGCGTGAGCGCGACGGCCGCCATGGAGTCCGGGTTCTTCTGGAGGTGGGCAATCGTGGCGGTGGCGGTGTGCTGCATGCAGTCGGCCTCCTCGAGCAGCCACTGTGCGCGAGAAACCAGCCCGTTGAGTTCGGGGTCCTCAATGCGTTGCAGCTGGCCGGAGTGTGGTGGGGGAACGAGCTGGTCCTGACGGGGCGGCTCGAGGGCGGACGGGTGGAACTCGCCGTAGGCCAGATCCATATCGACATGGGGGGTATAGTCGGAGCGCGTGCGGACCGGAACCGGCCGGTCCAGCTCGCGCACGCCGACATCGTGGTGCGTGTGTCGTCGCACCATCTCGCGCGGTTGGTTGTAGTATGGGTCCTCCGCCTCGTAGTCTCCTCGCCAGTGCACGTCCTCCTCGTACAAGGACCCTACCCCGGGATGATGGCTGCGGCTGCGGCCCGCGTACTGTCGCGAGCGACTCCGCCGCGACGATGCGACCGAGGGAGCAGCCTCGTAGCGGCCATCATCGATGTGGTAGTTCTGGAGCATCTTCAAGGCCTCCCTCTCCGCAATCTTGGCGTTCCGCTCGGACTGCACTTGGGCTTTGCGCTCCCGATAGGCATTCTTGGCTTGACTGAAGACCCCAAAGAGGTGTTTGCTCTGTGCGGCACGAGCGAGTCAGCATGGATCCCTCTTCTCGTTGGGAAGTAGTCGTGCGTACCGTGCTGACCACCTTCCCAGACCTGTCAATCACGGCGATGGTCTCGCCCAACGGGGCCATGGTGGTGGATGGGACTCAGGTTGTCACGGTGCAGGGGCTGTCAGGGACCCAAGTGACTTCTCCCTGTTCGACATTCAAATATGACCACCCTTCAACCTTATCGCACGGTGCAATTTCCGGGCAAAAGGGGGGATGGACGTCAGACGAGCGGTGTAGCGCAAGACTAGTTAATAGTTGGGATCCTCAGTGGGGGGGACGTAGAATCTATGGCCCCGATCTTGGCTCCAAATGTGGAGACCAGGCTGCACTGCACTGATGTGATGGTGGTAGGGGAGGAATGTTGGCTCCTGAGAAGGAAGGTAATGAAGCGTAGACGAGATATACCTCCCAGATCTGATGGCAAAATAACCACTGGGACAGCTGAATCTGCAGGGTCTGGATGGCGGGCTGTACACAACTAGTGAGTGATGTCCAGCTGGGGAGGAGGGGATGCAGCCCTGCAATTCCCCGATAAGCGGCGGCAAACGGCGGGATGTTGGCTGTGCGACCGCGTCAGTCAGGGATGATCCACGCCACCAGGACGAAATTCGATATGATCGGGAGGAAAGCAAGAAAAGACAAGGCAATCATCGGAGTTGAACAGGTGAGGTTGGAGGGGGGCTGGGAGGGGATTTAAAATCATAGGACGCCATGACCGCGGCGGCGCCTCGGATGGGCATGAAGCAACGAACAGGAACAGCAATCACCGCATCGTCTTCCAGGCGGTTGGGTGTCGACGGAGCCAAGAGCAAGGCAGCAGACGGATTGGAAAATAGACTTGAGTGGCCCGCAGGGATCGCTGGAGGAGTGCAGTGTTGGCACGGTCTCCGGTTGACGTGTGGATGGGGAAAATCAGGGCCATGTCATCCGAAGTGTCAGGGTACCTGACGTGGAGGGGGATTTGCTATGTGGATGAAGTACCCACCATGTTATGAGACATACTGTTTACAAAGTGTACAGAAAAGTAAACATTCCCAGCCTGTACCCCGTACTAGATTCCTGAGAGAGACAGAACAGTTGGGATAACATGCAATCATCTAGAGCTCCTCCTGTTTCTTCTCTAGTGACTCCCAAATTGTACGGAGTAGACCGGGGATGATGCGACCGACGAAATCACGCTAAAAAGAAATACAAAGACTAAACAGAGACTAGAAGAAAGAATCCCGTGGCCTCACGAACCCCTCTTTTGGCGGGTTGGTGCCTGAGAAGTGCCTGAAGGAATGGCGGTGATGCTCCGTCCGCTGATTGGATGGCCCGAGACACCGCCACAGTGGCGGTGCTCTTGTCTGCGCACGGCAGCAGTACTGTTGACCGGTCCAAGCATCAGACATGTCGCAATTTGAAGTCGAACAATTGTCGAGATGGGAGTAGACTCAGTTGTAGACTCTGATTGAGGCGATTGGTAAAAGAACGACGTGAAGACGCCTGTTAATGTTTAACTGTATATACACAGTCCTGCCCGGGGTTAGCTGTAAAGTACTCCGAAATAAGAACGAAAGGAAGATAAGTGATGGCCAATAAGATTCTGCCAAGACTGGTAGCTTTTCCACCGCCCACACAACCCCAATTTTCTGCCGTCAGTCACGGGTGGGCTCTCTTTCGCATAGCGTGAAAATATTCTTATCCTTTTCTACTCTCAGGAACAGTGCACTCCCCAATTGCAGCAGTGGGTCACTACCCCTTCTGTGCTCGGGTATGGGGCCACGCAGAATTCCATCACTGGTCCGTCGCTCCACACCGATTGAAGCCTCGTTTGACTCACTGACACTGACTAAGTGGCGCCGTTCGACGCGATGGAGACCAAGACCGACCGCTACGATGTCCCGGCGCAACGCAGTCCCCCGGCTACGCACTGCACATCCAAGAAAAGTCACAAAGGGAATCATTATACAGCATTAAAATAGGATAAGATAGGCTATTAACAAAGGTACGCTATTTTAGGGAGAATCCCACGCCAATCACCACGCCCTCCACTCCCCACGCTCTTAATCCTGATACTCATCGTCCTGACCACCCTGAACACCCTGCCCACTGACCTCCGCCTGCGTCTCGGGCTTCTTCGCATGCTTGAGGTCTGACAGCCCGTAAAGAACAATCGAACCCATGCCCAGGATCGCACTCAGGACGGTGAAAACCATGGACACGATACCGCGCGTGGTGAACCCATCGGGGATCCAGCCGGGTTGCTGGTTCTGCCCACTGAGGTCCAACAGGTCGACCGTGTTGCCGGCCGCGTTGCCCTCGTGTTCGACGTCGGAGGCGACACATGCCGCGTAATGGTCGGCGGGGATGGTCAGCTTCTCCTGGATCATGAGCGGGGCCTCGACGAAGGTCATGGCTAGCCCCTGCATCAAGTGCCAGTCGATGTGGCAGTGGAAGATCCAGACGCCGGGGTTATCGGCGCGGAAGCGAAGCACGACGTAGCCCGCGGGGGGCACGACGATGGTGTCGCGGCGCGGGGGGTAGGCGGGAAAGGCGGAGTGGTTGTTAGGGTCGTAGGGCTGGGGGATGCCCGCGTCGGCGAACTCGAAGAAGTCCGATCCGTACGGGGGATAGCGGTCAACCACCTGGAACACGTGGCCGTGCAGGTGGAAGGGGTGCGAGCCCGTGTCGTTGTTGTTGAGGATGATCTCCACGATATCCATGTGGTCCACCACCTGCGTGTGCGTGAAGTCGCCGTAGACGGTGGCGTCGGTGGCCAGATCGCCCGCCGACATGACGCTGTACAGGGTTGGCACTTTCGGGGCGGTATAGCTGATGTCGTTGAGGAAGGCATAGCCCTTGCCGTTATCCAAGTTGTCCATTACCACCGCGACGTTGACGGTCACGGTCGGGTTCTCCAGGAGGGGCATGTGGTCGTAAGGGATGAGGGTGGCGTCGTCGAAGGGGCTCAGGTCGGACGACTCGGCCACCGTGATGTTGGCTTGCGGTTTCGTGGCCGAGGCGTCGTACTCCAGCCAGTTGGTGTGATTCAGCTGGAGATCGGGGGTGATGGTATCCAGCAGCGTCGAGTCCACTACGGTGACGATGGCGTAATTCTTGTCCGCCGTGTCTTTGGTAGTCAGCAGTACGCTGTACCGCTGCGCCACGGCGACATACAAGAGGTTTGCCTCCGTGGGCTCGGTATACACTCCGTCGATCTCCACGATCGTGAAGTTGTGGTCCTCGATGTAGAAATACTGCGCCGTGAACGCGGCAATGTTGACCAGCCGCAGCAGATACGTGGTGTTTGGTTTTACTGACAGGCTCATCCCCTGCGTGTCGTTGAACAGCCAGGAATTGGGAATGGGCTCGGCACCGGTCGGGTTGTAGACGGACATGAACTCGGGCTTGATATCCTCGGCCAGCTCATGGTACCAGTCACTTAAAGTCACGGTGAACTCCTCTTCGTACTCGTTGGCAAAGTAGGAGTTGTTGTCGTGGACGATTAGGGCCTGGCGGTAGCCGTCTGGGTAGCAGTAGTCGGTGTGGCAGTGATACCAGTAGGTGCCATTCTGGTTGACGGTAAAATTATAGGTGATGCTGGACCCTGGGGCCACGGGACATTGCGTGACCATCGAAGCCCCATCCATCTCGTTGGTGCCATTCTGATACATCCCGTGGAAGTGAATACTGGTGCTCTTGTCCCCCAGCCCATTATACATGTTCACGACGAGCTGATCCCCCTTGTCGACCTCAATGACGGGCAAGGGCCATTGCCCGTTAATACCCACCACCTTGCGGTCCGCCAGGCCATCGGGATTGGCCGTTACCCAGGTGACATTGAAGTCGTAGACAACCTCTTTGGCCCGCAGAGGCTTGCTGAGCAACAGCAGCAGCAGATAGCCGAGATAGGGTAACATCCTCGGAAGTCCTCAAGTAAGGTGGAGGGAGGAAAGTCGAGGGAGGGACAGAAGAGAAGGGGGGAAGAGCAACGTAAGACTTCCTGGGAGAGGAGAAGGAGTAGTAGCGAGCGATATCTACTTTATACGGAAGCGCATACCGCGGGATTTTTTTCTCGTTCAGCTTGGCGTATCCTGACTAGTGGTAAAACAAATCGAGAGAATTGGGGAATAAGTGGTAATCAGTGGTTAAATACGACCACTTCCCCCCATCCAGACCATATCAGATGGTGGGGGACCCTGGAATGATTGGCCAAGAAGGATAAGATTTCGCATACTTTCTGGGTCGAGGCTTGAGAGGGCTTGGATTGTGGACCCTCCAGCGAACCAGGAGTCTCGAACCGGGTCGACCTGGCGAGGAAATGAGCCGACTGATCTGATAAGATGTCTCGCCGCAGACCGGTTGGGATTTACGGCTCATTTGAGTAAAATTTGGTCCGATTCTCGCCAAAAATTGCCCCCTGTAAAAAAATCCATCCAAAAGAAAAAAAAAGAAAAAATAGAAGGTACTAAGGGGAGGGGCACCCGACCGGGAGTCGCATTCCACGGGGCGGTTATATAGTCCTCCTCCGAGACCTACATTTTCTTGGGATTGTTTGGTTTAAACACTCAAATCTCAACCAGTCCCCCGCCATGGCCAACGTCTTCGCTGTCCAGGTCTTTTTCATTCTTTTTCGAGAGTGTCTGGAGGCGGTCATCATCGTCTCCGTGCTTCTCTCTTTCCTCAAGCAGAGTTTGGGCCAGCCACACCAAGACCAGGCCATCTACCGGCGACTACGGCGTCAGGTCTGGGCAGGCTCAATCACTGGCATAGTTTGTTGTCTGATCATCGGCGGTGCCTTCATCGGCGTCTTCTATGGCCTGGGCCATGATATTTGGTCCAATGCGGAGCAACTGTGGGAAGGCATTTTCTACTTGATTGCGACGATCATCGTGACGGTCATGGGACTGGCTCTGTTGCGCATCAACAAGACCAAGGAGCAGTGGCGGATCAAGATTGCGAAGGCTCTGGTCGAGAAGAACAAGCATGGGAAAAAGTCCCGTCTGCTCGGCAACTGGGCCCGTCGGTACGCCATGTTCCTTCTGCCTTTCATCACCACCATGCGCGAGGGCGTCGAGGCTGTTGTTTTCGTGGGCGGCGTCTCGCTCGGCTACCCTGCCACTGCCTTTCCATTGCCGGTCTTCACGGGGATGGTGGCCGGGTTGACCTGCGGGTATCTCATCTACCGGGGTGGGAACGTCCTGTCGATCCAGCTGTTTCTTATCGCCTCCACCTGCGTGCTGTACCTGATTGCCGCGGGCATGTTCTCCAAGTCCATCTGGGACCTGCAGTACTACGTCTTCCAGATGAGGGTCGGCTCCGATGTTGCCGAGGAGGGCAGCGGCGCGGGCTCCTACAACATCCTCCAGACGGTCTGGCACGTCAACTGCTGCAACGCGGAGACGGACAACGGATGGGATGTCTTCAACGCGATTCTTGGGTGGGAGAACACCGGGACCTACGGCTCCGTCATCTCCTACAACGTCTACTGGATTTTCATCATGCTGTGTGTGGCCTACATGTTGTGGGAGGAGCGCTCGGGCAGAAAGTCCTTGCGTGAGCGCATGCTGGTGGTGATGGCCAAGGTCCCCGGCCTCAGCTGGTACGCGAAACCCAAGCTGGCGGTCCTGCAGGAGAACCCGGAGGATATCGTGCGCCAGGTGCACAGTGGGCTGTTCAATGAGGAGCCCGTGGTGGAGCAGCAGATGGTGGAGATGAAGTGATGAGCTCGTGGTCCGAAGAGAGCGAAAAGGCGCCAAAAGTGTCCTTGATTGAGGACGAGTGGGAACTCCACCGACCGTCTGGGTACCCTGTTTATTGTATTGCATCTTGTTTTCTGCTGTCATATAATCCTAATAACCGAGATTATATTCGGATGTCCTTGTCAGTGAATGGTTGTTTCATCAGATCGTGTCGCACATTACGAGAACAAATCCGATGCGAGTTGACGCCGGTCTGGTGGGACGAGCAACCGGCTTAAAGCTTTGTAGTTTGTAACTTTGTAGTAGTGTATCGTGGTGCCATCCCCCTGGACATAGCGTGCAAAACCTTCTTCTTGGCTACCGGCGACCCCAGTCTTCCCCTCAATACAATACCTCGAATTTACCACACACTAACACCTTCATGGTAGATTCCAGGAACTGGTTTCTGGTGTGACAAGGACTCAACTGATTCATTGCCTCTGCATCTTTGCCAATACTCCCGCTTTCCGCCCCCCGTTCCCTCTTGCTGCGGGCCTCGGCCGTCCGACGTCGGATGTTCGGAATTTCCGAAAGCGGCAATACCGTTGTGTACCGCCGCATATCAGATGGATAAGATATCTAGTTTATCAATCTTGTCCCCATATCAATCTAATCTGACCATCTGATAGGGGCTTGGACCAGGTTGGATTACAGTGGCGATGTTGATGTGCGAAACTTGCTGTCAGGAACAGAGCTGCATAAGGGGCGTTTGTGGCTTTCGTGGAGTCCTTGGGTTGAAAAATTGTGAGAATGGTAGTTATGTGCGGCGTTCTCGCCTCCGGAGAGCCTCGGCTGCTTGCAACTTACCAGCTGGCCTCGCGCGGGTTTCCTCGCCCTGCTGATTACCACGAGGGTTTGGCTTGTCTTCGGGCCCCGTGACGAGGATGGCGAGATAAGGCCAGTCGCAGATCTCTTACGAATTTCCAAACCATGGAGTAATCTTTCAAAATGTCGATTTGTGGGGCAGCCTGCTTGTGACTGACTCCGAGGACTGATAGCAGTTGGAATTCATAACTGTTCCCAGCAACAGCTTGCTTTGGAGTTGATTGACGATCTTACAGGGTTTGCTTGTTCACTGTCTGCGGCTCTATTCCTATCTCTTACACTATTGAATGCCCGATTATCCTACCATAAATCAAACAGTGCAGCTATCGACGGTAAATGTCGCCGTCGCCGTCTCATAGAGTGTGACGGTCACAACCGACTCAACTCCCGCATCGGAAGCCGTGGTACCAGTCGGGACATGTGCCATTGATGCAGAGCTGGAGGATGCGGGGGGTGGGACGATTGCGCTTCTTGACACGCTGTTGGATGCCATCACGACAGCTGATGAGCTAGCGGCGCGAGACACAGGGGTTGCCGAAGACGCGATCGGCGCTGTGCTAGAGACGGGCTGGGATGGTTGAATCAATGGCTTTGAGGGACTTGGATGGACTGTCGATGGGGACGGTATAATCGAGGACGACGCTGGCTGCAGAAGACTGCTGGAAAAGCTCGACGCACGGACTGCTGATGACTGCGAGACACGGGGTACTGGACTCGAGGCGATCGCAGACGATGACGCTTTCGCCGAGATCACCGAAGAAGCAGAAGCCGCGGACACGACATGAGGAGGCCCGCTAGACACGATCACCACGCGGGCTGACGACCTCATCGGGCTGGATGAAGGAGTCGGCACAGCAACAATGACAGTAGAGGTGTACAGATTGGTGTAGTCAATGGTGGATGTGATGACCGCGGTCTCCGTCGTCATGCTCGTCACGGTAACGAGACACGGATTCGTGGTATAAATTTCGACAACTTGCCCCGATGAAGGCCCCGGGACAGCCGTCATGGCACCTTGCCACAACGCACAATAGGTATAGAACATGATTGTCTGTATACTCACTGCTGCACAGCTCGTCGATTGCGACTCACACTGAGACAAGCAGGCAGAGTAGCCTTGTTGCATATACCCCGCGTAATACGAACCGCCACTCAGACTCGCAGAGCAGACGGCTTGGTAGTACTTGGAATTCGAGGACCAGACCCCCGCGGTACAAGGCCATCCTGCATTTGGGGAGCCCAGGGTACATGTGCTGGTTGTGGTAGTGATGGCGAAGGTGCTGGTGCTGATTTGGGTGGTTGTTTGGCGAGATGTCGCAGTGACGGTTACCAGCGATGTTATTGCTTCCGTGGTCCGGAGCAGAGCGAGGAGAAGAGCCCAGGTCTTCATTGTGGAATGTGGTTGTGAAGCTTAAGAAAATGATAGGCAGATTCTACAAGTCTAACAAGAGCATAGGTTCTGAATCTCTCCATCTGTTCAGGACCCGGATTTTCAATGAGGCAGAAAGTGAGTAACCCGTCCAAAAGAAATCTCTTCTTATTCTCCTCCGGATTGATGATTGCCAGGTTCCAGGTGAACAAGGGGCAGATCTGTGTAGCGATCCAGTGGCTGTAAAATCATCCCAGATCGCTTAATTTCACCTCAAATCACACCTGGCTTGCGGGGCTAAACACGAGGTTTCAATATTTTCGGTTCAACCGATTCTTTTCGAACACGAACTTGGGCGAAGTCAAGGTCCAAAGCAATCGCAAGTGGAGGGAAAATAAGATGAGATGTCAATATACCCTGATTACGAATGCTCTCATGGTGGGAGGATGCGCATGCAGTGTAGGCCAGCCTATCATAGTGACTGGAAGAGGATCTGACACCGGAATTAGTCTGTGCTGCGACCTGCTAAGACAGACCCGGATGATAAGTAGGGATCTTGTCTTGCACTCATAGACTTTTCGTTCTATCTGACATAGAGAACAGGCTTGACGTTTATTTCATCTCTGCATTCCACTCATTGCGCCCGGAGAAAATCAATCATTTCCTGCATATCTGGGTTGTCACCATAGCCGCGCTCCAAATACCGACAAATTGCCTCGCCCTCTAGGGCTGTGCGGGGGGTCATCCACCATACTCCCAGTCTGCGAATCTTCGCAAACCAAGAGGCCAGCAACAGTAACGCCCGAGGGTCTTTGACTATCAACAAGGACTTGAACTCCGCAGACATGGTGCTCAGAAATGTCACGAAGCGCAAGACCGTCGGCAGAACCGGTTGGTCATTGAACAGCGCCCACGCAACGTCGACGGCCACACTACAATACCGCGATTGGGCGCCAGACAAACATCTTTCTGTGTCCAAATCGAAGAGCCGCAGGAATGCGGTCGGAACATGGTGGATTGGCAGGGGTTGTGCGGACGGCATCATGAGTGGATTATTGTGATCCACGGGTGTTAGAGCAGCCGAGATGCGGTCTCCCGGCGGACTCGGCATCTGCCGCCAGACTTCGTCTTTCCCTCTGGAGATCTTCAGCCAGATAGGGCCACTGTCCATGCCTGGGGACAAAGGCCATGACTCCTCTGGGATCGATGCGTCGAGGTGGCAGAAGACCAGCAGCCACAACAGCATGGAGGTGCTGAGCAAGGCGGCCTTGTCGTCCGGTCGAGGGTCCTGCGAGAGTGTTCGATTGAAGCCAACTAGTGCTCGGTCCCAGTGATATGCTTCGGTCCCAGTGACAGCTGACTTGATGGGAATTGTTGTGAGACGCTGGTACATGAGAGCGACCGTGGTGATGGCATGCCTCAAGAATGGACTCTGGGGGATGTGGGTGAGTGACTTATGCGATCCTGGAGCAGGAGAGGAACTCACCGACCGTGCTAGTTGTACTACTTCATCCTGATATACATCCAACCGGTTCCCGTAGCTCATCGTTGGGGCAATCTGAAGTTGGAACTGGCTTATTAGTCGGTCGGTTGGACGTGCCCAATACGATAACCCTCTCGAAGGCTGCGGTGGAGCAATGACGCGCTCGATCACCGGTTGCAGGTGCTGCGTCTTGACTTGAAGGGAGATGAAACTGCAAGAGACGCCATAAGCCTGGCATTGTCGGCATCTAGGCCTAAATTCGTCGCACTGTCGCCGACAAGGCCCATGGGGGGCAAATCAGTCACCTCGCCATCAAGACACGGGACCAGATGATGGGTGGAAGGAGGCCCACCTTCACCCGTCGGAGCTTGCAGTTCTTGCATCCCCATTTAGATCGCTGTCGAACACGAGCTGGACTCATCCTTGAACTTGGCTCAGTCGTTGGATCAGTTTTGAGTCTGAAGAGAGGAGGTTGATACGGGGATGACTTCAGTCGCAGCCTTGCGGGACATGGAAGGATGGCGGAATTACCGGATTTAATCAGGGCAGATTGCGCTAGTCCTCTTTTCGCTTACAGCTTTTTCTAATTGGTTCGATTCGTTCTACAGCTTCAATGACGTGTGTAGGAGTCTATCTATGCGTATATCGAGTATAAGACGGCCAGGAATTCTCCTTCTTGTCACCTTGATTCTGAATCTTCATGCTGCTTTTCTTCGAGCTCCTCAAAGCCAGTCTATTCCTCGTTCCTTTTACCGTCTCTTAGTTCCTATTCCTACCCGCGAAACACAAATACCTCGAGTGGGAAGAGAAGATATCTGCCTAACCCCACCCGATATGCCATCAAACCAAGCAGCCTGGCTCGTACGATCCAAAGGCCACCCATTTGAAGTACGATCAGCACCCTACACCCAGCCAGGTGAAGGAGAGGTCGTTATCCGAACCCATGCCGTGGCCATCAACCCCATCGACTGGACCTTGCAGGGACAAGGAACCTCATTGATGTATCAATGGCTCACCTACCCCAACATCCTGGGCACCGATGTAGCCGGGGAGGTCGTCGAGGTTGGGCAAAAGGTCTCCACCCTACGCATCGGAGACCGAATCCTGGGCAAAGCCTGCGGCACGGACGAAAAGATCAACTCGCACACGCAAGGCGGCTTCCAACTCTATGTCGTCCTGGCTGCCCACATGGTCTGTCCCATCCCCACAGGGATGTCCTACGAGGCAGCCGCCGTGCTACCCCTGGGAGTCTGCACCGCCGCGTGCGGACTGTTCGAACCCGACCAGCTCAATCTCCAGCCCCCGCGCGCTGATCCGGCGCCGACCGGCCAGACCGTCATCATCTGGGGCGGGGCCAGCAGTGTGGGAAGCTGTGCGATCCAGCTCGCGCGAGCAGCAGGGTATAAAGTCTTCGCGACTGCCTCCCCGAAGAACTTTGCGTTTGTGACCGAGCTCGGCGCCACTCGGGTGTTCGATTATCGCAGCCCGACGGTCGTCGCGGACATGATTGCCGCGTGTCAGGGCGAGACCCTGGCTGGGGCGCTGACTGTGGGGTCTAACGCGGGGGATTGCTGTTTCGATATTCTCGCTCACTGCACCGGACCCCGGGTCATCTCCATGGCCGCGTATCCTGTCCCCCAGCCACCCCCCAAGCATCTTACAGTTCCCCGGACGGCGCTGACTTTCATGGCTGGGAATGTGAGGTACTGGTACAAGTCTCGCATGCGAGGCATCAAGTATAGCTACATTTTTGCCAGCACCCTGTATCACAATGGAGTCGGAGCCATGCTATTCCAGGAGTATCTGCCCCAAGCGTTAGCGGACGGTCGGTTTCGGGCGGCCCCTGAGCCCATGGTTTATGGGACGGGATTGACGGAAATTCAAGGGGCGGTGGACTTTCACAAGTCGGGGGTGTCTGCGAAGAAGGTGGTGGTCTTGCTGAGGGATTGATTTAGCTGTTGGGTAATCTTGCTTGAGGGGGTTTATGGGCATATCATCTCGATTTTGCGTTGTTCTAATTCAGTCCATGTTCGCGCATTTCTTTGAGCTTGTTCCGATCAACACATGTGTATTGACTGTACTTCAAATCTTAACCCTGAACCCGATGATTCATTGGAGCTACATGCTACCTGGATGTGATAAAACATAACCTCGTTGCTGGGCATTTGCTTGTCCACACATAGACTTCATATCATCTATATCGTGCATCCGATTTGCCGCATCGACAAGGACGGATTTAGACTACATGCACAGTAATGGCAATAACAATGGTCCATGGAGTACTCGATATGACTGTAGTGTACCATAGCTTAGCTCCCTAGAATCTCGACAAGATACATTTCGCCATAGATGCCATAGATTCAGAGGCTATGCATTGATAATCATTTAATTTCCCATGTATGAAAATCGAAGAAGAAGCAAGAAGAAAAAACAAGAAGAATCAGTAAGAGAGAGAAGAATACAACTGACGAAGAAAAATTCATCAAAGGTAGCAGCCAATTAACCATGCAGCAAATACTTTCAACCTCGATCCAGAGAAACAGACCGATCAGGCTGAGAGCAGCCCTGGTGCAATAGGAGATATTAACCATTATCAACGGTCATAATCTCGACATACTGTTGGGCGTGGGATAGGAACCCAAGGGAGAATGAACCTGATATTCATATGGAACACGAGCGAAGTATCCCGGTTGGATGGTAACGGCTTCTATGGAAATACATGTCGATCCGTTTTCGACAATTGGGGACGGGCGATGATGAATCGATATGATTGGGTAAAAACATACAACAGAAGGGATTCGCTGGTGGTCATTCACCCAACTACTAACCTCCCGGCGTGTGGCTTGAACGCGGCCAGAAGGCGGGTGGGTGCCGCCCGGGTGAGTTTAGAATGAGGCCGCTTTACGGTCGCGCGACTCGGGTGAGATTAGGGTGAGTGCGCAATAGACAGGGTGAGATTCTCACTGCTCAGCTCACTTGCCTTGTGCAACCTGCTTTTCCTGCTAAGCGATAAATCTTAGTACCCGCTTACTTATAGTAATCCATCGAAGATTGGCTCTATCTAAACCACAACTTCAAAGACCGGCGCCTAACATAGCCACAATGAGACGTTGCTGCCTAGACTACTAACATAAGGTTTTAAAGAGTTTGTAAGAGCTTAGGATAACTACTACATTACTTTTAGCACTCGGAGTGGTTTACCAAGTCAACTCCGCGGGCAGTCGAGAGAATGATGCAATGTACAACCAACAAATTCCCCCTCTAAATGGCTTATCTTTGTCGTGATAAATACCGCCCTTACTAGTATATGCAAATTGACACTTCCTTTTATAAACAATTTAAAGAGAGACTAGAGAGCATGACTCGTTTGCGACAGTACTTATGATTGGCACGGGAATGTGGGGGCCTCATCTTTTTTAACTACCTTGCATAATACTGTCGACCCAACTTTAACGAGACATTTAAGCAGATCTGAATATCTCCAAATACAGTTATGTCCTGTTACTGAGCCTGCCAAGCAAGATCTTAGGAATAGCACTTCTGATAGATGAGCCCATTCGCTGCAAACGCCCTAGATTAGGGGACCCGAAAAGTGCTCCAAGGATTGACTTTAACTCCCTTCCAACAGAGCTCCAATCGATAATCTGGGAATATACATGGTCTACAGTACAGGCAATCAAAGCTGCATCGTGAGAGAAGTTTAACAACGCTACGCCCGAGGAACTCAGTGATGAGATCGAAGAAGACATCTATAACGGCGAAGAAGATAAAAACTCTCTTGACACAGCAGCATACATATAATTCAGTATCCTTCGTCCACTGGGCTCTCTTGATACGCTCCTGCGAGAAGATTTTAGCTCGAAACCCTTAGAGGCAAGGTACCTATTGGAGGAGTGTCCGCCTCTAATACCTCTCTGGATATGTCACGAATCTCGTATGTATACATTAAGAGAGTACGTCTTGATTTAACACCCAGATTTGCCCAGATACTCTTTCTATTTTAATACGCGCTATGACCTTTCTTGGTTGAGTTAGAGTGGCTAACGGCCAGGTCAGGTCAGGTTAATTTCAATCTTTATACCTGACCGCAGGTTAATGGTCAGGTATAAAAAATATATATTCATCGCAGAATGGCTACTATTCAAAAAGTCTATAGAGATAATTATGGATTGTGTCCAGTACTATATTACAGGCTATTCAGTTCATTCCCACTAGCCTCTTGAAGGGTTAGCAGATATTTTAATAGAGTGGCGACTAGATATCGAACCCATAGTTCATCGACCGTCGATCCCTCAGCCTTCTGTTGCTCTAAAACGGCTCTGCGGTCCAAGCGGAGTTTAAGAGTTAGACGGTCCTCGAAGTAATATAACATCAGCACAAGCCGTGGACGGAACTATTTTATACAGGTCGGCGACAGCTCTGTCCACAACATACGGGCAAAGCACCTATGACCCTATCCTATCTGAAAATCCCCCGTCCTGACATATTAGTTGGTATCTCAGAACAAGCACTTGTAAATGTATTAATACAGATTAGATTCTCTAGTTCAGCCCAGAATGTAAACAGCCTAGGTTGCTTCGCACGCTATATAGCCTATTTCTGTTTCAAAATACTGGTATGTATCCCTGACTTGGGGGTGTGCTCATGTTGGGCCCTGTTCATGTGTGGTGAATGCCTGGAATTGGACAATGGGCAACGCAAGCGGTAAGCAGCGAGCCAGGGGGCTGTAGATTCACAGAAATATTCACTTTACGCAATAACAGCAATCTGTTCTGAGAGATGTTCTAAGTCCTTCTCTGTATTTCTTCCTACCCACCCTCCTCACATTATCACCTCCCTTTATCCTAACAAGAATTTAGTGTTCCTTCTTTCGAACTCAATAAGCCCGCGTAAAACAGCACATGATTATTTATTTAGGCAAGTCATGGTTGCACAAGCCGCATTGTAAACTACGTCGATCACTCCAGGACTATAGAGAGTTGTAGAGTGCTTGCAACCAATATCCTCTTGTTGCCGAAGGACCAAACAACGCAAGGAACGCCTTCGACATTCCGCAGCATTAGCAGTGTAGGGCTTCCTCATCGATAGCTTGGTTGACTGTAAGATGAGACTATGTCTGTGCTGAAGCTCTACTATGGCTCCCCGATTGAAGCACTTTCCAAATTTCAGCGTCAGCCATTCCTAAAACATTTGAAGCGCGTCGATCTGCGCAATCGACACCCTGACAATAAGAGGATTTCAGCGTGACATATTTTTTTCTGCCCCAACTGGACTATAGTGCGACTTCGACTAGCAACATGCATATCAGTGTTGAATCTATTAATACCGCCATGGACAAATTCTTGAGAGGGCCTGCTAAATGATTCTGTTTCTTGCCTGATGAAGCAGCTTGACAACCTCATTGTGTCGATTTCTGCCCCCAGCGGTTGGCCGTCGCCCGCGGCAGGAGGGCGCCGGCGCGTCCGGGGGGGGGGGGGGGGGTGGGGTTCCACCTATGATAGAGATGTCCGACTAGACTGAGACTTGGAATCCACGTCCACCTTTTCTGTCTGAATAAGAAGCTGAACAACCTCCTCATGT